AGGCTAAATGACACCCGAAGCCAAAATGCCAACTGGCGTCTTTTTCATACAACAACCCGTAATATCATTATACTTAGAAAAAAATTATATATTATGCTCAACTTGTACATTATTTGTTATCGTCTAATTTTAGTCACGAGTCACAACGGCTAAACGCGATCCCGATTGAACGATAACATATATTTGGAAATTGTAGCAACATATACGATAAAACATTCTACGTTAAACCATAGTAAATATACTTAAAATATACTTACATTATTTTAAGATACGGCTAAACGATATGACCATATAATACTAATAATATATATTATCAATATTTCAATACAAAGTTATAGGTATTTTACATTAAGAAAACCATAATATTACTGACATATGTGCAAAATTGTAAAAATAATTTTGGCGCCCTAGACGATCGCCTGAGTCACCTTACCCTCACACCGACCCTGTTTATTAGTAACAAATGTAATATTCAAGTAACAAGGGCGTATTTGAGGGGAGCGAAAGAGGTATTCGCCCCCCCCCCATGGCTCGTATTTTTATGAGTATTATACATTGATTTATTTTAAAAATTTAATGTATACTAGTAATATAATATGATAATAAATTCAATATGTCAATTTGATCACGGGTATCAATTTTTGTTTATCTTCTTATATCATAACATTTTTGTATGTAGAACGAATATTATATTCTATGGTTGTAGACATTTACAACCATAACCGAGGTATTTATCAGATAGTATAAAGTAATTTAAAGTAACACTTTTTATATCACATATTTACTAGTTATTCATTTTTTTGGTGCATTTATGCATATTGTATATTTTTGTATTTATTAGAGCTATCTATATAAGTCCTTAATAATTTTACTAGCCTATTTTTTTTTTTACAACATAATATCTGGTACTTTTTGTTGTGCATAGATATTTAGTCATTTTTTTGTGCACAAATGCATGCATATTTGTGTATTTTATAGAGCTAGAAGCTCCTAAGCCAAATAATAATCATAATTACTGACAATATTTGTTTCCATATTCTTTAACTTGCAAATATTGGCCACAAATATATTTTTGTAGGTTGAAAACATGGTTAAGATCAAAAATAGGCCAGCATAGACTAACAGGTTTGGCTTTGCTGCATGTGCATAAAGATATTAGGTATTGTATCCATTGATGAAATAATCAACAAATTTCCAAAATAAAAAAAAGAAATTTGGAATTTGTTATTGACTACTTACCAAAATTATGTTTTCTTCTTAGATATTTGTTAAATTAAGTTACTTATCTTAAATGTTATTTTAAACTTTTAAACTTCAGATTCAGACTGAAGGTACAATTTTAATATAGGAACTATTTGTGTTATTATTATTAATACTTATTTTGTATCCAGTAGATTTTAAATATATTTATTAAATAAATATTTAATTAAATTTGGTACCTACTTGTATTTTTATTTATTCACTCGAATGCGCAACAGGAACATGAGTTCAAGCATGGGTAGGTAATGTAAATAGGTTAACTGTAAATTATTTTATGTTTGTATTGAAGAAATATTAGTTTCGCCCCCCCCCTGGCCTCAATTCAAATACATTCTTGTAAGTATTTAAGTAAGAAATAAAATATTTATTTAGTTTTACGTGTATGTGTGTTAATAATATTGATAATACGTTATCTGAACTCATCTTGAACCTATTGATTATTGAACATAAAGTAACTAACTCTTATTATTAATCACATTTTTATTCTTCAGATGTTTGAACTGAAACTCGCTCGTTTGTCGTTTAATTGCATTTACATATGAATAAGTAATCTATTTAAAATGGTAACTTCCCAAAATAATTATGAGTAGATCTTATCATCATCAATTTTTTCAGTTATATATTTGAACAATTATTATTATTATTGTTATTTTTTATGGTCGCTATTAATAATACAATTCTTACCATTATATTTTTTTTATGGATACAGTACCATATTTTCTGTTAGTGTAAATCATTTTTAACTATAATAATAATATATGCTTAATTAAAATTACAATAATTCCGTGTTAATTATTTTTGCAGACAAAATAAATATTTCATTTGTCGATACACCATGAGTATCTATAATGGAAATTAAATCAACTTTTTTCTTAATTCAATTTTTTTATATGGTGCTATTATAATTACAACATTTAAAAATTCATATTGGATGCATGTTAATATATGGTTTTTATATATTTACTTTGTAGAAGAAAGAAGTTTTATACATTTAATTAAGATTGTCTATTTCGAAGTTTTTATACCCATTATGTATGAAATAAGGGTAAAAAGAAAGACGGTTATAAAGTATAGCCACTATTCGAGTTGACTAATTTGAATTTAAGAGAAATAATTAATTTTTTTCGAGTTTCATTACAATAAAAGGTAATAAGCAGATATTTTTCCTACGTAGACAGTCAATTATTTTGATTATTATCCCACTTCTGGATCAATAATATTTACCACCCGTCCGACTATCCATACTTATATAATGTAATATCTTATTGAATCCAACGATTCGACTTTAAATTTTTATTAATTTTATTCTGACTTAAATTGGAAATTCAGTTTATTTCCTAACCAAATTTGATTTGGTCATAATTGCTATTTTTCGAATTTCTTCGAAATGATATAAAACTAATGTTAGTTAAAATTATTTAGCGTTCATTTCATATTTTACTGCAAAATATTCGCGAATAATAACAAACAAACGAGGAATTAAGAAAAAGATTTAGCTGTTTAGTTCTGCAATTGATAATTGGATTTGGAAGATTAAGCCACAGTCTACCGGTATAATTTATGCAAATCCAAAAATATATTAGCCAACTGTTATTATCAAATATAGAACGTATATTTATTATTATGCATTATATTTATGTTTATTTTATTATCAATGATTGTATACGTATAAAATGGTTTAACGGTTTTTTTGTATATTAATACAATAAATTTGTATTTAATCAATAATCGACGTAATAATGGCAATTAGGTACGTAACAAAATCAACACACATTGTGTTACAGAACCTAGAGATTGTTTGCTTATCTTGAATACCAATGGTGTAATTTTAAATTTTTTGAGGGTGGGTTTAAAATGTTTTCCAAGAAATAAGTGATTTTAAAATACTATAATAAATACAAAGAAGGAATAAATAATAATATTACTATACAAACAATACAACAACATGATAAAAATCAAAGTTCTCTTTGTCTGTAACTTCGTAGTAAGTAATTTATGACTTGAACCTTTTTTTTTTTTAGGGGTGGTCGAAACCCTACACCCCCTGTTAACCGAAAATACGCTACTGTTGGCTACAGTACTCCATAAGTAATTATTGATTATATAGATTTAAATGTTAAACTTAATGGTTAAGTTAGAAGAAAAAAAGTGAAAACATTCGTTTGGAAAATTTATTAATTTTTTCTATTTAAAATATGACGAGGTTGAATACATGGATCAATGGTATAATGGATATTTTTAGTTGCGGAATTGAATTAATTTAATATAGTGAAATTGAACAATCGTGACTTGACTGCATTAATGAATATTATAAAGAAACCTGAACATAAACTATTTTTATGCACATTATTTTTATGCAGTTTCTCGCGGTGCTCGAATTTTTTTAAACTATTTGAAAAATGTGTACTACGCCAGATGAATTTTTAACGTTAATTTTAAATACGTTTTACATTTATCCGTTTTATTTTCAATTAGTACAATTATATTAATTTCCTCAGTGAACGTTGTTAATATTTTTAATAAAACAAAAACCGAACACAGAATATTTCAACACAGAGTATTAAAACAAGTGTATTCATTACTTCTGTGCTTTAGAGTCGACTGTATTCTATATACACACCTATGTAATCCTGGGGAAACGTTTTTCCGGGGTCCAGTGCGTAAAGCAGGCGCGATTCCAGAATTGTATTTCGGGAAGGGCTGATAAAAATGTATAAACAAAGTCATATAGTAAAACAAAAAAATAAAATTTAATAATTTAATTGCACTACAATCTATACATTTTATTAGCTATTTAGTACTAGATAATAAGTTTTAAACGTTTGACTCATTCACTATTAACAAACTTGTCTAAAAACCATAGCATCAGTTATAAAAATATTTCTATGAATATTTAATAATGCTAAACCAACGAGACGATTCTCTGAAGTTGAATTTCTAAAATATGTTTTTAACCTTCGCAGCATTGAAATAGCGTTCAGCAAATGCAGTTGACACAGAAAGTATGACAAGTATTTTCAGCAGTTGGTAGAGATTAAGGTGCAATATTTGATCACAAGAAATTAAAACGTCTGTGGAGGCAAAATATCTTGATGATGGTACTACCTAAGGTTCATTTAGAAATCCATAAATCGTGCCATATTGTGTATTGAGCTGCAGCTCTATACTGCCCGGAAATTGTTATCGACAGGTTTATAAATAACATCTATGATTTCCAGTATTACCTCTAAATTTTGTCTATGAGCGGTAAGATAATCTAACAAAATAAAAATACGAATTTAAAATCAATAAAATAAAATTTAAGATTTTTGCAGCGACTTTCATAGACCATGGAAATATTTTTTAAATTATCTTAATATTCTGGGAGGGCTGCAGCCCACTCATCCCCCCCATTAATTACGCCCCTGGCATAAAGTATCATATCTATGAACCATAATACTTGACGAATTAATATCGGTACATTTCGAGCGTAGCTTTTTATAGGGCGATACTAAAAAATTGAATTTTACTAAAAATTACACCCACCCATAAAATCGAATTTAATTTCAATAACAAAGAAGGTACTATCAAGAGAAGAAAACTGATTTAAAAAAAAAAGAAAGAAATTTAGAATTAAAAAAATCTTTTGGTCTCATATTGGTATATACATATTTATGTGTAAATTATAATCCGAAATGTTTACCCGAAGTTTAGTATGAAAATGTTTTAGATTAATTTACAAATTTCCTCAAAAAAAAAAAAAAAAACAAAGATTCACTGTTTATTTGCGCGTAACAATATTATTTTACACAATTTCAAAAAACCAAAAAGGACGTCATCATATGATCGCACCATGATCGTACAATCGTTTAACAAGAATCGGTGTCGATATCGGATGATTCTGTGTCTCCGGTAATTTTGGCCGCCAACTTATCGTCCAAGTCCTCTTCCAAGAGGTCGTCCACGATGAAGTCCACTTCGTAACATTTTTTTTTCCTCTTCCATCGCGCTACCAACGAACCCCTTCCACATCTCGGCGTTCACACGGTCCACGGCCTCTACGATTAGGTTTTTGCCGTCGGACGGTTCGCAGCTACTGACGTTCGCGCTCACGTGTTCTTTTACCGACGACCACGCCAGCACCATCGGGTTGAGTTCGCGGTGGTTACGCGGCAGCCTCAGCACCGTCTTCCCGTCGGCTTTGGCGAGTTCGTCGATCGCGTACTTCTTGCGGAGCGGCTTGACGCGTCTGACCATGGCCATGAGCTCGACGTACACCATCGAACGGTCGGCCGTTTCCCCGTTGCGCTTCAGCCACTCGACAATGACGTCTTTCCCGTCGTCCATCGTCGGCGCCCTGTCCACCTTCGCCGTGTGATACGGCGCGTTGTCCATCACGATGACGGAGCCGTCGGCCAGCAGCGGCAGAACGCGTCCCATACACTCGCGAAACTCGTCCGCGCCCACCGCGTCCCGGCAATCGCGACCAGTTCGCGGCACAGCAAACCGCCCGGCACGAAACCGTCCGCGGAACCGACGTGGAACGCGACGAAGCACGCGCCCGCGTTCACCAACGTCTCGTCCACGTAGTACACGCGCCGCCCTTCCCGGCGACATATCGCTCCACGTTCTCCAGGTACCTGCGGCGCCGCAGCACCGTTCCCGATTTCTCGGTCAGCGCGCGGTGACGGGTTCCCTTGGTGTAACGGAAACCCAAGCCCCTGAGCAACCTGTGCAGGTTCGTGCGCGATATCGGCGGCAAACACGCGTCGCCGGACACCGCCTCGTGAATCCTGTCCACCGTCGGGATTTCCCGCGTCCGAACCAAATGCACCAGCCGGCGGATACGGTTCCTGGACGGTTCGTCGAACGAATCGCGAAAAGTTTCCCGGACCTTCGTCCGTTTCGGCGGTACCACCGAATTCGTCCGCTTATACACGTGTATGATCTGGTGCACCGTCGACTCACCAACGCCCATGCGCTCCGAAATGCGTTGCTTCAACTGTTTCATTGACGTGTTCGGATCTTTCGCCAAATGTTTTTTGTACATACGTACGATACGTATTCTGTCGTCCGTAGAAATGATCTGGAAAACATTTTTTTTTTTTTTTTTTAATTACTTCTACTATTAAACAACTTACGTAGGTACTGTTGGTTTGTGTTTGTCATTTATTTTTTAGTACAGGGTGGCGGTCCAACCCGCGGCCCTCCAAGCCTCTATTTTTTTTTGTCTATGGAAGGCATAGAAAACTTATGTTTAAAAAAAAAAAAAAAAATGGACAGAATAATATTGCAACAAAATCGTTATACCATCGTATACTTTTCGTGTTTCACACGATAAAACGTAGGTATACGTGCAACGAGTTACGTTCAAAAGTACGATTGAATTCGGATCATTACGTAAATACGAGTATATCAGAGTTTGTACAGCAGTCACAGCGAATCCGAATTCTTGCGGTACCAAATCGTGGAAGTTGGTTATATTGTCACCTCTTAAATAGTCATTATTAGGCGGCGATCATTGACTGCGTGTTCTACTGGATAATAATATTTTTAAAATTTTTTTTTATGGCAGCCCCCAGTGTTTCAACGAAAGTGAAAATTGACCCTCCGACTACAAAATATTGGACCACCCTGGTGTATAACATTATATGTGTATACCAACTAGGTAGTCTGAAGATTTTGTTTTCAGCAACTAAATATACTAATAATAATAAATTATTTTTATCTTGTCCAAAAACGTTGTTTTGTAAAATTAATATCCGAAAGACACTGACGCGCGGTCTCGCAAAGTGCCAACAGTGTCACGTGCGTATATTGCGATGGAAAATTATGCTACGGCACGAGTTTATAATCCGCGATCTTTGTACGCCTATACATATAGATCCGATGTATCCGTTTCGTCCATACCAATCCCGGATTAAGGGGTGGAGGGGCATGACCCCGGACCTATAACGGATATCAAACAATAGTAGGCCCCTGGTGGATAGTAGATTATTTTCGTTTTTTTAATTCTTTTTCTAGCTCGTATAAAAAACAAGTATAAAATAGTATATAGTTTTATGGTTTTGTGTTCAGAGAGTAATACTTTAGAGGTAGTTAATACCGATGATATAATTAAAGGGTTTGCTTCCCCAAAAAAAGAAAAATTTTTTTATATAAATAACATTTATATTTTTGTATTAAAAAAAAAAAAAGGAAATACATTTTTAAATTGAAATATATTTTTTTTTGTCTCTGAAATATTATTATGTGTGGATCATCAATATTTTGATTATGGTTATGGGCCCCTAAAATTGTTTGGCCTCGGGCCCCAAATTATCCATAATTCGGGCTTGGTCCATACAGACCTATAAAGATGAGAACTGCGTGTCGTGCATCGCTCACCATACACAACTAAATATCAACATGCGACGAGTGACAGGTAGTCTCTAAAGTAACGGTTTTCATTAGGACTTTAGAAATAAACAACTTTAAAAATTACTCATGGGCCACGTACATTTATAACGGGGTAATGATGAAAAAATATGAACATCTATAAATTATATATTAATTAATTATAACTCAATAATTTATAATTATAATATTACAAACAGTTCATAGTTTATAAAAGTTATTACATTTATCAGAATGACATATTTATAAGCAGAAACGATAAAAAATAAACAAGAATAACAAGATAAGGTTAATAAAAATTATTGCATTCCACATATCACCAAAAATCAAAACATATGTGTTTCATTTTATTTACTCTATTTAATTCTGAATATTAGAATGTAAGTTTAGTTTTAATACGAACCACACAAAATTGTTTTAAGGGTCGCATATGAGTCGCGTAGTGATTATTTAACAGCTGGTCTACAGTCTACATTTCAGGGCAAAAATGGTGTAATTATTACACCATGTTTAAAATGAGTCGATTACATTATTATTACACTGTAATAAATGCAACTGACTCATTTCATTCCAAAATTTCAACATTAAAAATACTCTTATAAAATATAAAATAACATTATTTTGTTAAACAGTGCATTTTTAATGTTCAGTTTGTCAAGACATTTTATAAGGCAAAATTATTATAAATCTTTAATAATTACAATTGTTCACGAAAGCGGATTTACCGAAACAAAAAGTATATAATTACAACGAAAGCTGATTGCATTGCGTTTTTCAAGCTAGTTAAATAAGCGACACGATTGTCGCCCGGTAAAAATATTTTTTCGTCTAGTTGGATAGTATTTTGAGAGACTGGACGAAACACAATTAACTGTCAATAAAAAATTGTTTTTAAATTATGTAAAATAAATAATCAAGTTGTGTTACATAATTGAATATGTTTAATATCTTAAGTACAGGTTTTAAATAACTTTGGAATCGTATTATAGAATGTATATTATAAAAAAAATTTAATTTGTTATATTATAGTTAAAACTCATAGACACGAACTTGCTCTATCATACTGTATAATGGGTCCCCTCGTTAAGCTCGAATAATTTATACATTATATTATATTTATATATAATGTTTTTTATTAAAAAATAAATAAATATAAATCAACGATGTATACATTTTAATATAATACATTGTAATATTATTGATGCTTACTTTTTCTATTAGCATTAAGATTTATTTTTGAAAACTATGCGGAGCGAACGTGAAATACATTGACTATTTTAATAAATGGTTTGTCATCCAGTGAAAATGCACTGTTATAGTGTAAATATTTTACGTTTTTAAGAATAATATACACGAGTTTTATGTAAATTACAATTCCAACATTAAGCTTGTGAAATAAAACGATAACATACCCAGAGCACAAAAAATAACTACGGTGGTAATAATGAAATACTGAACATAAATACTGATAAACAAAAATAATTACAACATTTTTATGTTTTTCGATTATTTTTATTCAAAAATATACAATATTAAATATGCACAAAGTATAAACGATCAAATAGATCAATAATAATAATAATTAAGTTTAATTAAAAAATTTTAATAAGTATGGGGATCGATGAACAAATGTAATAAAGTGAATTAAATGGATATATGTAATGTACGTAATTAGAAACTAAATACGTGTTACAGAAATAAATTATAGAGTAAAATATTAAAAGAAATGAATAATATTAAAATATGAACATATTTTCGAATTAAAAATAAAAAACTATTGGTATCGATTTACGTTATCAATTTACGCCCAGAAATATACTCCTCGCTACATGTTGATACATATTAAAATTTCACTGCACTGCTGTACAGAATTCTGTGTTTGACATTTCCTTTCTCTATCTCCCTCCCTCTCTCACTCTCTCTCTCTTTCACAAATATCTGCACGCGCACGTGGTTCGTAAAATCTTTATTTCTAGGTTTATGATGGGTGTTGCGCGGTCGAAAAAAAATAAGGCACCGCGTTAACATGTGATAAAATGATATGAAAATATAGGTAAAAAAGCCCGGTTCTAATTTTAAGGTTATGAGTAGGAAACGGATTTATATTTAATAAAAATACAGAAATATGTGAGAATATAATTTAATTAAAAAAAAAAATTCAATTATAATTATTAAATTATCAAAATGATTTGCTTAATCAGCCAAACACTAACTATAAAAACCTATTGCTATAGCCTTTCATCGATTGTAAATTGTATATAAATGTACCTATACTATATAAAGATATCTTGTTTATTAAGATTATAAGATAAAGACTATAAAACTAAAGGTAATTACTAAATATTTGGTCCACGATGAGCGTCACAATTAATAATTAATTAATTCATAACATCCATTGGCTCCTAATAATAAATTAATTTATTTTTAATGTTCAAAAATAATAATTAAATCGACAAAATACCGATAAATGGTTGTTTTTGTCCACTGTCACATAGCTTGAAAACGTATGAATGATGAAATGATAAAATATATTTAAAAATATTTACAAATTAGTGAAATAAAAGTAGCATCATTTTAATAGGAATGATTTAAATCATGAACATTTTTATCAAATCTTAAATATCTTGTTTTATTAAAAATATGCATTTACATAATAAATCCGTTCCCTAGTTATGAGTATGGATAAGGCATCGAAAGAAATCCCATTGATATTAATACAGAATCGGAACAAATGTATTGAATCAAAAAATTAAAATTAAATATTTCATAGTATCAAATGATAGTGAAATTTTATAATGATCCATACCTATTGATATCGATAATATTGATAAAAATATTCGTATATCTAGTGTGGATAATTAGGACTATGTCCTCATATCTAATCTATTCACTAGGAAAATCTAAATATTTTCAATCAGATCACTTTATTAGAACAAGGGGTTCAATTTGATTTAAAATAAAATTCTTAGGGTTGAGCTTGGACTAAAAATCAATAATTTATTAACTAAATGAAATCATAATAGCGTAATAAATGAGGCAAAACTATTGTTTTCGTAAAAAAAAAATGTGCACAAAATAATATTTTGTCTCTTATAAATTATAAAATTTAGAATTGCACCACTGGTCCAACTCGTACGGTAATCTGGTAACATTATTGTTATAATATTTTTACTAATTGATTTTGTATCTTATGTTGCTATTGACATACAAAGTATTCGTGTATTTCCTCAGATTCATATATATATAGTCTATAAATAGTATTCTATATTTCTTGTCTTCTCAGTGAACTGTATCATAACATTGATTTAAACATATTTAATCTACGACCCTACCGATTAGGAAACCCACTGCATTGTGATGTTTTAGAAAAATACTAGTAAATAACTAGTCGGTGTCGGTCTTGATTGGGAAATCCCTCTACACGCTCAAATAACTCAAATAAATCTACTTAAAAAGCATTATTCGATACGATTACAATATGAATACGTTTGAAGTCGAACCGATAGGGCCGCTAAATAAGAGATTCGATAACATTCATTCGATACTACTTACTTTATACTACTTTTTGTAGTATTTTTTCATCGATATGAGTAAAGTTTCGAAACAAGAAGAAATTGTATCAAAAGAAAAATATCGGTACTAGAGCTCTTAATACACGTGAATTCACGTGTCACGTGTCACGTGTAAAATCCAAAATAAAAACGTATATTCTTAACTTAATACTGTACTATTAATATTTTATTAAAACTTCAAGTGTATAACATAAAATTACTAATTTTACCATTGTAAAAATGGATATATATTTTGGATAAACATGTATTTCACGTTTACACGTGAATTCCGTGACACGTGTTTTAAGAGCTCTAATCGGTACATCATTGACATCGGTAGTACAGCTGAGTCCCTAGTTTTGAGGCATTTGTATTTTTTCAATTTTTCTCCAAATTCATCTAAAAATGTGAAATCACTTATAGCCGTTTCTGGGCACTTCTTAATCATAACAAACCCACCAAAATAACCGACCAGGGCACGATGACAAAACAACAGTACACACAGTACACGTTAACACAGGTACTCACTTTTCCTCGTTGTTTCACTCGTGGACCATTTTGGTCTTCTGCAATTCCTTGTTCGTCACTATTAAACATAACGCATGCAGTTAACGATAACTATAATGCAAATGCTGCACGGGCGAAAAAAATAATGATACAGACGAGTTAAATCGTGAAAACGATGTGATTGCACATAGCCCAAGAGCACGTTGGCATGCCAAGAGAGCGCTGATGTCGGTAACGGTGGTTGTGCGATCAAAAACCAGTTCTCGTTTGAGGGTGGGGGTGAATGGTAGGTACGTGGTGAAGATTATCAGTGTTGGGTTTTTTTTCGGTCCATTCCTACTTGGTATAACCCTTATACCAGCGTTTCACAACTTATGGGTCACAAAATATTTTTTATGGGTTGCTGTTCATAAACCAACGACAAGAAAAATATCAAAAATATCTTAGTTATCAAAATACAATTATACGTATACAGTGTATCCCGTTTTAAATGTATTAGCTAATGTAATGTAATGTATTAGCTAGCTAATAAAAACAGTATTTCAATCTAAAATTATAGGGGTGAGATATTTAGTGGTATTTAGTGATATATAGCGGAATAAATATTATCAGTTTTGTAGTGTTGTGTATTTGATGAAATTCCTTATATTAAAATGATTAGTAATGTAATTACAAATAATTGGTATTTTTTTTCTTTTGCAAGGTCGTCTACCCAACACAAAGAACATTTATTGACCATACTCCTTAAAAATACTAAATTTCATCAACATATTGGAATGTTTCTTATATTTTGTTTTCCCCGTTTCGCGTTGGTAATTCATCACGAGACAAGTATTTCGACATTTTGCACGATCATTTTTTGAGAGATAAAGGTATAATTTTGTTCCCCCCCCCCAGATAATCTAACAGTACAAATAGCACTTTTTATTAATGAACTCTTATGGGTATTATTTAACAATATTGGTATCTGCTACCTACAATTTATGTTTATCTAAACCATAAAATGAGTTAAAAGACTTATGTAAAATCAAACAATTAGATGTACTGTATAAAATACATATAATAAAAATATGTTTTAACTGGTGAGGGGGAGGGGCATCAGGGTTTGGTAGTAATAAATATATTATATTGCCCTCCCCCTTTAGGTTTTTTCCCAGTTATGCCAATGGTTACGTGTGTGTCAGCACATCTTATGAACTAAGACAACGAGAAGGTCTAATAAGATATTCGAATTTCACAATTAAGATGATAAAGATCTTAGTAATTTTGTGTTACGAGCTAAATAAGAGCTGTGGAGATATGCTCTATTGTGCGGTGATGAATATTTGTTGTATACAAGTATATTGACAAAATATATATTTAACATTTGTGATGTTTGCGATTGTAATAGAGTGGTAGAGGTGACGTAGTACAATAACAAGGGAGATAAAAATGATAATAATAATCGGCTTCAATCAGATAAAACTACATGGTCATAAAGTCACATTGCATGTATGACTGTACTATACTTGATTCATTAGCTTTACGGGTAAATTCTTGACGACCACCAAGCTTGTTAAATATTTGTTAAGAGTAACAAAATCGGTAAGATTTTTCAGACAAAATTGAGAAGTTTAACGTTATTTCAATTTGACGAGATGTCATTGGATGGCAGGGACTAAAATTGTGTGGAGTACGATACATTTTGTGTAATACGAAATGTTTAGTATGTAGTACGAAATTAAAAAGTGTGTTGTGGTTCTATTCTCTATATTATGGTATTTGTTTTTAATTTTATATTTTTGTTTTATTAAATTATCTTACATATTTTAAAATTTCAAGATGTATTACTAACAAAATCTAAATTACCAACTATACGAGTATTAGCTGTGTTAGGTTAGGTTAGGCTAACCTAACCTAACCTCATTACTGTTGACGTTTAAAATGGGAGAATGACAAAATCCTTAAGTGTGCGGTACGAAAAATGATATATTTTATCCTCTTTTGGATAGTGTTAGTTGGAAATGTAGTCTTGTTTTTAAGTTGTTGGAACTTAGAAGCGATTTGAAGAAACAAAAATTTCTTTTTTATTCAAGTGAACCGAAGAATTTGAAGAAGTCGACGAGATAGCGCTCTTTGTTGGATTTTTCTTTATTTTTGATCTACAAACTCCGCTTTTGTTTATTATAATAAGAGGTGAAACTGTGTTAGTCATGGGCCATAATTAATCTATATTTAAAAATAAATTGATAAGATACGCGATACACATTACGGGACGGTCGCGCACTAATTATCTCTTCGGTTGTGAAAGTCCGATTAAATATTGTTTTATTTGGCAACGTAAAGGAATTAATAGGGATTTAATATGGTTTTTATTTTAAAAATGGCTTAGATAAGGATACGCTTTTTATTTTATAATCAATAAATGATCAATGTGTAACAGCCTCTATTTTTAAGTAAAGCCCGATACAAAGCGTGTAGTTCGAAACTGAAAGTGTGCAATACGGATTCGAGAAGTGTGTACCTACTAAATACTAATAAATAAGACCACTATAAAGGTGTTTTTAAAGAAGCAGTTTAAGCAAGACAGCTGATGAGGACTTAAATATATCTATTAAAATAATAATAATAAATATTAAATATTAAAATAAATAATTTGTAAATAGTTTTTAGATTTATACCAGTTAAATATAAATTTTCGGTTTAAAAAATAATATCAAATTTGGTAATTACCTAATTATAATGTGCAATTTGATTAATAAAAAAAAACTATTACTAAAAATTATTACTGACATTCTACTACAAATTATAATCACATGGTAGAGAGTAGAAGGGGGCTCTGTGTCATATCATTGAACATTAAAAAATGTGTAGTACGAATTTTTATGAAAAATAGGGGCTGACGTGTAACTAAATTTCTAAACTTTTGGAAAATGGCGACGGCCAACAAAAAATCGCACTCAATCGTGATATTATTCGATTGCATTAGCAGTCCTCCGTTATGTACGGAGTACTTTCAATCGTACATATAAATTGTACTATCGTGTTCAATAATATCTTACCGTTTTGAAGGATTCTATGAATTAAGCATTTAAAATCATAAAACAATAATTGAAGACATATTATTATTATTGAAGTAAACTGCGTGAATAGGAACATGTAAAGAAATGCTTGATACCAATGGTAAAATGGTCTTATCCACATGCACTCTTGTAATATTTTTGAAATAAATATTTACCCAATGTCGAAAAGGAGATTTTAAACTCCTTGATTTATTTATTGATGAAAATAATGTTTTTTTGTCCGTTAGTAATCATGCGCTGAAATATTTTCACGACACGAGCAATACGGCCATCATGTACAGATTATAAATTGTTCATAGAAATGGTACTTAAAATAATTTATGTTTTCAAGTCATCCCGTGTAATAGTCACCAAAAGCCAAGGTTTCGACGCTGTAACGTTGGAGACGGGAGATTTGCGGCATAATTTCCGGTTGGTGAGAAATGGTGTAGTTTACGGCACTTTACGGTTTTCGACATTATCGATTCCTGACATTCTGTTATATGCATTGTCCAGAAAATAATAACCGTAAGGACTTGAAATTGTTACAGAGTATTTATATTTAAATATTATGTGGATCAAATCCGTCTGATTGGGATGTACCCACATAAACGGGTAAACAAAAAATTAAATTTTTCCGACTGTGTACTAAAATAGTGTTATAATATGTGGCATTGACCTTTCTGTTATAACTGTACAAATACAAAATATAGTATATGCGTAATATAAATTCTGTATGTTCAATTCTCAACAGGTGTTAAATCCAATAATGTGATCAATTTAATAATTATGAAAATTAGAAAAGTACTTCTTGTCAATATGATGTTTGCTACTTTACATTTTATTTCAATGTACTGTAATTGTATATATTATTGATTATATTTCATTAAAAGAAACTATTAAATATATAAAATCCATTTGGATGGAATTCAAGAGCTAAGACTTACGTTTTTCGAGATGCGATTAAAGTACGCTTTTATGTTTTATTTAGCTACCTACTAATTAGAACGTATTGAAAATGCTACGGAAAAAAAAAGGTAATCGGTAACGATTGAAATACGCCCTTGTATTATACACAAAAGATTTTTGACAGTGTTTTGGTCGGAATTGTTACATGGAAGTAATTTTATTTTATTGATTATTATAACTTTCAATAAAATTAAACAAAAATGCTTTATACATAATAGATTTAGGCATTTTACACTTTTTTGCAAATAAAATAATAATAATTTTTTTAACATTTTAAGAATAAATATACAATAGGTATATGATATTTTTATAAGTAGAGTATTTTATAAGTATATTTTTGTTGAGCTGTGAACTATAAGCATTCGTGTCGTTGACTTTTAAATTTGGCAATTCAGTCGAAAAGTTGAAAACCAGCGTCCTTGTGTCCATAAATATTTTGTAAAGAATTTATTACTATTAAAATCACGTACCCTGATTATATATGATACTTATACATGCATATATATATATATGTAGTTAATTTTCAATAATTCAAAGTTAAAGAGGGAAACAAATTCGACTTATTACAAATCAGTTATCAAAAATTTGAAAAAGTACATTTTTATTTTTAAACACACATCGAAATACTTAACATTAAAGGAATAATAAAATATATAAAAACAATATAAATAATGTATTGTATTTATTTAAAATGTATTTCTGGTGATATTTATTATAATTTTAATTTTAATGTAGCTTTGTTAGTGTTTTTAACTATTATCGGTCATTGCTTATCAATTTCAAGACATTATTCGGCTCCACACGTATCACGTCCCTCATGGAAGGGCGTATTTGAGTTGAGGGGGGGGGGGGGGGAATCTAATTTCTCTTCAATACAAACTTAAAAATAATTTACAGTTCATTACCTACAGTTCATGTTTCTTTTATAATGATGACATATTATAAAGATAGACTAGTAATTTATATTCTTAATTATTTATACATTACATGTTTTAAGTAAATAAATGTGTTATATTCAACAAAAATACGAGCCATTGGGGGGGGGGGGCAAATCCCCCTCAAATACACCCTTGCCCTCGTGCGTTAATTTACATTGCTTTTGCAATTAAAAACCCATTAATTTACACTGGTAAACACTCAAACAACTTCGTTCTGATAAAATCCAGACATGTTAGCTAGGATCATTATAATACTTCACCATATTTGACTCGAGCATATATATTGGTTCACGAGATTCCAGTTCATTTTTTTAATCATGTGAATACCACGTCATTTGATTTTTAATGTAGTTACGTGTCTTTTTTTCAGCAAATCAATACTCAACTTCATCTCAAAAATGCAGACACCGGAAAAATATTTTAAAAAATTACTTTTTCCAAATTCAAATTACAATCTGTTGTACCGGACCGATATATGAGATTGAATTTTAATAAAAATATCATACCAATCCCAAGTATGAACGAATTTCTTGTATTTGTTCAGATAACCCCGGAGCGAAATTCGCTTATCCACTTATTGGATTTTTCTACTTCAAGAGCGTATTTCGTAATACGTATTTATAAAACTATAAATATGAAAATATTTGAGATGAAAAAATATTTGATCATAAATTGTATTAGTACAGCTCGATGTAGCGTTACTGGATGTCCCCTTCTATCAAGCCGTAAAGCTTTGTAAATATTTCCGTACATATATATACATATATATATATATATATATATATATATATGTATATTGGGGTGGCCCTTATTTTTGAACTTCCAAATTTTTAATTTCTCACATCTTCATTTTGTTTATTATTATGAGATAGAAATTTAACTAAAATTTTTGTAAAGTATACTTTACGTGACGCCAGAGGGTTAAAAAATTGCAAAATAAGGTTGGTTTGTTATTTTTTGAATATAATCAATAAACTATTGAACTTACCGTAAAAATGTAAATAACTTAAATTATAGATACGAGTATTTATATTTTAATAAAAAAAACAAATCTATACAATTTTTCATACATCTATTATTTTTATGAACAATTATATAACATCAAATATTTCATATATTTTAAAAGAAATAACATTTTTACGGATTTTCAAGTATATCAGAATAATGATACGACACAAAATATCCCATGCAAAAATGATGATAAATTAAATTTTCTAAAAAATAGTTATTAAATTTAAATTGTATTGGACTTATTATTTAATAGTAAAAGTTGGGTAAACTTAAGAAAATTAAGAAAACTAAAAAAAATATATTTAATGTTTATAAGAATTGGTTAACTCAATAGTTTCAATAATAATACAATTTAGAGTCTCTGAATTATAGGAGGAGGAAAAAGATAAATATTTTTAATTTTTCATCCCTCTAGTATTTTTCATTACTATAAAAAAATTATGCAGGTTAAATTTGGTGAAGATTAATCACCCCTCTTACATACCACAAGAGGGTTAAATATTGCCATACAGAGTGGTTTTTTTATTTTATTTTTTTATTTTGTGCAAAATATATTTCATTATGCATAAAATTGTATAAAACCTAAATTGTAGATTCAAATATTGTCTACAAAAATATTTATTTTAATATTTCTAGTGAATCTATTATTTTCTATGAATAATGCTATAACATATAAATTATTACCTTTTTCTGAAAAAATTCAGAGCCCCTGAACCCCCCCCTCTCTCCTCCCATAAAACCACCACTATCAAGGGCTCTTTTTTGTTTTTTTACCAAATTTCTATCAGTTCCTAATAGGCAGTCTCCCCTGTTGCTTTGATAAAAAATTTTAATCTTCCTCAAATTTTTTCATATTTAATGCATTTGATTGAGATACAACGAATAAATCATTTAATTTTTCGAATTAATTTTTTGAAATTGAAATATTTAGTACGTATTTCTGATACGTTTTTAGCCGATTTTTGTAATTCTCGTAAGTTACTTTTCTAGTTTTGAAATACAATGCTGTTCATCACGAACTGATATTCTCGCTTTTGACCAAAAAAGTATGGCTTTTTTAAATACCAACCTTGCACTCTCTTACAAATTTAATTTCATGTGTCTCAAATTAAAAAACAGTTTATTCAAAACTTGTTTGATTGTGAAGTGAAGTGAAAACATTAATTTTTTTTTCTTCCTATAACCAAGAGCAATCTAATATATGTATTATGCACCATATTTATTGCGTACAAGTTTTGAATATTTGTCTCAACATAATTTTATCGAAAGAGAATCCGGTCTGGTTCAAGTCAATTTTTATCCGGAAAATTAAACAGCGTTCGAACGCACAAAGCCGAGCCGGCCGCATGACAGGGCTATCAGAAATGTTAATCCTGTAGAGGAGGCCAGTGCGTACTCGATCGTACCGGAGATTATTAAAAAATAAAGTTACTAACTTCGAATATTTTTTTAAATACTAAGCGATCAACCGTTAAATAACCCGTATGAACTGTTTCGAATCTAAAACGGTTACCATTTGCTGTTGGTGTGCACAAGTCATGTTGAATTCGCCGATTAGTCGTCCTCGTTCGGTGCCGTAGTTATTATTGCCATTAAAAAATGAATCACATCATGTGTGTGTGAGTGCGTGGGGGGGGAATCCAAAGCCCAAGGGGGTACGGGATTTATACGGACACCTATGTGTTTACGACCGCCATGTCACTGGCGGTGTCACGATACGATAGCATAGCACATGGTTTGCAAACGAAATATGAAAACGATATTGTTCTCCTCGGACCCGGTACGTTTTGATTTACGAGTGTGACAAATGTTCATAATCCGCGGATAATATTAATCGAATAGCTGTGGGTTTTATTTTATGGAAAATACTAAATAATAGGAGTAAAAAATAAAATGGGATGAAATAATAATCGAATACCAAAAAACTACCGTCGATGGTACATTTACTATTGTATCTACGTTCAAAGCAGTTGGTAACGCTCGTGTGTTATCATCCGAACGTATCAGCTGGGCAGTCAACGAGTTTCGGTTATCAATATTACATGATCCATAAAAAAAACTCGTAAAATCAAATAATATGTCCAGGTACTGCTGTAAATCGATTCCAGTAGAATTAAAAAAATAAAGGAATAATAATAAAACATTTTTCGGTTCATTTTCGCTTCGCTTTACATAAAAAAATTATGGAAAAGTTGTTATTATCTTAATGGCTTCAACTGTTTGTTTTTGAGGTCATGCTACCGATAACTTTTCAAGATACTGTTTTTTAGTGTCGGTTATAATATCAGTTTCTAAAAAAATAACATTATAACTGGTGAGTACTTGCTGTTTTTCATTATAAATTTTATTTTTTTTACGCACATTGCCGTATTTTTTGTTTCTTCGCAGAACATTGTTAGTTGATCCGTTTGTTTTTTATTATTATTACTATTATTACATTACTTGCTTTCATAAAATCTAATTATGAACTACCTAATGTTTATTAAGTTGTCCAATTATTTATTGATTGAGTATTCTGTATAACGATTTGTATCACATTTTTGTGATTAATAAATTTTTAACTTATCGGCTTTTTTAATCTTTTATAGTTCAAATTATATTTCGTATTAAATTTTTATTTGGGCATTTATTGGAATTCACGAGTCACGTAGTTAATTTCATAATGTTTCAAAACGTTTAAAAGGTTTTATTGTATTATTTTTCCGTCGTACAAAGTAATATTTATTTGTGAAATTGTTTAATAACAATAATTATAACAGACAATTGAAACGATTGAATAAAAAATATTATTAACTGACTGTTTATTTACTATTTATTGATGTCTTACCATTATGTTTTTTAATTTTAAAAAGTATATTTCTTGTTAAGCAAATTGAAAATTTGTTTTTTGCTTATTTAGACACAACTTCTAGCTGTAAAATTTTGTAATTTACAAATTGTATATCAATATTATATTTTCTACTATATTTTCGAAATAATTATCAAAGAACTAAATTGGTGGTTGTAGATTTTTTATGGTGTTATTAACAATAATATTTTTTAAATTCTATCGGAAGCCATCGAACTTACAATAATGTGTGTTTTGCTAGATTCGATATTGAAGCCGTTTAGTACTTTTTTAAAACCCTATTTTTAAGTTTCCTTATATTCTACCTATTTGTTAGGATTGAAATTTTATTTATTTATTTCGTATGGCTGGTATACAAATCAACACAATTAAGGCCACAATATAAATCAAATATAAATCAAAACATAAGTATAAAATAAAATAAATATGAATAAAAATATAAATAATTGTATGTAAAATGTAAATAATTAAATATATAATAAATATAAAAGTACATAGTCATGATTTATTGATAAATCCATAGTCATAAAGCAATGTCTAATTCTTGAATCCAGTCTAAATCAATAACTATCAAAATACAACGCAAACGATGTGCACTTGTTTTGATAAGTTTTACTAATCAATTTTGTGAAAAATTTAAATCTCTATATTAATTATTCAAACGCCATAATCTCACCGGCTCATTTATAAACGAAACTAATGCGAATTTTTTTGTATGAAAATCGTTAGTAGTCTTCGTTCATGTTTGAGTATCTTTATTTTTATTTTTGTTTATTTTGGTAACCAACTTTTTTTTTAAATATATCGTCAATCTTCTACAATTGTTTTTATGTTGCTCAAAATTAATAAGTAAAGATTTAATTTATTCTTAACATGTATTCGGATATTCTTACTTGATGTAAGCCAATATTAATCGATTTTAAAAATTATTTACATTTTAATCGTTTTTGTATAGTTAATGTTAACATATAGTTTGTTGAGATTCGTTGAGAATCTGTGTGGTTTTATTTAGAAAATTAGAAAGAAAAGTATAATTTACTAATGAATTATTTCTTTTAATTTAACAGATATATATATATTATTATTATTATTATTATTTAGGTAAACCTTTCTCAGTTCGAATGTGTAGATAATAATTTATTAACCTGGACCGACAGAAACTCTTGGGATATCTACACGAATAATTTATTTTTATTTTTTTTTAATCGAAAAAGACACAAATGTATACATTATTATCCAGTAATATTTTCGATTATCTTATAAATTGCCTTATAAATGTTTTAAACATCTCTAATTGCATAAGAAAACCTTGTAATACCTATTGTCTATAAGTTAATCTCTCTCGATTAACATCTACTAGTCTCTTGAAAATTATTGTCTACAACTTATGATTAAAAAAAAGTGGACATTATATATGTGTATATAACTTCAACTGGTTGATCTCAACTAATGTTAAAATATTTAAAAATCTAAACCATAATCCTTCTTTGGGGATTTAATTGTTTGCATAGTTTAATTTTAAATTGTACTGAGTACCTATTTTTTCAATATCAGCATAAAAATTATCTCGTTTTATCGCTGTGAGAGTTTTACCCTAATATCGGTATGAAAGTTATCTCGTTCAACAGGTCTGAAAGTTATACTGTTGATTTGGTATGAAAACGGTATGTTTAATAAATACTAACTATAAACCTAATATAAAAAAAATGTTATTTAGTATTAACATTGATAAATGAACAAAATTTTTAAAAATCTTGATATGCTAATTTTTGTAAAAATATCTACGTCTTGTAAACAAGTTTTAAAATATTACTTTTTCGAAACTAAAATTTTTCATTATGTCGCCAAAAAATGTTATGCCATCAATAATTCTTATGAGCATAATTTAAGTTAATGAGCTTATTTTGTCAATTTTTAAACAATAAAAAATGTATGTCTATCAATAGTTTTGCAATCAAGATTAAAGCAAAGATCATTTACCTTTATATTATACCTTTGGTATTATAGAGTTATTGATGGATTTTAATTATCACATAACTGTTTTATTATCTAATTTTATTCTAATTTATTGTTTTTAAGTACGAAATGAGAGATTTGTTACATAATGGTAATATATTTCGGTTGATCGTAAATTCTTTATCTTATAAGTTATTTTATTACTTCTTTTATTACGCACTGAATTCAAAATAGTTCATAATAATTAGCAAATTATATAATATAATTTTAATTAACTATCATAAAATCACAGATTTAATCACTATTTATTAATTAATAATTTATGCTGAAACAGACAAAAATTGCAGTTATTTTACATGTTTTGTAATTAATATAAAATTTAATAAACAAAAAGAATCATTAAAGAAATTAAATTGAACAAAATCACTACTTGATATGTAATAAGTATTGAGTTTACAGAGCTATATGATATTTGTAATTTTGGTATGTATTGTTTTATAATAGTGGGAAAATATCAGAGTTATTGAACTATAATTCGACAATCAAGACAATAAATACATTTATAAACAAATAACAAAATTTAACAAGTGATGTTCAGCTATTCAAAATATTTACATTACAATTATTTAATGTTTTTAGTTATTTTATGTTTAATAATATTTTTATTTTTAAATGAATACATATTTTAAAGCGGTTTAAACTAGTTTATTGTAATCTGTGACTATTAAATAATAATGTCTGGCCTACTGCCCTAATATTAATTAACTGTGATTAACTGTGACTGTGGTTATTTTTTTTATGAATCTAGTTTTGTTTATAAAAATATATTCGATTTTCATTCTGATATTCAGTAAAATAAATTTTAATGCAATTTATTATCGAATTATAAGTATTACATAATATAAATTGTTATCAATTATAATAGTATAAATGTGATATATATATGCAAATGTAAAAAATAATATTTTGACTAAACAATAGTTGTTTACTTTTGAGTATTTAAGAGCACGGTATTTTTGAAAATACAGCTTCAAGCATTATTTTAAATTATGTTTACATTATACACATTTTATTTATTTACTATAAATAGAATTATTTCTAAAAAAAAAATGTATTTTTATGTAGTTACGAATTTAACCCTAATTAGAATTTATATTAATTTGTGACTGAGTATTATTTTTTTTATTCTTTTATACACGTGTTTAAATCCGTTAAAACTGTATACTTGTGCCCATAAACAAAATTGTAAATTAATTTAATTTATCGTTCGATCAGTATAACTTTATATATTTACTCTTAGGTACATAAAATACGATTTATTTTGTTTTTATTTTAACAGTATATTTGTAGTAAAACAATTTTATTGCTGACTATATTGAATTATTTAAGATATAAACGCTTAATGGCTCTATTTTATTGTTAAACAAAAGTATACGTATACAAAATGCAAAAAATGTAAAAAAAATATCAAATTGATCTCGGTGTTATTCAGTTAAGTGATGTTTAGGTATAAAAAATAAAGTAAATTTTTAAAAAGAATACGTGTAAAATGTTATTTTAAATTATACACTTTGTAGATTTAAAATGTCTCTGTTGTCTTACACATTTTCTGCTGTATTTTCTAGACAAAAATTGATTATGTTTAGAAAACATATTATTTTATTAATACCGTTTGTTTTTTAAGTGGTCATTGTTGAATGCCGACAAACTTCCTTTACTAATAAGAACAAATGATTTTTAAACCGAATGGAAATTTATGATTTTTGTATTCGATACGAAGCACTTATGTATAATCTATCTGACACAACGATGATCCTTAGAGTCCGATGTATAAGTAACCGTTATCGGTATTGATAATAAATACAGCGTTTAACATGTGCGGGATCCATTGTAATTATTGATCACTGTGTTCCTAACTCACGTGCAGAGAACACGGTATAAATTATATCCGAGTACCTTGTCGTGGTAGAATATGCAAAAATGTGTTTTCCCTTGTTTATTTATTTATTTTTTAATATTTTATGTTGAATAATACTCGTAACCGTGTTCATTAATAATGTTATAGACGAAAATAATAATAATAATAATAATAATAATATGCACGCGCTTCCATAGCGCAGGGCCAAATATTTAGTGCGGGTGTGTGTGCGTTAATAACATTGGCAGCTGGTGGAGCGCAAGCGCTGCCACACCGTACAATGGGCGAGATGAACGAGGAAAGTCATCGGAGCTTTGCGATCGCTGCGTTAGTTGCGCGCTAGTGTCACCGGAAGTCACGTACGTACGAGACGCGTACACTATTTTTCGCGCACCCCGTCGTTTTTTTTGGTAAAAATTATACGAATTTATTTTCGATTTGGTTTATATTTTTTTTTGTTGAATTCGCCGTACCTCGTTGTGAATTTATCCGTACAACGCATTGGCACGTAACGATTCTTAATTACGTTTGAATGAAATGCGATGCTTTACATGGTTTTAATGTACACCTTTAATTTATTGTAAGTAAAGTATTTTTTTGTTTTTTTTTCCAGGTGAATTTTTAACGTACGAAAGTTAAAAAACAACTACCGAAATGGCATTCGCCGGCCTCAAAAAGCAAATTAATAAAGCCAACCAGGTAAACATACCTATCATTCTATTATTATATTTACGAATAGTTTTAAATTGAATGTTGCTTACATCTACGTCAATTTTGTGGACGGGTTGAAAAACTTGTGCACCAAGAAATAAACACGAATTAATTATTTTATTTTCGATTTAATTAATATTATTTGTTTGGATAAAAAGATAATATTTTTTTCAAATTAATTTTGTATGTAACAATCAAATTGTGAGCTATTATGAACTATTGTTAAAATTTGTATCGTTTAACTTTTTCGTAGTGACGGCGCATTATGTATGCAATATCAATACTACTTTTTATTTTATTTTCTGTGAAAAATAGCTAAATTCATTTGACAGGCATTTTTTCTGAATAACGTTTCATTTTTTCGGTAACGCCCATATTTTATAAATTTACCATTTACTCAGATAACGGTTATTAGAGAAGGTTTCAAGCATTAAAGAAAATGTAATTGTTCGCACTTACAATACATTTATCCGTTTGCGTTTATAAGTTTAATTGTAGGAATAAATTACACCAAGAAAATATAATTTTCACGCAGCTGGAATTTAAAAAATGAAATGATTAAATCAAACAAACGACGGTTTATAGTGCAAAATTAGCCTATTTAAATACATTTAATGAAATTAACTTTTGTGTTGTTTTAATCTCTGAAAATTATATTTTGATTAATTCGTGTTTTTGTGTTGGCACAATGTTCCTTTAGTAACAGCAAACACAGACGCGTATCAAGAGTATCGAAAAAATAATGATTTTTGATTTGTTTGCAATTTAAATGTTTATTCATTTTACTTTTTACATTTGTCATGATTTATGTTGGTTATAGATAAAAAAAAAACAATTTTTTATCCGTTTTGACTAAGAGAAGAAAAAGTTAAAAACGAGGCCAAGGGAGTGTTATAACGTTACGTTAGTGTGCGTATACGTATAAAAGTGTGTGGTGTGCGTTGGGTTGGGAGTCGAGAGCATTTTATTGATTAACAAAGCTCTGTATGCCCATAGCCTGGCGTGGAAGTGGTGTATAGTTCTGACGATATTGGCCAGGGTCGAGGAGAAGGGGGTTAGTCGTGCAATTCTTATCTGTTGGTTTCCTATCCATTCGCCACCTTGTTATAATAAGGGTACAAAATGACAAACGAAGTATAATAAGAAAAACACTTGATTATTTTTTGCCTTAAACACATACACTTACATTTAACATTTTAATAAAAAATGATAAAAATATAAATTATTTAATTTAAATTTATGTAATATTTGCGTATGCTGTTAAACATTTTTATTTTTTTTTTTAACATTTTTATTTTCAAAATGTCGGCTAAGTCAATAACGAATTGTACTTAAAAATTATCTACATTATATTATATTCAAAATAAAATTGTTTATTTTGATACCTAAAATAAACGCAAAAGTATTTTTTTTGCTGACGAAAATACTTTATTTTTAGACTTTAAAAACAAATGATAATCAGTGTTGTGAATTATATTTTTAATTGATATATTATTTTATGTTATGGCGATCACTTTTATTATTTTTCAAAATGTTATACATTAGAGCACAATAATTAAATTTATTTTTTATGCTTCTTCAAGTATCTTTTACGGTTTAAATTTGGATTTTATTTGACAAATTATAGAAATTTTATATTTTTAAAAATAATATTTTATATAGTACAGTTTATTGAAACTGTTGAAAAGTTTACTTTAATTTTATTTTAACTGAACGTCAACTTGAACAAATATTTATACTTCTACTTCAAAATGAGTCAAACTAGGTTCGATTAAATGGGTTCCTTTAATGGTTGTAACATACTACTTTAATTTATTATATGATTATTTTAAACTATTCGTTGATGTTTAATTCATGAATTCGTTAATTTATTAATATAAGACTTTTAAATAAACCAATAAAGGCATATAACACATCTGCGATAAATTTATTAGTTTTTTTTTTGTATACAAGTAGCTTAGGTATTTTAAATAATTTGATCGTAAAATGTTGCTTATATTATAAAAGTGTGTTTGTTCTTTTGTAAGTATATGATTATATTAGCTGCATAATATGTTCTGCAGGTACCAATATTTTACATATTAAATACTACTGTAGATACATATATATATATATATATATATTACTTTGGCCTATACGACATGGTCGTTAGTTTTAAGACGATCTCATGGAGCATTCAGTAATAAATATCACATACATATATGTTTAAATCATTGGAACAACTAAGGTGGGTGGGGTTATGATCCCTCCCATCCAAAAATCTTCTGAAATTAATTTTTTTTCAAATGTACCCCCCCCCCCCCACCCGAAATTAAATCTTGATTGGGCCACTGGTTTAAATAACCTAATGTGAATGAGTTATGCTTATATTGGTATAGTATAATTAATTTACACTTACATTTTATTGATTTATCGAAACATACTTCAATATATTATTTTAATTTTATAGTATATGACTGAGAAAATAGGTGGTGTTGAGGGTACGAAACTCGATGTAGACTTCGTGGATATGGAAAGAGTAAGTGTTTTCATGACAATTTGCACTGCTATAAATATTAAAATTTGACAATTCTCCTTAACCAATAATTATTTGTATAGAAAACGGACGTTACTTATGAGTTGGTCGAAGAGCTACAGATGAAAACCAAAGAATTCTTGCAACCTAATCCTACTGCCCGGGCGAAAATGGCAGCCGTAAAAGGAATATCTAAGCTCAGTGGTCAGGCAAAAGCATCTACCTATCCACAAGCCGAAGGAACGCTTGGTGACTGTCTGCTCTTGTACGGTAAAAAGCTTGGCGACGACAGCTTGTTCGGTCAAGCACTGCAAGAAATGGGAGAAGCCCTGAAGCAGATGGCTGACGTTAAATACGCGTTAGACGATAATACTAAACAAAATTTCCTCGAACCTTTACATCATTTACAGACCAAAGATTTAAAAGAAGTGATGGTATGTATAAAAAAACAATTAACGAATTAACCTTGTATAAATTAATTTTTTTTTAGCATCATAGAAAGAAGCTACAAGGAAGAAGATTAGATTACGATTGCAAACGTAGGAAACAAGCAAAAGGTTTGACGATTTCGTTGTTTTATACTCAACGTAATATTCAAAAGTTAACTGATGAAAAACTCTGAATCAATTTTGATTTAGGTTCGCACGTTAGCGACGAGGAACTAAAGCAAGCCGAAGAGAAGTTTGCAGAATCTTTGCATAGTGCTCAGATAGGAATGTTTAACTTGCTAGACAACGACGTACGTTAGAAACTATTTTATTCGAAATTATTGTATATTTTGTATAATATGTGTATACATATAATTTTTTTTTTTTGTGTGTACGACGAAAGGTTGTTTGCTTGAAATAATTATGTGTGGATTTGCGTAGAGATAGTAAATGAAAGAACACGTTTACGGTAATCATTTCAGATAGAACAAATATCTCAGCTAACAACATTTGCGGAAGGTCTACTCGAGTACCATCAGCAGTGTACCGAAATTTTGAAATTGGCAGTGATGGAAATTCAGGAAAAGTACGTAAAAATGTCTATCGGCTGGAGGTTTTAAATAGCGATTTCCATTGTTGTGTGTTTCTTTCAGACGCGATCAAGCCGCCAGTCGTCCGAAACTAGAATTCGTGCCCAAGACTTTGAACGATTTACATCCAGTCGATGTCATCCCGGACGATATTAACGGTAAATCATTATTACGACGTATCATTTTCATTTTGCCTGTACCAATTATTATGAAATAACTCCAATGCTCGTAATCATCGAGATAACATTCGTCTTAACTTTAGTATCGTTAAATATTTAACTGCAATCTGCCGCGCTGAGGAAGTGTATAGCTGTCCAGAAATGAAGAGCGAGATATGCCGACATGATTATTTGTAGCCTTGTATAACTGATACATTACATATTTTATACGATTTTTGGGCAGAAGAAAAACATAATATCGTTTTCTCTTAGTTTCATTATAATATAAAATATAACGGTTTTTTCAGACGAGTACGAGTTGATGGAACCACAGCTCGCACACGTCAAAGGTAAAAACCAAACAACGATGAGTAATACATAAAACATTTATATTTACCACTGAAATTAATACATTTTTGTGTGATAGTTTGGTTTTAACCTAAAATTGTTTTATTTTGTTGGTGCATATTAACATACACGAAACATATAATTTGATTCTTAGTATGCCCACATAGTATCGTATACATAGATCCTAAACCTACGTATAATATTGTTTACTGAGCTTTTAATTAGAACCCAGAGTTCATTATAAATTCAATCACGTTTTTATTGAATTTAAATTATGTTTATCCGTATAATTTTTTTTTTTAATTTTATATTTTTTAGGCATTTAAGATCATCAATATTAAACATAAATTATCATTTTAATGTATTATGTTTGTGGTTTATAGTTAAGAGATAAATTCGATGTTTTAGATCTGTTATGGTAATAATTATAAACAATTTTAATTTGATTAATCCTGAAATTTATCTCGATTCTTCTAGTATTTTTTTTATAGTAAATACTATTAGACTTTAATTTAGACATTTTATTTTTAATCGATCTTTTTATGCATATTCATGTAATGATTTGATTTTTGTTTTTATACTTTGCCTATTCGATAAAACACTTATTTCGCCATCAAAAAAATCAATACTTGTCGAGCGATTATTGCGTCAATAATAGACCATTTATACGTATAAAGTTGACGAGCTTATATTTATCTATAGAAACTTACTTGGGCCTAAATTGTCGGCAGCGTATAATGATAATAATACGTTATTACGATGTAGCTAAATAGTCTCGTTGCTTTTATGTTTAAACTAAATTTTAGTACGTAATTAACATTTATAAACGAATAAAATTATGTATGTTGTAACCAAACGTGCCTTTGATAAAATGCTCAAATATAAAACATTAGGTGGTAGTTCACGAGCTTCGTCCCCGACCCACGCAAAGTCTAACACGCTGGAATTAACGTCCGGAGCAAATCATCACGATAACCAGCATCAACAGCCTCAACATAATGGTACCTATTGTTTAAGCATGTTTCCTATGTGCCTTATATATTTGCTATATTGGTGATTACATCAACTGTTATGACGCTTATGAATATTTTAATGCACTGCTCTTGCCGAGGTAACTCGATGCGGGTGTAGTTTGCGGTTATTTGCGCATCCGCCACGCAATGATCGCATTTAATGGTCTTAATGTAAATGCCTTTAGCCACTGTTGGAATGCATTATAATCCCGTTCCCGTCGTAGGGTAACGCGGATGTTAAAAGGAACAATCATGTGACTACTCAGTACAATACTATACCGTTTGCAGTAGTTGAAAACAGTAAAACCATAGTTTGTAGTTTATAAAATTGTACATAAATTAGAAATTATTATTAATATTATTATTATGATTATCACAGCTCAGATTTTGTACTGTAAATAATTTAAAAAATATACGCATTGTCTAAACTCTAAAACATTAATGTATTTATAAATTATAGTTTTTTTTCTCATTGAATATTTTTTTACTTACAATATGTAGATTTCTTGCAGTTATAATATTCACTATTACAATATTCGTGATGTAATATTGATTCGTTCACTTTTTTCTTAGCATTTAGACATTCTTTTTGGAAATACAGAAATAAATAATTTTCATTAAAAATAAAACACAGGGTTTGATTTTCTTGACTATGTACCTACATTATCAAATATGAGCCAACATAGTAAATAAATATCCTCTTTACCTGTATGAACTTTTATTGCGTATTATTCGTTGAACAAATTTCATGCACACCTTACTACCGTGCTGAGCTGCATATAATCATTAATCATGTAAACATATACAAATTCTGTTACAATTGAATCGGTCATTTTGAAAAGGCCATTTCTCCATACATTTTCAAAACTAGTTTTATGTGATAGATGTGTTTAACTAATAATAATGCATATTTCTTGCGAGCCATATCATAGTCGGTTTTTTATAAGGGAATTAGATTATTCAACCCATTTTCAATTTTTTTCTCAATTTAATTTTGATCTCTAAAAATAGTTTTTTACGTTTCCTGACAATTTTCATTTTGTGGAGATATGGCCTTTTCGAAATGGTAGATTCAATTATTATCAAATAAAATTGATTATTAAAAATAATCAAAATTATTCAATAATACGATTTTATTGCATCATCTGATGCTATTTTATACCGACGACGTCATACATTTCAATATGTGTTTATACATATATTTTTTATACCTGACACACTCTTTGTTGAAATAGGTTTTACTAAGAATATAACGTATTTGAATTCTCCGACTAATTCTATCGATCTTTAAATAAGTCACCAATTAAAATTCAAATGCATAAAATTCTTAGCAAGTATTTATAACGTTTGCAAATATTTGATTTAAACGAGTTTTAGAATCCATACATTTTTGCATGCTTTATTTGGAAATAATTAATAAGTTAAAAAAAATTTGCTCATATTGTCTAGCCTATATATGTTTGTTATAGCCTTTTCAATTCGTAAATTTTCTCTAAAAACTGTATTGATATTAATATACTTTAAGGGTGGTGTGTCATATATATATACATACATACGTGTGTGTGTGCATGTGTGTTATAATAGCCATTAGTATTTATTTTATATTTAATTCTATGTTATAAGATTATTGTTAGTAATTATTTTAATTTAATTTCTTTAGCATCGCCAGTTTCTTCTCCAATTAAGTCTGTCCAACGGCAAATACCACGCAACTCACCATGTTGTTCTGCGTTATACGATTTTGAGGCTGAAAACCCCGGAGAATTAGGATTTAAGGTTAGTAATAAAATCATTTGACATTTTGCTACATCGCTACCAACCCTGCTACCAAAACGGCAATTTTATATTCTATGACAAACGTATAAAACACGTGTTATAATATTATTGATTGGGCGCGTAAAAATTGTATTACGTTTCAATGATGTGGAATGGAAAAAAAATTAGGGACTGTCACAATTCAAAATCATAATTAAAATAGTAAAACAAAGCCATTGGACTTCACCCTTCCGTGACATTTAGTGGTCCCTAATGATTATAAAACCTGATGCGTTTGGACGGAATCGATTAGAGTTTTAAAAATTTTCAAAAAATATCGTCTGTATCGGTGACACATTGAAAATGATCATTAATTATAGTAGATACGTTTGACCCGTAAAACGTATTTTATAAAAGAGACCGAGAGAGATGTATTTTTTTTTTTGTGCACATAATATTATGTTTATGGTCTACATTCCGATGAGAGATAGTAAAAAATTATTAATACTGCCGAGCTCATTTCGCCAACAGACATGGGTGAGCCCAGGTTTTCTAGACAGGATAGGCGTTTAAATTTAAAACTATTATTAGATATCATAAGTTCACGTCCTAAAAATCATAACGGTCGTTGTTCATGCTTCGCTTCCTTAGGAAAATAAATAAAAAATTATGTTCGCATGATAAGAAATCTTATTTTTTCTCTCCTGATGGTTAAAATCAATAAGTTATGTTCAGCAGCACATTGTAATCCTTTTCGTATAATTTCACATTTTCTTGAGCGCTTATTACGGCGGCACGTTGTTCCATCGCATTCCAATGATCGCGCACTCGCAATCAGTATGCCAATGATATTGGACGTATACGATTTTTCTCGTTGTTGACTGGAAATTAATTAAAAACCCGAATTCGTGTAGGATGAAGGGATGGCCATAAATGTTTTGCCGAACTTTTGCATAAAATAAAACAACACGCGGATTGTAGCATTGCACGAGCTGACGCATTGTCCTCGTGTTTTTACCGGAACTGTTTGAACGGTTTTTTTGTGATTTTCCCAACAGGAGGGCGAAACAATAATACTGCTGAACAGGGTCGACGAGAACTGGTACGAGGGCAGCACCAACGGCCGCACCGGATATTTCCCGGTCACATACGTACAAGTGGTAGTGCCGTTGCCGTGAACCGACGACAACGAGACGAGACTCACCCTCTGCAGCACGCCCACGCACGCGGACGATGATAAAAAACCGTCAACGTCCGTGCGAACACGCCGCCGTCGAGTTGCCGCGTGAAATTTACATACTACAGTCCTTTCGCAATAAAAAAAAAATAAATACCCGTACAAACTATAAATCTAACCGACCCCGTCTCAACTTTCCTCGTTAAAAAAAAAAAAAAAAAAAACATTAAAATTCCATTCGGTTTTTCGTTATCGTTGTCCGTATACATATTGGCGCGTATTACGATGCATAATATTATTCAAATTACCGCTGTTTATTTGACCGTTACTTCTTTTACTGCTATCGCTACCTACTACTGTATTGTTGTTGTTGATTTTGTTATTGTTGTTAATGTTGTGCGCGATAACATTTTATCGGAATATCGCGTGTACCACCCGTCGGCGGTAGTCGTCGTCGTTCATCATTCTCAATCTTACCGGTGGCAACGAGCGCGATTTCCTTTCGGCGCCATCTCCCCTAACACCACCACAACCTTTCCATTCTTATAACGTAATAAAATATATTAGTGTTAGGCGTAGTTTTTTTTTTCCATCTTAATCTCGTCGTTACCGCGGTAGCGTCCGTTCCGAACGCGTAACCCTTCCTCCGTTCATTCTACACGCATTTGACATTTTCTCTTCTAGACATACTAAAATAATATTATAACCGTTACGTACGTACATATATAATTAAATATGCATGTCCTAATCGACGCATGCCGTCGACCGTCGGTCGTTGAGAGAACGCTCACGTAACGACCCATGACCATCGGAGACCCTTCTGACCACATGCGTTCATCCCGTGAGATGTTTCCTCACGGGGACGACGCAAACGTTCCGTATTCCACGTTTCTAATTAATCCCAGTAATTTATTATTATTATTATTATTATTATTATTAAACACTATATAATCTCATCCATTCGTTTTTTACATGAACATTTATATATTGCGTACATAATAATACCTTTATATTGAAATAAACGTTTTTTGACATTTCGCTTGTTACCATTTGCTAAAAAAAAAATTGTTTCTGTAAATATGTTTTCGAATAAACATCAGACAATAAATATGTTAAATAATTTTCAAGTGGGTGTTTTAAATAAATAAAAATATAATTAAACGTTCTAATAAAACGCGATGGTAATATGTTATTATAATATATATAAATATTTATTATATATTATTGTATGTTATTATTATTTGTATTAAAATGTTGAGTGTGTATTTGTAGTGTAACATACCTAGGGCCAAAAAAAAAAATAATAATAATATTGTCTAAATTATTAAACCTTTGAATATTATGTTTTATTCTCAAACATTTTTAGTAACGAAAAAAAACTACTAATTTTTATGACTCACTAAATATACTTTACGACTATGCCTTATTCTTGTTCTATTATAATAATAATAATTGATTTATCAATATATAAAAAATATGTTACTCCTAAAAAAAAAAATCTTTATCACTTATATGAGTTGTAGATTTATCCTATCGAGTGTTGTTGTACGTGTTGGACGTCTTCTTTATATAGTTATGTTATTGTGTACCTCAAATATTCATGTATTGAAATATTATAAAAAACTTTTCATTTTTATGGAAAATAATATAAGTCCAATTTGACTGCATTTTTGGAAATCACATTATAAATTGGTCTTATTTTTATTTTTTTGTATCCTTTTTCTCTTTGTAAAGAAAAACAATGCATGTTTAAAAGTCTCCAGTCTCAAAAAAATAAATAAAGCAAATATTGTAATGTGCGAGTATTTTAACAAATCCACAGACTTGATGGATTTAAATACAAAACACATTTCTACATTATTGTTTTTGTCAATGATAATATTTTTAAGCCGTATTTATTACGTTATGTTTATAAAAAGAAAAATATAAATTGTATTAATAATTTCAATAATAATGTAAAATGGATCTTTGGTAAAATAAAAATAAAAGGTTAATGCTCCTTTAAATTTGTTGCGCCTGTAGTATGCTTTTTATATTCGATTCTAGTTTTTGCTTTTGCTAACTATTTCCCAATTATAGATATTATTTCATCTTCTGTGTTTTGAAATTTAGATTTTATAGCATTTGAAATACATTTTTATTAATATTATTTATTAATTAAAGATTCACTTGATATCAGTACCAAAAGTTAATCTATTGATCAATAATGTAGAAATTTTATATTTATTTTTTAATCTAAAGTACGTGAAATCTCATAACAAAACATCAGAAAATTTTTTTTTCATTATTTTTTAAACCATATGTGTTGCTGATTTCCCTCCTGTTCTTATCAACTCTAGTATCTAAATTAAACAATTAAATATTTTCAACTGTATTTAAAAATAAATATTATGTTATGTTAAAAATAATGAAAAAACTATTTTTAATTAAACATTTGAATAGTTTAATGTAACATACAACTTTGTTTTTAAAATCTTGTTTATTAGCTTGAAGTTTAAGATTAATGTGGCCTGGAGGAAAGAGGGCTCTTTCATTAAGGCGGTTATTAAAGAAAATCCGACTGGGAAAAGACTGTTAGGAAGACCGCGTTTACGATGGGAGGATCGTATCAAAAAGGATGTTAAAGCAGTAGAACTAAATACACAGCGAAGAGAAGCTGCAGAGGATAGGGAAATATGGCGGCAAATTTGTTTGCAGGGATGGTCTTGAAGGCCATAACCCACAAGAAGATTAGCTTGAAGTTTAGTTCTTCATAGTTAGAAATTAGCCAAGCAGTTACAAAATAATCTGTATCACCAATTGATGAATTAAACGTAGTTATATTAGATCTTGAATTGTTTATAGAATCAATGATTTCTTGTTGAATGTCAGATATTTTTGTGACTTCTACTTTCAAATATGCCAAATAATTGAGAATAGTTTTCAGTGTTGCTAAAAAATTAAAATAAACATTGTGTAATGTAAAATATAGTTATTAAATACAAATAATATTAAAATACCTATTAGATTTAAAAAAAAACCAATTATTTCTTTGATCATTAATTTTAATTTTATACTTAGAAATAATAAAGTCCATGAAATTTATACCTATATTAAAATATCCTCATACATAATTTTTTTTAAAAAATTAAAATGGAAAATGTGGGAAATTGATCTTAAGTAAATTTTAATATAAATATAAATCTGCTTTCTTAATGGGATTCTTAATATGTTACATGTTCAATGTATATTGGAAATAAAACATTTAAATTGTACCTGTTTTAATATCTGCAAGTATTAAAAAAAAAATATAAATATTCCTAGTAAAAAAATACTACAGTAGAAATTTGACTAACCATCATCACCCAAAAAAAACCTCTCTTTCACTTTAGTAAAATACTGCATTGCTGCTAAAAAAAAAAAACAATAGTAGATGACGGATTATTTTGTTCAGTATGTATATGATCATAGGCAGAAATGATGAATTACAATTTGAACCAAACATTTGAAAAGAAAAAAAAAGTACACAAATGTATAAAATAATACTTATAAAAACTATAAATAAAACCTATACATACCATTTTTAATATGATTTTCAACATCACGTGATTCAACTGAATTATTTGCTACAAAGTATTTAATAAAATATATTAAGAGGATGCTACATGGGCATTTATTTATTATCTCTGTCTTACAAGTGTGTAACATGAACAATTTACACTCAACAGATTCAACAGACAGTTTAGCTCCGTCATAGTTTAAATACATTATAGTGAATCAATCTATTATTCATTTTAAAAGTACTCATTATCTATGTTTGTATGTAGTTATTACAATATTTCGTGCATATAATATAGCGAAAATTAAAAATGTTCATAATACTCACTTAAAAACTGAACTATCGTAAGAAAACCCACATACAAACACAGATTCACTCTAATTTTAAGCTACTTTATTTCATCATAGTAAATTAATAATATTAGGGAATAATTAATATCATTACCTATATTGTATTATAAAACATTATTATTGTATTTTTATTTGTATACCTTGTATTTTAAATAATAAATGAAAAAATTATCTTTTTATTTTATTAGTTATTTTTTTGAAATTTAAAAATATTATTTTACCTAATTTACATTATATGCTAACAGACCATCTCCACTCAGAATTTTTTTTTTTATCGTATATATTGATTTGTCATTGAATTACAATTTAACACATCCATTACAATGATCTACTCAATCATTATATTACCTAGTAATAATACGGTTACGTAAGTCTACACGTGACTAGTTTTATTTAAATATTCTGCTTTCCATCATAAATTATAAAACAATGAGCAAAATGATTAAAATGTTTCAAATCAAAATTTAAATGACACAATTCAGATAATTTCTTCCTTGAAAATTATATGTATGATGTATAATAAAGTGTATTATTAATTATGATTAAATAATCATTATACAATTTATATGTGGCCCCCATATCAAAATTTCTAAGATCCACCCCTGTTGATACCCGTATAAGTTTTCTCTCTCTTATAAATGCGTAACATAGTAAATTTTACGCTCAGCAAAACACATATAGCTCCGTTAGCTTAAAAATTAGAGTGAACTGATTTCTTATAAAATTTAAAGGCAACATTATTCTCTAGAAAACCTCAAATGTTTTTTATTCTATTTATATTTTAATACGAATTATGAGTATTTTAAAATTGTAAATTGTTTTTACATCTTAAAAAATGTGTAACATTATGTCTTGTAAGACGGAGTAAACACATGCGGGTATTGCGTCCTCTTAATATAGAATCAATAATATACACAAATATATGAATAACATGTTTATATATTATATTGAATAATATGATATATGAATTAATACATAATTCTAATATCAGATTAGTAATATCATCTTTTTATTATAATGCCATTAAATATTATTAAATATCTTAATTTTAATATAGAATTAATACCTATTATCTACAGATATGAAGAAATACACATCATTCTAATATGTAGTCAGTAATATCTGTTTGTTATAATACTAATAAATATTTCATATTTTAATAAGAGTATATTTTTTCTAGCAGGAGTTTATCATGAAAAACCATGTCATTGTTGTAACAATAAAAAGAATAAGAAAACATTTTTGATTAATAATGTAAACAAATAAACATTTTTGACTGCAAATATCTATTTTATTAACTTTACAAACAGTTCTACTAAATAATTAAAACTTATTGTAACGACTATTAACATGATAAGTTTCAAAAGTGAAATATATATTTAACGGTGCACTAATTTAATTAAATAACAAAATTATGTTTTTCAATTTTAAAATAAATAAATTATTTTTTGATATTGACAAGTATACAATTCAAATACCTACAACTTAAAATTTTAGACTATTGAGGATATAAAATAAAAACCTTATGTTAAATAGTAGTTAGAGTATCTACGGCAGTGCATTTATTTTGGTTTTTTTTCTTATAAAAGGTTAACAATATTCCAATACATGTGAAAAAAATCAATACAATTCCTTTCTTAACATTAATTCTTAATTACCCTTTTTTTTATGAATGGTCCAATACATAACATCTGACATTTCATTATTACAATTATACATTCTAAAAAGTCAGAATACTGCATTATGAAAATTGTACATAAATATGTTTACATTATAATTGCAAAATTATATTTAAATGACTAGATTATAATTGGTTTTATGTAATAGTTTATTCATGTATACATGTAACCAAATCAGTTTAGATTAAAATAAAGTATGGTGAATCATAGATAAAATAAATCATAAATACATATTATAATATATTAAATATATATTTTATCTATGGTTGAATTAACTAGAAATAAATAAAACAAAACAATATAAAAGTATAAAATACATGATCAAGAGGGGCAAAGTTAGCAATTAAAAAAAAAAAAAAACATTTTTTAACACAATGTTATTTTCAAAAGCATTTGTAATTATAATAAATCATTTTATTTTGTTTAACCACATTAAGTTATCTATTTTAGGTTACGATTAATTTTAAATGAACTACTCTACCAATAATTTTATTATGTCCAAGAATGTCGAATGAAAAAAAAAAATTGATTTAAATTTGGACTATGAAATAAATAACTATATAACCTTATAATCATATGCTCACACTGAAATTTACTTAGAATAGCACCAATATAATTTTTTTTTTTTTTATTAATATGGATACACATACAACTTTTTTAAACGTAAAAAGGAGAAATTTATTGATTCCATTATTATATCTAATTTATGAAAATGAAATGTAAGAAATTCACTAAAAATAGAAATCAGGTATTTATAAAATGAGCATCCTTGGTGAAAAAAAATTGACTTGGGCATGATAAAACTCATTCAGTTAAACATTAAATATGTACATTCACACTAATTACCAACTAAATTATTTAAAATACATATTTATTTATATAAACTAAATACATTTAAAAAACAAGAAAAATGTCATTATTTTATATTTCTGGTCTGTAATAAGTATAAATATAATGTAATCATTTTAGGTTAAAAAAGAATTTCATTTTTACGAGATGGCGTCCCGTGTTATTATCGATATTTTGTATATTTGCGACGATCGTGCTAACTCACCCCTGAAAGGAGTGACGGCGCTAAAGTTAGTAAATGGAAAGATTGAAGAGATGCATTTCAATGTAATGACTCGGATTGAAAAAAGAAATGATATTGATGTGGTATTGAAAAGGCATGATGAGGTAACGTTGCTATTTATGGAAAAGGAACTGATATTGCGCCTATCAAACGATTTGGTTAAAGTATTTAATGCCAAGAGATCGAGAGGTGTATGCTTTGAAGTGGTAAAACCGCGTATGGGAAAGATTTCAATTCTAGGTGGTGCTAAAGCTAATATCTATGCATCAACAAAAGAAATTGGTATTAGACATGATTCGGCGATGGAAGATGATGAAACCGAGATGCCAGCATTTATATCCCTATTGACGAGAGATGAAATTGATGCCGAATATGACGAGAGGCGAAAGAGAAGGGAAGAGAGGACTCAACTAAGAGAGACTAGTGAAGCGAAAGTGAAAACGGATAAACAAAAGCCGACTAATAAGATGATGGCAAAGAAAGTTGCCACCGTGAGCTCACCTGCCATTGACGATTCTGAAATTGCCAATCAACTAATTTGACTGTTGATACATTTGTCATTGATTAATTACATATCATGTATATTTAATCATGAGTAAAGTAGAAAAAATACAACTTTATACCATTTTAAATTTTTCAAATGCTTAGTAGCAATTATCAATTAAGAGTGAATGGACAAAAAATTAATACTAGTTACTTAATTGTATATTTATGACTGGAGAATGATTTAAAAAATGTAATATGTGATTTGATGTTTTCATAACCTAAACTTTACTTTTTTTGGATGAAGTTTGATTGATTGTTGATGCATGATAGAGTTTGAGCAAATTTAATGCATCTTGAGCTTCTCGTTTTTCATAAAGAAACCGTCCACTAGCTTCTTTAATTTGATCTAGAAATGATCTATAAAAAACATGTTTGAAATCTTAAAACATCAAATTTATTTAAAGTATAATTGAATAAAGTAAATTAAATTATAAAAATTATGAAAAAAAAATTTTAATTATATCTAAAGTAGTAAGTATAACTCTTTACATTTTATAATGTACATACTTTATTAACCCAGTTATTATTTTTACCTATACTTGATTTTCTAAGATTTTTCAGGGTTAAAATGTATCAAGTGTTAAATTAAAACTACTTACAAAATAATATTAAAAGAATAAACTATAAGATTAGAATTAGAATTTCAATATTGTAGCCCTGATAAACTGCAATAAAAACAATTATTAATTATTACTATTGAGCATCAATTTTAAATACTAAGTTACAGTTGGAGATTTAAATTGTAGTTTTTATATTTTTAAATTTTAAGTACTTTATTGAAACTAAAATAAATTTAATCAATCAATTATCACATAATTTACCTGTCAAAAGACATATCAATCAAACTGTCTGGATCCATATCAGATAAAAGTTCAAGATCACAACCACCCAAAAGAGCAATTTGACCTATATCATTTTGTAGACGTTGAATCAAACTGTATAAGTTTTGTGACCCATCAACTTGATCATCAGCTAGCTTAATGCTATAGAAATTATATAAGACTTATGTCATAATAAGCAAATGTATATACATATAATAAATCCAAAACTGCCAAATTTTACCTTATATCGCTATACGAACACCATTTTTCATCGGGTTTTAAAATCATAATCAGAGTATTTTTTTCCAATGTGTCAAAATAATCATCTTCATCTATTTCAGTACCATCAGATTCAAGAACGACTTTAATTTGTTCGCTAATGTTCAGTTTTTTTTGAGCTAAACAAAGGTATAATATTGATTGATATATTTCGGTAGTACATTGTTTAATTTAGCAAAATTTAAAAATGTACTTTTAATTTATCAATATTTCTAAAAAGATATTTTTACCTTTAGTTATAAAATCAGGCAATGAACTTGCTACAATGCCAATTTTTTTTTCACGCTTTGAATCAATAATTTTGTATGGTTTTCCACAATATTCATCACTATCCATATTATCTAAATGTTAAATAAAATTTCATTCTTAAATTAATATTTTTATTAAATTAAATTTAAAATCAGTTTCATTCAATATTTTAGATATAATCTCATTTTTATATTGGTCATATTATTTAAACACTTAAAATATATTTTAAATGATTATTTCTATCAATCCCATTTTGTCTTTTAATATAAGAAGTATAATGATTATAAACAAATGACAGTGGTCACTGAAATATTCTAGAACAACGTATACTGAGAACTAATAATAAATTTAAATTTACTCAATGGAATTATTGTCAGAATAGGCTAGAACGAACAAACAATAATGACTGAGACAATGACTACAACTGAACTGTACCGTAAATCAATGATATTTTATAAACAAAAAAATGACAAATTTTAATTGCTTTTATTGTTATATTTAGATGAAGTGGTAATTTAATAAACAGTTCAATAAGCAATGTGATGCAGTAGAACTTTGAAGCAAATACATTGTAGTAAGATATTATCTACATTCAAGTAACGGGATGTATGCTGAAGAGATATGTTGGGATATTTTCTCAAACATGCTCTAGTTATCGGAGGAATGCAAAAAATAATAAAGTTCTAGGCCAACAATCTCATAAGTCAAAACATTGCTCAGGACAAATCGACATTTGTAGATTGAAAGTAATGCCTGCCAATTACCAAAATGCACACATACAGATTCATACCCGAATATTTGAATAGATACTAGTTTTGTAATAGTGTAAGCTGTTCGCGTACAGGTTGGTTGCACTTACAATTTGCTAAGTTTCACCCTGCGAATGTACTTTGCTTCAATCTCATGAAATTCGTGTTCCCGAATGTTCGAATTCGTAATTGTGACAAATGCACGGAGTTCAAAACGAGTATGATCAATTGTTTATGAAGTAGGCGAAACACACACGTTTTGTTTAAACAACGTATTATTGTTTTGAATTAATAATAATAATAATAGCAGTGCAATTATTGTTGCGTTGATAAAACCTACGAAGTGAGGAGGAAATTCAAAAACGTGACGTCATAGATAACTACGGAACGAATGTCCGAGTTCGAATGCATTCGATTCCGAGACAACTTACCGCGGTCACGGAATGCGTCAAAGACGGTGTAAACGATGATGGAAGTCAAAAGATAACATTGTCAAATGTTGATAACTTAATTGTATACTGTTTATATTTGGTTAGCGGCTTATATCTTATACATACTTTTTTTTATAGTACCTACCGTACATTTTACAGTGTGAACAGATTTTTGTAGCGTTTGCATACAAATTTGGGTTCAAATAACTAATTCATATACTGTTATTTATATAATTTTGTACTGTACTTCAGGTCCAACTACATCTCAAGTTTTCTCAGGTTGTTTGGGGTAACTAAAATATTTAACAATTCGTTTTCGTGTTCTCATCTATCTTTAGTAACAGTACTTAAATATTTTTATTCTTTGGTATATTATACCATACACTGCCGGCGAGTTTTAAATTTGTTAACGGTAAGAATTTTTGATTTTATGTAATTTTTATACGATTATAACTTTTTCAATGAAAATCGAAGATTTATTGGGAAATTTAAAATAATAAAAGAAATTTAATATAAAATATTTTATTTTAATTTATTGTCTTGTTAAATTTATTTTGATTTATGCAAATTATACTATATAATCATTGCATTATGCAATTAAGCAATTACAATTAACATTTATCCTAATAAATTCATAAAAGAGACAATTTTGATATTATAATTATGTAGATCACATATGATTTGTTATAGACCACGTTTGTGTTTAATTTATCAATGGTAAAATGAAATATTTTAGATTATTTTATTGTTTACTGATTTTTACTTTGAAAGAATTAATTTTTAAGACATTTTCAAACAGAAAACTTATTTTGGTCAATTGTGCTCATTTTTTTTGCCTATTAAGGCTCAGTAAACTGTTAATTGAAAAATCACAATTTATACTAATTATTAAAATTATATGGTGTTAATATTTAAATTTATGGTTAATTTGAAACCAGTTGTACTTTAAAAATATAATAATACTCCAGGTGAAGCTTTTATTTATTTATACGTAAAATATTAATGTGTTTTGTAATAACTGTACATATTTTATTATTATAAAAATTTAAAAAATATTTATAAATATATATTTTAAAAATTTTAAATTTTCATTGAACTAGAGCATTTAATATAATTTTCAGTAATTTTGATAATGGATAACGAAAGTGAAGTGAAAGAATATCGCTGGGAAGGTGGCTATGAAAAAACGTGGGAAGAAGTCAAAGAAGATGAAGGTGGTAATGTTGAATGGTCTGTCAAAGAAATTATTGAAAAGTCCAAGCGGTTGCTGGCTACTCGGCAGCCTAATGTTCGTCTTGGCATGATGCGACATTTGTTTGTTATTATAGATAGTTCCAACTCAATGCTTGAAAAAGATTTAAAACCTTCTAGACAAATGTGCACTTATAAATTGCTTCAAGATTTTCTTCAAGATTATTTTGATCAAAATCCAATTAGTCAGCTTGGTTTAATAACTACTAGAAACTCATCAGCAGAACGAGTATCAGAACTGTCTGGCAATAGGAAATATCATCTTGAAGAACTGAAAAAAACTTTGGGAGATTTTAATTATTGCAATGGACTTATGTCTGTACAAAACTCATTAGAAATTGCCTTGTCTTTTATGAAAATGTTGCCTTCTCATACAAGCCGAGAAATACTTATAATTGGATCCAGTTTAAGTTCGTGTGACCCAGGTGAAATAAATTCTACCATAGAATCACTTAAATCCTGCAATATTAGAGTTTCTATGATACATCTGGCTGCTGAGGTTCGGATGTTTCGACATTTATGTGATGAAACTAAAGGTAAACACAATGTTATTGTTGATGATGTACATTTTAAACACATACTTTGGTCACTGGTGGAACCTGTTCCTCTTCCAAACACAGTTGATGCTTCTTGTGTGAAAATGGGTTTTCCTCAAGAGTTGGATCAAAAGCCACCATTCACCACATGTTCCTGTCATTTAGCTGAAGGCGGAAAGCTAAATGCAAAGGGTTATTTTTGTCCACAATGCAACAGCAAATATTGTGAATTGCCTGTGGAATGCAAATGTTGTGGTCTCATACTTGTATCTTCCTTACATCTCGCTAGATCGTTACATCATCTGGTTCCTATTAAACCATTTATAAAAATTGAACTCGAAGAAGGTTCTAGTGCTTATTGTTATGGATGCAGGAAAAGAATAAAGGTTCCTGCTGAAAACGTTTACTTCTGTGAAACATGTAAAAGACATTACTGTGATGGCTGTGACATTTATGTGCATAATACATTACACGTTTGTCCGGGATGTGCAGTTAAGCGTGATGAAAAAAGATAATATAAGAACAAATTTTAATTAGTGTATTAATTAATAATTCATTACTTGCTGTATAAATTAAACAATCCAAGGGTAATAATAATTTGTGTATTGTTTTTTATTTATATTAAACAATTATTGAGGCTGTATGGTTAAATACTATTATAAAAAGAAAGATGGATCAAACATTTTTTGTAAATTTGATGCAAGTATCGTATTGTTATTTATAAACAAAAATAAATAAATAATAATAATAAAAAGCCTCATATCACTAGAATAAAACAAACCTTTTTTTATGTATTATAGATAAAATTCTATATTTTGTACCAAACTGCAAAAGATATAATTATATTATATTATTATTTAACCTATTAATTAGTATATAAATATAATTACTTTTTATAAAATTTTGCTACATGAAAAAATTTGTGTCAGATAAAATTTTGAACACATCATTATGTCGTTGGAATTATTATAAAGCATATTTTTTTTTTTTTTAATTTTTTTAGGGATTTAGCTTTTTCAACGCTCAGTGCAAGAATAATCTTGGCGCTCTTCCCTCTTAAACGATTGAAATATATAACTTAAATAAACAGAATTAGGGGAGCTGTAGGGGTTAAGTCCCATTCATAATCAAATTTAATAAACAATTATGATTTTTATTATAGTCTTAACTGTTTTTTACAAAAATGAATTACAAATAAATAATAAATATATTAATACCTAATAATAATTTAACAAATTTAAATTTCTTTCTTTGTCACTGTTGTTGCCACAGTATCATCATCTTGAGTAATATTCAATGTATAACTATTATCAACGGACACTTAGAATTTTTATAGTAATGTAGCAATGATTGTTTTTCAGGGATCGTTTTTTCAGCGACTATTGCAAGAATTATTTTGCTGTCCCTCCCTCTTAAACATATAAATTAAATGGACAGCATTTTTAGCGCTAGAGGGCCTGATTCCCATTCGTAATCAAAAATGTTCAAAATAATTTTTCAAACTTATATAAGGTTACTAAATATTTATAAATCGTAACTTAATAATAATAATATTGTGATCGTTTATAAGACTGTAATTGTACATAAAATCGTATCCACTCCTTGCATATCGATATTATAATAAATAATAATTATCAAACTCATATTAAATCACTTTGTGAAAATTATTTATTTTTTCTACCTAAAGTAGATAATTTTTGTCACCAACGTTTGATTATTCTGATTTTGACGCCTCCCATTTGCCCTCCTGATTTTGGCGGCCTGCGCCGATCGTACCTAAAATCGGTCCTATATATAAATTAACAAATTATCTTCGTTTGTAGGCATGAGTGTATCTTGGGTAATTTTAATGGATGGAGAGGAAACTTAATTTGATGTCAATAAACTTAAAGATGGTATACTCAATCTGCATCATGATGTATTGTGATGAAAAATGCCAATGAAAAAATACATTTTTATTGATCCATTAATTAATTTTTTATTTTTAATAGTTTAAAAAATTATACTTTTTTTGATAAAATAATTACTCTAAAATGCCTATTCTATAAGATATGTATAATTCATTTACAAAAATTTAAATTTTTAGAGGGGGGTGTTCTCCCACAAGTTAACGCCTGTTTGTTGGTACCTTGTACTAGTTCCGTAAAATATTATCAAACGAGCAATAGTAATCAGGAGCGGACAGGGAGGTTTGGTTGGAGAAAATTTGAAAATTATTTGTAATAAAAAAAACAATTGCATTTGGTGCATTGAGTTAACGTTAAATTAATTCAGTAATAAATGACTAAAAAAAAGATTGAAACAATATGAAAAATGATTTAATGCCCTTTAAATAAATTAAATCTGAATAACATTTTAGTGTTCAGCTGAAATCAAATAATTATTGACAATAAATATTCATGAAATTGTCGACAGAAACGGATTAATTATGTTGTTTGTTACTCTCTCGATCTTTCATTCCTTTCTTAGCCTTCAACCAATGTCGTATTTAGATATTTTGCGCCGGGGCGCAAAAAAAAAAAAAATTGACGACCTTCTAAGTGGCCTATCCACGAAAAATATAGGAGATAATAGATCCTCATGAACCTTTTTGATCAGGGATCGCCAACCAGTCGATCGTGATCGACTGGTCGATCTTTTTAGGAATATAGGTCGATCGTTGTAAAATTTATTTTTACCACTATCGGTCGATCGTTTAAAATATCAGATTAATCGGATAATGGGAACATTAGATTATTATTATGAAAATACAACAAATAATTATTCTTTGGAGCTTAGACTTTTTTTTTTTTGCTCATCAAATAAATCTCTTCCTAAAGACCTAAATTCTCCTGGATGTCGATCACCAGGGACTTAAATGTCAAATGTAGCTCACTTATTTAAAAAGTTAAGTTGTTTAAAAACCCCTGTTCTAGATGTTCTAAAATCAATGCTATTTTTGTGTAGTAGGCATGCCACAGCACGCCGCACGCGATAACATAATACACTGTATTATTAAAAATAACGTATGTTTATTGACATTATCACAACAAATTGGGAACTAATATTAGGTATATTATTAATATTCTGGATCGCTGATAGCTGTATTGCTATAAATATATTATTAATTACTTGTTAGTTAACTAACCATAGTTAGGTTAGATTATAAAAAAATAAATTAATTCATCAACGGCTATTATTTGTATTGCTCCGGCTCCCGGATGCACTTAACAATAATATTATAATCTTTATAGTACCGAGAACTCGTAATAGTGACCACCGCCGGCCCGTATTTATTTTTTTACAAATTTACCACTGTATCAATATTTTGTGACATGACATAAACAAATTGTATAACCATAGGTTATTCGTTAACAATAATTATTATGTTTAACCATTAGGTTATCAGCTTATACACAATATTATTTCTGTTCGATATAATACTGCATACATCTGCTTGCAAGCGACTTCATTTTGTACAGTATACACTAGTCAATAGTCGGTCTCCTATTTTTTAAGCAATTATTTTCCAATTTTCTACTGCATATCGTACCGCATATTTTGGTATTTTTTAACGCATATGTATGCGCATATTTTAGTACTTTTTAGTGTATAAAGTTCCGAGTCTTGCAACCATTTACATCTTTTAATATATTTTCATTTGGAATTAAACGTTCTTCAATACTATTTAATAACAAGATCATTCATCCATAATAATTATAGGTAATTTATATTTATCGAACTACAGCACAATTATAAAAAACTGACTAAAATAATAAGAAGTACGATTTACTTATTCTTACTATAGATTTAAAAATTAAAAGTTAAAATACTTTACGACCACGTGCTCCTCGTAATTTTTATATCCAAAAATTTCATTGCATTTAAATATACATGTAAAAAAAAAAAAAGACGGGGGCCTAATCAGCGATTGCTGCCTAGCTGCCTTGGCCAGGCCGACACTGGTCTTGCTAATAACTAATTAAGTATAATATCTTTAAGACGTAAAAACGATGAGACTATGAGAATATCGTCAAACACTCAGTCGGACAAGCAATGATGGGGGGGGGGGCGGGGTCCAGCTCTCTACATGCCTATATAAATATGCCACGAACGACAATTACAATAATTATTTCGGTAACGCCGATGGTATGCATAAAAATTACTCATCACATAATACTATAGTTATATCATATATAATATTATAGCTTATAGTATATCAGTGTGCAATCCGGAGGGCCCCGTTCTGATAAAATTGTAATTAATAAAAATAATAAAAATATACAGTCGTATAATTATAAGAATAAATGTATTAAATAATTTTTATGTAATTCATCATAATGAAATTATTTAGAATGGAGGTGGGGCCCCGAAACCAACCATAAGAGGGTCCTTTACAGGGGCATTGCCCCTGTTGCCCCTGCGGTTTTTGCGGCACTGCGTATATGTTTCCATAGTAGTCGAGTCACACAACCACTACAGAAGCCGCTTTACTTGCACGTGTTCTCCCTTTTATAAATTCCCTAATTATAGCTTATTGTTTATATGCTAGCCAACAGCAAGGTCGTTTCTAGATTTTTTTTTCGATGTTTTTAAAATGTCGAAGAAATTTAGAGAGGGCGGGGAGGGATTTACAAAAGAATTATCAGTTATTGTTTTTTTAATTTCTAAAACAGAACTGCACTTTTCTTGTAAGTAGTACACTAATGTCACACACCATTATTTCCCTCTCTAAAATTGGATCAGTATGCTAATTTCTAGTAAAAACATTAATTGTATGTTACATATATTATGTACACCAGTGTCGCCGAATGCCGTGTTGAAATTTAAATCGCAACAATATGTAAAACAATAACTGCAAATCAAATCGTACTGATAGTACGATAGGTACTAGAAATTATAAGAAGAGAGCTGTAAAAAAAAAAAAAAAAAATACTTAAAAAATTATGCCAGATTCAAAAGTTACGCACTATATGCTATACCCTTTATGCATTTTTAACTATGATGAATGAAAACATGAAATGAAGAACCGTTTTTATGTTTAGCACATCTATTAAAATATTGATATCTTGTCCCTGATTCTTTTCGATCGGATTTGGATTCGATGGCACCGCTTGCTCAAAACGTTAAATTTGCCACGTTGCCCGTAGCATATATCATGTTCTATATTGATAAATATTACATACGATTGTGTGGGTATGGTATAATTCGTTAATCGATCATTTTGTGAACGGTTAAATGAAGGTAAATTTCTTGACCTCGAATAGTTGATAAAATTGTTTTAAAGGACATTTCACTCGTCGGACCCAAAGATATGGATATGGATTGCAATAAAAGAGTAAAATGTAATATTATTCATTATTTCAATCCAGGGTTATTAAAATAACTATCTGATTACATCGAACCGGCTACTTTTTCATAAATACAAGCGAAGATGTCGTTTATCATTTTATACGTACCGGCTGGGTTTTAATTTACAATCATATTGTGTGAATATGATACGTAAATGCAGTGAACGATGAACTTTGTCGGTGACAAACATATTTTCGTGTGATGGTGTTTCAAACGTTGTGGATATCATTTTAAATCATTAATGGACAATGGTCTCAATATATATATATATATATATGCGTATAAAAAAATTCACTGAAACACATATTATTCTCTGCGTTTTATCATTCGAATACCAGATATTATAACTATTATAACTATTTTATTAATATTATTAATATTAGTTATTAATAGTGTTTGGATTTAATAGCTCTAAAAACTATTCATAAGTGCTATTCAAACACCAAAAAATTACCGTAGAAATTGTTTAAAAATTTGTTTTTTTTACATTGAATTTATTGTTTTATTAGGTATCTAATTATAGTTATAAAAAAAAAAAAAAATTTAAAAATTTGATTGTGCGGCAATGATGGTAAATGTTTTTAGTTATTATTATATGTTAGTCAAATTGTTGAGCAGTACAATATACTTTTTTATTTACTTATTTTGTTTCATGTACAACTAGGTATTTCTAATTTATGCTATTTACGACTAGCGATGATAAGTAAATAATTTTATTAAGTGCGATAAAAAAAATTAATATCAACTATTAAATAGTGCTGACTAAGTAATTAGTAGTTAAACGCTTTTAAATAATTAGGTCAGGGGGTGTCCTCGATTAAGGCAGCGTTGAAGTGGTGATGCTATGTTGGTAGTTCATTGAACCGGTTGACATTTTTGAATTGACTTAAAAAAAAATGAGTATGCCTCTGCCAATTTGTATTATCGATATTTCTTTTACTTTTTTTATATGTATAATGCACGGGAACTTAAAAAATAAAAAAAATGAACTGTGAAGACGTCTTCAAGAGTTCAATGCCTACTTCATTCGTTTCATAAGAAAATAAATAAAGTAAAAATAAATATTGTTCAAGCTAAATGTATCTTATAAAATGAAAATTAATTGTTTACGTTAAACGTAAAAAAGGCGAAGAAGAAGAAGAAGAAGAAGAAGAAAAAAATCGTTTCCGTTACCTATATTATTTCTATTTACTAGTTACACTTGAAACGACACGAAAATTATCGTACAATAATAATTTTCCAAAGACGAAAACAGGACACACGACATACGCATTCACTACTTATTCATAAAGTTTATTATTCTATGTCTAACTATCCTTATGCACACGCTATACGATGAATAAATGTGTTTTATTTTAAACTGTCATGGTAATTCGTATGCTCATGGTCTTATAAAAATTATAATTACGCCTGTTAAATTATAATATCTTCATTTACCACACGGAACCACTAAACACCCACCAGTTTAGATGGTTCAAATGAACCATAAATTAAGATGATCCAAAACCCTCGAACTAAGGAGCTAATGATGATAAGGTGACCAATCCTACAAACATTATGTAAATGTACAACGCATGCAAACATTTTATTCGTATGAATGAATTCGTTAATTATAGGCAATTTTAATATTTCCTCGATTTAAGTAATCCAAAACATAAAAAAAAAAAAAAAATACAAAACTAAAGTTTTTAAAATATAAATATAAAGTTATATAAAACAATATGCACAACGCATAACTTTTTCGTTCGGTGTTAAATTATTGGCGAGCCCCAAAACAAAATTCGGTGACCCTCTAGGGGACCGCGACTCACAGGTCGCCCGCCACAGACCTAAGGCTCAGCCTCAGTTAAGTCTATTTTAGTAATGTTTATGTAAAAATAATATTCAATGTAGTATTTATATGTAAGGGGCGGCAAAACTTAAGTTTGGTTAGGTGTAAGTGAACGTTTGAGCCGGGTCTGGTCATACGGACTGTTCGCGGTCGGAGACAAGTTCGGAAAGCGAAAGAAAAAATTGCATTCCTGATGCACGACCATTGGGGTCGATTCAGTGGCGTATCTGTGGGGGGGGGGACAACCAGTGGAGTATTTGAGGGGAGGGGGGGGGCGATGGGGGAGATCCCTCCCGAGAATTTTTAGACCAAGACAATTTTTATGTAAGTAATGGGTATTTTATTAAGAAACAAAAATTATGATTTATTTTATAGTATTACTACATTAGAAAACGTTTCAAATTTTACACTAATTTAAATAACGCAAAATGCTAAATTTTTCATAACGTTTTAACTGTCAATAATGGTAAATGAACATTTTTTTAAAGGTTTAAATTTGTATAACGTTTAAACGTTTAAATTGAATAACGTTTAAATTATTTATAGAGTAAAATGCTCAATTGCTTATAATGTTTATATGTCCCATAACGATAAATAATATATATTATTTTTATTGAAGACCATACTTTGTGAAAAATTAGATAAAACATAAGCGAAACTTTTAAAACAAAGATAGGTGTTAAAAAAAGAACTACACAAAAGACCATTTTAAGTGGATCCGGCATTAGATTAAAAAAAAAAAAAACTACAAATATTAAGGATTCACCTGATATAAATACTACAAACAATTTTACTTGTAAATATTCAGCCTGAATTAAAGAAAAAATTTAAGTCATCCCTCCTAGAAGTAAGTCTAAATACGCCCTTGGGTGCAACAGGGGCATTTGTCTCTCCCCCGAGAAGTTTTTTGATGCCATAACTCAAATTAATTGTCCAGCTTAAATAATGTAAGTTATAAGTATTTTAAATTTTCACTGATTATATGATTATAATCGAGTTTGATATCACTTATTAAAGTATTATAAAATATCAATATTCGACCGAATTGGTATTTGGAGTGATGGTCACATATAGTCACTATTTTTTAATGTGTTTATCATTGATATCAAGTGATCAACATGAGTTCTAAGTATTTAGTAATAATTTGTAATAGAGTTTCAGATTATATTATAACCATAAAAAATTGTGCAATTAATTTATGCCGCCTCCCCCCCCCAAAAAAAAAAAAATGTTTCACAGGTAAGCCGCTGGGTCGAGTGACAGTGGTCGGGGATCCGAAGGGTCGACCGTCCGCGCCCGTCGTCGGCACCGACGTGAAAACAAACAAGTGCGACGACGAGTGCGATGTAATATTAATGTATCTCGAATATTTACACCGACCAAATTGTCAGAACTCCCCCCCCCCCGTGTGATGACATCTGTGTAGGCGTTCACGTTCGCGCGCTACAGGTACACATTATCGAAGTCAACACGCCTTTTTTAAACGTTGTTGTTTCGTTTCACGAACGGAACGCCGCACGACATATTCGCGGTTCGTCGAATTTTCAAAATGTTAATTCGCGCAAAAAACTTTCGGAAGATTAACGTTCTGGTAACGCCGACGCACACGCGTGGGAGGGACTGTAACGCGTGCGTGCACGTGTATTTGCGCGCTCGGCAATTTTTCCTAAGAACAACCGTTTACCGTTTCATGCATTATTCATGCGAACGTATTTTATTGTTGATTTTATTCGATCGTGACGGCGGCGCATTACCGTGCGGTTTTACGGGTGACCTAACGTCACCGGTGTGGATGACGTGGCCGCGTCGTTGCGATAAATCGTTAACAATCGTTTCGCGGTGATATTACCGCGCTCGATGGGTGGCTTCGAGTTTTGATCAAACGTTTCCCGCACGGTTTTCGGTAAAAAATGTCGGTGACAAACAAAGATTTTTACGAAGACGTGAGGCCCACGTTGATGTTGTATAAAATTATCGGCATAACAAGTCTTAAAAATGTGTTCTACGGCCAATTTTACTTCCAATGGGGATCCAATTTTATATGGCCAGTGGTACGTATCGTGAACCGTTAAATTTATTACGATTTCCACGCGTTTATTTACAGTTTTCACATGAACGACTGACGTGCTTATAGTAAATATATTTTTAACAATTATTTTCAATAGGTGAATGATTAATTTTTAGGAAATTGTATATAATTTATTCGGTTGAAATCATAATACGGGTTAAAAAAAATGTGGCATACTTAAAAATATAGAAATAAATATGGTTGTGTTTTTTATCAGTATCATCATTCTACTTAAAAAATGTATTATTTATTTATACTGAGCACGGGCGTAGCTAATATTTGAATCAAGGGGGGGGGGCAAAAACATAAAGCGATTAGTGTAATAACCTAACCTAACCTAGCCTCGTAATTCAAATAATCTACAGATAGACCATTGGAGAATATATAAAACGTCAAAACCAGTGGCGTAATTGTGGGGGGGGGGGCAAGGGGGGCAAGTGCCATTTTGCCTCCCCCAGATAATCCAACAGTACAAATAGTACCTTTTATTAATGAACTTTTATGGGTATTATTTAACAATATTGGTACCTAGTACCTGCTACCTACAATTTATGTTAATCTAAACCACAAAATAAGTTAAAAGACTAATGTAAAATCAAACAATTAGATATACTGTATCGCGTTAGATTCGAACAAAAAAAAACTCTGTCATAAAACCAATAAATGTTTTGAAATAATAAGTGGATCAAGTGGTCAGTTAAAAAATGTATACATGTATACATTGGCGTTGCCAAGGGGGGGGGGGCTAAGAGGGATATAGCCCCCCATGGGCCGTGTTTATATGTATAGTGTATCTTGACTATTTAATAAAATCAATGGCTGCTCGTTTTAATCAAAGGCTTATTGATGTTGTGCCACTTGAAGGACTTATTCCGGCCAATTTAAATATGTATGACGATGAAAATATTATAAAAGCTGCTAAAATATATGCCCAAGATCTCCATTATGATACTTCATCTACAATCAGAGCTGAGCTGTTCATACGGAGGCAACAATGGAGTCAAAATACTATTCAAAAACCGAATTCCACTGTTGATTCACTCTCTCATTGCACCAATCTTCAACCTAACATTAAAATACTTTTACAATTATTCACCACGTTACCAGTTACCTCTTCCTTTCCGGAAAGAACTTTTTCTGCACTTAATCGCTTAAAAAATTATTTAAGAAGCACCATGTTAGAAAACAGACTGAATGGGTTAGTTAATATAAATAAAAAAGAGCAATTCGATGAAAGTGAAATATTAATTGAATTTGCCAGAAATTCGCCTAAGAGGATGCAGCTGTCAAGAGTGGATCAAGTGACTGAACACTGAAACCAAAATTATTATTATTATTATTATTTTAAATTATATATTAATAGATATTTTTAAAACTATACTAAAATGCTTGAATTACATTTAAAAACTTGGTGGTAGATGATGGGGGGGGGGTTAAGTGTGAATTCTCATATTCTCTCTTACCTTACTTATCCAAAAAAGTGATTAGCCCCTCCCATTTAAAAATCCTGCCTACGCCACTGTATATGTATATGTTGTTGTAAATTATAAGTATTTAAATGTAATTTATTACATAATTGTATACGTATAATAACTCGAGTCCATTATGTTGGCAATAATTTATTTATCACCCTGTCTCCTCACACATGCATAATACATTTCATGTAAATCCGCGCTGCCTTATGTCGTGCTAATTATAACGTAAGTACGTACCGAATAAAAGTCGACGTTTAATAAACTGCAATGTGCAGATCATTACAAACGAATGAATTTCACGACATGCCCATCGTCCGCGCACTGGAGCAACGCATAAGTTTATAAAATTCCAGATGAAAAAAAAAAATATTTCTTTGATATTAAATTAGTATTATTTTTTGAATGATATGACTGTCAATGTGATTGCTGTATTTTTATTGTTTAATCGTTAAAAAATATTATATTTATATGAATAAAATATTGTTAGGGCCTGCAATTTCGTTGTGTAACTATTAAAAATTCATTATCAATAAAACATAGTTAAAATATTAATATAACAATCATTCTTGAATATATATTATCCAAATCAAAACTTAATATTAGATGATGATTATTTAACATTTAAATATTAATTTTTATATAATGTATCTATGTATATAATAAATACTTCTATATGAAGGATGTGCACATAATAAGTAGGTAGTATTATTTTGTTAATTATTATATTATTGTTATAAAAATTTTAATTATTAATAAAGATTTGATTCCAAGCTACAAGCATACTATTATGTACTCAGATAAAAAATAAATAAAAAATATATCTTGAAAATGTACTACAAAAAACTTATTTTGAGATCGATATTTTTATTTTATAGGACAATAAGTTAAGTCCATTGTAACTATATTATATTTTATTTATGTACCTTCATTTGGTTGTATTACATCATTCCAGAACCCTATTCTACTAAGAATAACATTCTCCATTTGTTTTTTTCGTGGAGATGGAGGTAAAAAAAAATTGAAAACTTCCGTTTAAATTAAAAAAAATAATAATAAATAATTTATTTAGTGATCCTTTGGCTTTTTCTCCCAAAACTTTGTTCTAGTTCCATGATATTATGTTTTGAACACCACGCACGCATATATTATGATTAAAATTTTTTTTTTTTCGTTTACAATCCAGGTGACTTACCTAACGCCTTGCTATCTGTTTGTGACCAAAGCTGTGACGTACCCGACGGCTACGCTGTGGTTTTGGACGGTCAATTTCATCGTGCGGGAGTTCTTAAGTCAACTGACCTCGATCTACGTGGACACACATCTACCGAAAATCATCGAGAAAACCAATCGGTTCGACACGGAACACGGTCGGCCCACGGAACAGAGGACTCGGCCGCGTTACTACATGATCGCCTACCTGGGATGCACGTTGATGCTGCTCACTTGCGCCTGTATCGATATTTTGCTGAACAAATTGTCGGTTAAAGTCATCTTCGAATCGATGTTAAGGTATATATAATAGATAATATGTTTAATGTGTTACCGGAAGCGACGCGCGGACCAACGCACCGGTTGGCAGTGCCGGATATAGGAAATATTTGCCCCCTCCCCAAGAGGCTGGACGAAAATTCAGCATCCCTTCGTAAGTTAACACTCCGGAGTCGCTGTCGGCCGCAAGAAATGCCGGGCTCCCGACATTGGCGTATTTGAGGGGGGGGGCGATGGGGGAAATCGCCCCCCCCCCCGAGAATTTTTAGACCAGGAAAATTTTATATAACTAATGGGTATAGGATATTTGGGTTTTTCCTTAAAAAACAAAAATTCCGAAAAATTGTGTTGATGATAACAAATTATTGGTAAAAATCACGGTTATCTAGATAACCGTGGTAAAAATGTACATACATTCTTACCATGACGACATAATATGTACCACAAAGTTTGTGGTACATATGTCGTCATGTAAATCACTGGCAAACTAGATCCCCATGGGTCATTAGTCCCCGGTAACCTAGTTGTCGGGGTATCAAAGTAGTTGATCTCCTGTTATTATCTATGATAGCTGAATCCAGCTATCAGCATGATTGTACATAAACGGCTATTTTTTTATATAGTGGTTGCGACTTGCATTTCATCATATTATGTTTTATAGTGTTATAATAATTAGTCATTCATTGTTAAGTTTTGCTGTCTCAATTCTCAGTGCGATATGTCTAATTTAATGATTGGTTTGGTGCATGTGTTTATTATTAGAATAACAAAATAGCAAGCTTTTATAAAATATTTTAACTACAATATAATATATATATATATATATATATATATATAATTATTTTATATAAAAAATGATTATGTTTAATTCGATTCAAAGAAAACAAATCTTTGACTTAAAAATTTAATTTAACGAAATCGAGTATATTACATAAATATATTTATTGTATATTTATATATTTATCATTAAAGACTTGTTCTTTTTCTTAAATTACATTAAAAACAAACTTATAATTCATCTCTTTGCTTACTTTTGTTGCTTTTTTTTGTTAGATTGAAAACATGGTTAAGATCCAAAATGGGACAAAAACGCTTGACTGGTTTGGCTTTGCTAAACATACATCATACTATAACTATATTAATAGATGATGTTATAAATAGATTTGCTAATAAAAAAATAGAAACATAGATTTTGTTTTATAAATATGTTGCTTTTTTTTATCATATTTGTTTAACTTAATTCTTTATAGGTTATACAGATGCAATATAAAATTCATTATGTCTTGGTAAGTTTTGTGTGAGTAGTTGGGTAAACTCTTTTTAAATCCCCCCCCCCCCGACATGAACTCTCAAATACGCCACTGGCTCCCGACAGCGTTGCGATGACGCGACTGCAGTTTACGAGTTGTGTCCCGACGAAATTATTGGTACACGAGTTGTGACCCGATGGAAAATGAGGGTTACACGAGTAGTACATTTTTGTGTTGCCATTTCATGATTCAGATGAAATAGGAAATGCATTTGTGTTTGATTTACTTTAATGGAATGTTTCAAATAATTCCCAAGTTCTTAAATTTGCCACTTATTTAATGGATATCTATTTCTTGAATTATGCCGTATTTCCTCGGGCAGAATCTTCCAATTCAACTAACAGCTGTGAAGCATTTCACTCCAAATTTAATTCAATGGTAGTTGCCATCCTAGTATATTTAAATTTATTATTAAGTACTAAAAATATTGCAGTGTAATATTTATATTAAAAATAAAAGTACTAGAACATTATCAAAGACAACGGGCGAAAAAAAATTATTTATTATTCAAAAATCAAATACATATAAAAATGGACAAATTTCTCGATTTAAATTTATAAAAATAGTATCATTTAAATTTTTACCAAGTATGTAATTATTTTTACATTTTATTTATATTAATTTTAAATTAGACGATGTATTTCATTTTTTGTTTCAAAATTGATTGTTGTGAAATGTATAAGTATATATATAATAATGTAATGGACAAATGTTTTAATTTTAATTTTTAATAACAATTTTAAGTATTTTTCATAGTACATTTATAAATTTAACTATCATAATTTAAATTATTTTTTATGAATTTTTTATTTTTTTTGGCTTATTCCAGGCCTTGTAAGCCCATCGCCGCTTCTACTACACCTTTCCTCTCATTTTTTATGAATAATTATTATTATTATCATAATCAATATAAATATATACTATTGTTATTGTTATTAATTAATACAACGGAACAACTTTTATTCTTGTGAAAAAATGTTGTCTGCTTAATACATGTAGAATACTATAATTTGAAAATGTATCACTTTGTGTACACAACTTGAGTGCATGTAAGCATCGCCACAAGTAACTTTTTTTACTGTAAACTTCGCCAGAAAAAAAACAGGTAAAATTGGGTTCATGTTAACTTCACCAGTGAAGAAAATTAAGTAGTAGTATAAAATTAATATGATATATTATTAAAAAAAAATATATAATATAATATAATATCATATTGTTTACATTAAATATTTAAATCATAGTAAAAAAATCATAACTAATATTCGTTATACCTAATAATTTAAAAATATATAGTTACGTCATGAATGTAAACTAAAATGATGTGATAAAATTTGTAAATAGTCTAAGTCTTGTATTACTCCATTAGTACACCTATTTATAGCATCTTGTAACACTCATTTTTTTTTTTGAATTTTTTAGCTTATTTATTTGAGATATGCCATTTAGTTTTATGTAAGTATGAGTTTGAAATTCGGTAAGAACTTCACTAAAAATATGAACGTTCGGTTGATTTTATAAAATGGATTTCTTAGATGGCTATGAAAGGATTCACAGGCAAAACACAAAAAAATAAAAACTGGGGGAGTTTACATTAGACCTTTTATTACCTTTTTATCTTAACCGATATTCTGCCGGATTTTACAACCATCCCATAACTTATGTAGAGGTGTTCCTGTACATTTTATTCGTTGGGACACGGATTCGTGTAACTCGAAACAAACCCGCCGGATACAACCTGTGTGACCCCGGAAAATAAAAAAAAACCCGCCCGGTAACAACTAAGTACGATTTGGGACGCGATTGGTTTGTGACCGACGCGACGCCTCCGTTTGTGCCCGCAGGTACATGAGCTCGATATTCCCGCTGCTGTACCTGCTGTTCTGCGACGAGATGTGCATGCGGTTCCGGTCGCTGCGAACGCGGTGGCGCACCGAGGTGGCCAAGGTGTTGGCGTCCACGTCGCGGGCCACGTGCCACGCGCTGGAGTCCGAGCGGCTGGCGCACGCCCAGCTCTGCGACCTCGTCGAAGAGATCCGAGTAGCGTTCGGACCCCGGCTCACCACGTACCTGCTGTTCGTGTTCCTCGAGCACCTGGCCCGGTTCTACTTCGACACGTACGTGATGCCCACGCACCGGCGCAAGCACTCCACTCTGGAGATCCTGGGCGTCAGCCAGCTGGAGTCGCTCATGTTCCTGGCACACGCCTGGATCGGCACGTACCTGGTCGCCTACCTGTCCGACGCGCTCACCGAATCCGTAATAACAATGACAAACGCCCCCCCCCCCCCAGGAAAAACCCCTACACCGTGCACGGGATGTGATACGCACGCGTGCACCGGTATTTGAACGGTTGGCGTGGGTGGGTGGGGACGGGATGGAAACGAAGCGGTTGGGTAGAGGCACCGTAGAAAGGAACTGAATGAACGCACAACTAACGCACGAACGTTACCGCCGGTAGTTCGGTTGTACCCATGTTATTATAACCTACCTTTATAAAACATCCCCCAACAGAAGGGCAACATGCACGAGCAGCCACTACCCCTTGACTCTCCTTCGTGCACCGCTTCACGTGTGTGCGTGTCCGGCAACCGGTAAGAACGGCCAAGGAAAAATAGCATTCGTGTAAAACTAATCCGATGGACAACATGTCCAAAGTCGAATTATGCGCACGTGTCCACTCGGTCGATAAATAGTTACCTAAATATGTTAAATTTCCAACGCATTATAAAGATTTATTTTCTAGCACAAACGGGTAAAATTTGTCGGTGAATTTAATCTTAAACAAACCATTAAATTACTTACTACAAGTTTTGCTCAATTCTTTACTTATTTTGTTATTTTTTTTTTTATCTTAAACAAACCATAAAAAAAAATAACAAAATAAGTAAAGAATAAGTAAAGAAAACTTGTAGTTGTATTAATTATATTAGGAAAAAATGTGCACATAGGAAAATAAATAAAATATCTAGTACGGCGTACAGATAGTAGCTGCTAGAAAATTACAAAATGCATAATATGCATAATATTAGTATTAGATGAGTAAAAACGGTATGAATGAGAATTCAATGTTGATGGGACACGGATTTGTAGCCCTGGGAATTGAACTTATGATTTTGTGTTCCAGAAATATAGCGGATATTTATATATATATATATATATATTTATAACGATAAGACTATTCTAAGGCGATGAGCGCTATTTGCGTTGGTGAGAATTAATTTTGCGCTATTGAAAATTACTTTTTACGCTGTTGAAAAACTATCGATCATCTGATCATCAAATTCATCGAATCAACAATTCTGGTTGAATAAAACTGAAAATCGGGTGAAAGATATCGATAAATAAAAAGAACAATCATGGTTTAAAAGTATATTTGAAGTAGTCAATAACATAAAAGATCAAGAAAAATATGAAAATCCAAAAAGAGAAAGTTTTAGTAAATACATTTACCCAGAAAATAGTTGTTTTGTATAATTATTATTATTTTAATTTATTTTTTCAAATATTTAAAAGTTAAATGAATCCTAAATGATTATTCACCGCCTACATTTAAATTGTGATATCTAAATGAGTATTATTGTGTTATTTATAATCATGATACAGTTTAATTTAGATGTAAATATAAATTAAAACCCATAATAAAAATTATGTTTAACAGATATGTAGGTATAGCATATACATAATAAGTACATATTGCATGCAAATATACAAAATGAAAAAAAAATAAAAAAATAAATTGTATATTGCCATCATGTGTATAGGGGCTTGTGAAATAATTACACTGTTGATAAAAATCCTTAGAATAGACCCCGCAATGGGACAAGGACTTTTTTCAGTTATAAGAATATATAAAATAATAATTATAAAACCGATAGTTCTCCTATTGATTTATTTATTTAATTTTTTTTGGTCATGTCGTCTGTGGAGTTCATTTTTCTCGATCTCATTCTTATGGCAATTTTTCCTTGTTCGATTTTTCTGTTGCAATTAATTCTATTACACACGTGCTTATTGATTATCGTGTACACATAACTACCGTGTTTTTAAGCATGAATAGCCGATTTTTCGTATCATATGGGTTAGTCACTATCCACAGTTAGACATATTGTCTGCGTTGTCAAAGTTTATTAAATAATGTTGTCAAAGAACTGTATCGATTTACGAAATCTTCATAAAAACATGGTATATCATTGAATATTTGTGTTATGGTTCGACCGTTTTTTAATCACTTATGATATTTGCACAGGCGTACAACTATTGGTCTTATAATCACAGGTGCATTAGGGCGGGCTAGGGACGGCTTAGCCCTCCCCTGGACCAAAATTTAGCCCCCCCCTATAAATATTCCATGTTATACATGACATACCGCATACAGCATACTTAACTCACATTAATTTCATATACAAAAAAAGACACATTGCAGTAAATCCAACTTGGCTCAGAATCTAAAATATACCATTAACATTGTACCATATATAAGAGTAGAAGTAATCTATAAGTCATTTTAAGTTTTGATAGGAAGGTTGTAGCCCTTCCAGATGTTGTACCCTAGTTACGCCATGCTTACAATTAGAGTAGAAGGGACCATGCGTGTTATAAGTATTTTCAACCGCATTTATATTAATTATTGTGTATTAGTTTATTGATCAAGTTGTCGGTTTGTTGTTTTTTTTGACGAGCTGGAACGATTTCCATACGATTTCAGAAAATAATTGAGAATAGGCTCAACCTTCATAAATATTCTTAGTTAACGTCTATAATGGTTGTTTGTTATAACAATCAAAAACCTAAAGAAATCGTGTTTAGTGCGTAAGTTAGATACAAGAATATTTTAATTATAACTGTTACTCTATGGGTATACTCAGTGCCGTCCTAACTACCAATGACGCCCTAGGATAACAACATTTGGATGCCTCTCCACTCCCCCAATTTTGTTGTTGTAAAATTGATTTCACATTTTTAGCTTATAATTTACCTCATATCTTAAATATGTTAAATATTTAATAATTAAGGTGCCTACTAATTTATTATTTTTATTATTATTATTATTATTAAAATAACATTTATTTTATTTTTATGTTATTTAAAAATTGACATTTCATTATCATGACTAAAATATAGAAAATTACTTTATTTCACAATACTATAAATAAAAGTTATAAAAACTATTTGTATTCATAAATTACATATAATTATGAGTTATACATAATATATTAACATAAACATTCAGGGTAAATATTACCTACAATACATTTTTTATTTATAAGACAACATAATAATAATAAATAATGTTTTTACAATTTTATAACACTGATAACATTCTAACACTTCAACATAATAATGAATATTATTAATGGTTCAGATTTTATAACATTTGTTAATTGTTAATTGTTAATTGTTACAGATAAAAATAGCAAAGTGAGATATAAATTTGTTTTATGCTAATAATGAAATTTAATTTTGATATTTTTTTGCATATTTAAAGTAATTCAGAATTTTAGTATCTCTTCGAAGTTTTGGTGCTATAATTGGCGAATACACATAATAATAATAGGCATAATATATTATAGTATAAAGTTGTATTAAGAGCAAGGGTTCCCAACCTTTTTATCACCGAGTACCATCAGACACTTTTATAATAAATACGCGTACCATCTTAATTCTAAAACTTAATTGGCAGTCAATATTTTTTTAATGTATATTTTTAGTATTCATTTATTTATTAACACTTTTTATTATTTGAAATTTATGAAAGTAAAAAAATCTTAATTTTTAGTTAAATCTTAATATTGAAATAACAATTATTTTTTTAAATTTAATGTGCTATTTGTTGTTGTTTATTTTGTACAAGAACATCAATACCAGGCTGAATAAATAATAATAAAAATAAATTGCTACAATTACAAACCCAATGTCATCGATATTTATAAAATTAGATAATATTGAATAAATTAAACTAAATAATATTGAATGCAAATAATAATAAAAATAATTATACCAAAAAATTTCTTCGCGTACCACGGGTTGGGAACCCCTGATTTAGAGTTTACTAAAAAATATTATTTATATTAACTGAAAAATAGTATTAGTCGATGTACCGATGGTAAAAAAAATTCCCTCATTTTTGTTTTTTGTCAACATTTTTTTTAAATTATTGACAGAAGTTCATTTTAGTTTTTTTTATAAATGTATTAATTTATAAGATTATATTATAGATAATAATTCAAAAAATAAAATAAACAGTCAGTAAAAGATACATTTAATTAAATTTTGATTCACATTTCTTTTATTTTTATTTATATTTTTAGGACATATTTTAAGGTGTTTTTGGACATATTATAGTGCGTATTTCAGTACATTTCATTGATATGAAATTCGAATTCTGGTCATTATGATTCACAGATAATATTCATCATAATATAAAGTCAAATCAGTGTACTATTGTAGGTATTATATGGGTAGTGAACTCATATAATACCTACAAAGTCATAATTTGAAATCATCAATTATCATTATTCATTTATCAATAATATCTTATAGTAATATTTATATATGTAATTATGTAACACATTATTTACATAGTTTTATATTTAATGATATACGAGAACGTTAGACAATTTTTTAGGTACTCAGAAATGTCAGTATAAAAGACAAGTTATTGATTACTTATCTAAAATAAAAAACTCATTTTTTCTTCTTATCATTTATTTTTATGATGCCCCCTAAATTCATAATACATTTTACGTCCTAGGGAAACTTACCCCATTTGCCCCCCCCCCTTGGGACGGCTATGGGTATACTCGTGAGGCGAACAAATCTCCATGATTTTCGTACACCGTAATCTGACAAAAAAATAATGAACCCATTCAGTATACAGTATATTAAGTATTATATTCTAAAAAAGACCGTCATTGTCGATGTTTATTAATATAACATAAAGAGGATTATTATTAAGAATAATAGTCTATGTATGAAACACATGAATCACATTATGTAAATAACCCGTTTGCAAAGCAATATTTAGTTCATACTAAATTAGACAAGTGAAATGTATATTTTTAATGAATACATGTTTTTTGTTCTGGAATCAGCTTCATTAAAGTAAAATATTTTCTAGAGCAAAGAAATAATAACAGATTTAAGAAACATACCAATATGGAAATTACCACAAGACTGCTGTGAACAGGTATATTAACAAATACATGTGTTATAGACAGTATACGAGTAGTATTAGTATGAGTGTTCATGAATTTTGACTGAACACATTACAATTATGTAATTGTACAAAAAAAAGATACAAGAGATATAACGAGTAAACTGCTTGTTATAATTTTTATTTGTGTATGATAATGTGCCTTTTAAGTATTTTTATTCTATAAAAATATTTAGTAAAATCATTATTTAACTCAAGTGGAATAAATATATGGAAACACATAGAATAAAAGTGCTATTGACTTGATTATTTAATATATGTATTTTTATAATTATATATTAAATTAATATATTAATATATTAATTAAATAAATAACTAATTATATCTTAAAATATATATTTGTTTTGTAATTATAGAAATATCTATAAATGTTTTAATTTGTAAAATGCTAACTGGTAGCTTACAGTCACAATCAAATCTAAACACATATTCCTTGGACCTGAATTTTTATTTTACAAACGATGAATCTTCTACAGTTATTTATTTTCATATGAAATGATTTACGATCGTTTTCGGTTCAAATATTCACATATATCAACTATATACTATCATTAGACAATGAATATTATACAATTTTATGAATAAACTCGAGGATGTTCATCTTGTATTTTAATTTGTTTTATAGAATTATGCAATGAATATTTTAATCGACATAAATCTTAACGCTATAATATTCTCGAAATAATTGACGATCACTAATTGAGACACTTCGAAATGAGATGTTTACTACACTTTTACTAGTTTAAACATTTTCACTAAAATTTATCAGTATAGGCATTGTACAAACGTTTGACTACTTTGATATATATATATATAATAATATGTTTACATACAGGTTACATTTTTCATGTCTCAAGTACAGAATTCGCAAACTATTATTACGGCGTCTGGTCTCTTTACGGTCAATAAAACTATTTTATCATCAGTAAGTAATTATTGCTACACGTTAATTATTATGTTGACGCAGTCCGTCAACCTGAAATCTTTAAATATTAATTAATTAAAATGTTGCACAATCGTATTACATTACAGTAGGTTTCTTGTGGTTTCGAACAGGGGCGGATCCAGATTCGAGGAACTGTGGGTCAAGCCATTTCAAGAGGCCATTTATTAGGGATGAAACTGAATTAGAAATGAATACCTTGTAAAAAAAAGAAAAACACAATATGTTCATAAAAGTGTATGAGTATATCTATATTACATTTTAAAATTAGTGATACCACCGATAATGACTTATTTACGATTAATAAATATAATCTAATTTTATCAACGCAACAAACGTACGGAATAAAATATGATTTACTTAACTTTCAACTAAAACGATGTAATTTAAAATATAAATTATGAATTGAAAAATTTTAAATTTTGATTATACATGACATTCATTTTTCAATTAACTCCGATGGGCCAACTGTCCAAGAGTCCAAATCAAAGTCTAAAAAGAGAAAAAAATTTCCAAGAGGTCAATTTTGTCAACAAATATTAACTGTGGGTCAGCTGACACCCTGAATCTCTCCCCTAGATCCGCCCCTGGTTTCTAATTGCTAAGGGAATGGGAGAAAATTCAAAACATAAAATTATTTGCGAGGTATCGAGTTTTCTTGAAATCACTGTTGAGTTGTATAGTGTAACGAAAGTTTCGATTTTTTTACAATTTGATTGGGGATATCTACGTGACATAACAAGAATCTATTATACTAATAAATATAATTATCTGCATAAAAAGTACTAAGACACATGAGTTATCATTGTTTTAAGGAATTAAAAAACAAAATAAAAAAACAATGAAAATTCCAAAACCTAATCAATTTTTATTCGATATTGTTTTCGTGTATTTGATCAAAGTAAATGGTTTATACGTTGAAGGTCATAGTTATTGACATAGTAAGCAATCATTATTTTGTTACATTATTTGTATGATTGAAAAAACTTGAAAATTGGAAGATGCTACGAACACATCATGCATATCATTATATTAAACGATTTGGGTGGGATATGTTGGACACGTGTTGAATCAACACTGTTGATATATCAAATGTATAAGACACTATTATTGCATTGTACTTACAATATTCTGGGTGGAGTTGCTTATGACATTTTCTGAATTCTTTGCATTTTGAACTATTTGTAATATATTAACGCTAAGTATGTCAGAGCCAATGGTGCGCCAGATCTTTTAACCTACAGGTTGGTCGGTCTGCGGTCAATTTTGAAGGGGCACGTATTGTTGTCACTATTAATTAGCAGATTATACCGATGCATAAATAAAACAAATACTTTGCATAGAACTCCAAGTGAATAATAAATAAAATAAATATCCAAATAAAATTATCAAGTAAATTATGAAGAAGAAGTAGTATTTAGATCTTTGTATCAATAATCTGCAACATACGAAAATATTTTTTGTAATACGTAATAATCAGTCGAAATTAATATTCCTTATAATTTTATTATATTCTCAGAATATAAGCTAGACCAATCAAAATTATAACTATGTAAATCAGATATTTATTAAGATTTTTAGATATACCAGTATTTCTAGAGCGTCGAGACTTTTTCATTACTAAGATATAGGCAAAACTTCTCAATTTTTAATCCTTTTTGAATACCTACTAAAAAAATTTTAATATTGTTATTCCCATATTTTTTATTAATCATAAATCAAGTAGGAAATTGTTAGCATATACATCTGTGTACACAAATCTGATATGTCGACAAATCGTCGTACACACTTATAACGCCAACGTTATCTTGAATACTTCGCGTGGCATTGTATTTCTGAAATGACAATGATTTATACTGACATAGTATTATGTTTCATTTGTTACTATATACAACTTGTTTATTTTTATTATAATCAAAAATATTTCAATTTACATACTATAAATGACGCATATCAACAATACATTTTGCTGAATACAAATAGTGTATGGATTCTCATAAATATAAAATAATTTACTACTGATTCTTTTTTTATAACTTCTAGAAAGAAGTATTTGATATGCAGATAAATTGCAGTTAAAACTAATATAAATTTCATTACTTATACTAGATTGGTCGACACTCCATTAAATTTAAGATAAAATATTACTAATAATAAATGATTCAATTTTCGAACCCATGCAGCAAATAGTAGGAAATTAGTATAAATTTGCTTACATGACAGTTAAACTATATAATATTTGGTTTATTATCGATTGCGTTTAATTTTACAAAACTTGATCAATTAAAATAAAACCGAATGCTAAAACTAAACATTTATGATTTCAAACAACTGATATATAGGTATATGCAAGATATATCGGAGAAGAACAGATGTACATGAGAATAATGATATAATAATCGTATATTCTTAAATTATTATAAAGTTTATTATCGTTTATGTATTACGAGTATGTGTGCATATAATATTTCTTGTTACTGCGAATTATAATAATATATAACACGCGTATTATTATTATTATTTTTTAATGTTTCGTAATTTATTTTCGTCTAATTAAAATATCAAGGTTTACTCGAACTATATCGATACATTTAGAATGCAAAAATACGATTTTTGATGCTTTTATTTCATCTGTACAATAAATATTTTAAAATTCAAATTCACGTTTATTCGCGAGTCCTTCTAATTTCATAGTTGGTGCTAATAGTTTTAAGGACATCGCTAGTCGTTTAATTTATATAATATATTTCAAAGACCAGCCGAGTTTGACGTTGGACTATATATCCATTATGTCCATGAGTATAGTTGACTATACGTCCAATATAGGTATTATGTAATATGTAAGTATGTAAAAAAAAAATGTTTGAAGTATTTTATTACTGACAAATTTATTTTAAAGAATCGGAATAAATATAAATAAATAATAGACAACATTGAAAGAAAATTATTTTGTTCCTACCATGCAATTGATGTATAAATATTATCAATTATTCCATATAATTAATTTAAAATAAAATATTCATGAAGTCATAACCCAAAAAAAATAAAAATATTGCGATCTTTCAAGCCTTACATTTTACTGGGCTTATTACAAAAATTAATTAAAACTGGTTCGTTATTGGAACTCCATACACAATAGTTCACAAATTTAGGTTTGATAAATTTTCGTGAGATGTATATCTATGTATACATTATAATTTTACATTTTCATTGCAAATAATATATTTAAAATAATTTAAAACTAACAAATAAAGTTTAAAAGATGTAAATCATTTTTTTTATCAAATGTGAATCATTAAATGCAAGAAGGGTACATATCTACATTTAAATTGTTCAGGAGAGATAAAAAACTTAATTTTTCAATTATGATAGCTATAATTATATTATAGATATTAAAATGTTATGAAAGATTCTGAAAAGTTTTAATGAAATTTTAAATGAAAATGTCAAACAATGTTTTTAAATCTTTGGTTACGTGTACTTTTTGCAAAAATTGTAATTTGAATGTACAAAAATAATACTATGATAAATATATTTTATCTCTTCTGAAAAATGTATGAATTACGGACAGGTGCCTTGTTTGCTTTAGTGATTCATATTTAATAAGGATATGCGCCATTTTTGCATTTAACATAAAATACCATGATCATTTTATTATGTATCTGTAAACCAGACATATGCCTCTTTGCACAGAACGATGTATTTACCATACTGAACCTTAATAAAAATTTGTAAAAATGTGATTTAATGACAATCATAGATGCGCTCTTTTTGCATTTAGTGATTTATATTTTTTTTTAAGTACATATTAGCGTCCGTGGGTATAATATTATTTACGTAACTAGAAATTGGTGGGGAAAAAATGAAAAATTATGACTTGTTAAATATGTATATTACTACATTCGTTTAAAGTTTCTTTTACTTAATTATTCCCAATTTATTTAAAACTTTCATGTTATTAATAATTCATTGATAATCAATATCATCTACTATATTAAATTCGAAATTTACATAGGAATTACAATAAATAAATTTTGTATATATGGAAATGTGTTGACTCATTTTTTATTTTTATTTTTTATTTTTTAGATAATTATATCATTGGCTACGTACATAATAGTAATCATACAGTTGTCGCCCGACTTGGGGCGCATATTTGTCGAGTAAATTACGCAATACCAATAATCATAAGTAACAAACACATTTAGCAATGTGATCTTACTAAACAATAACACACAATCCTACGCACGACGGCGACTTAGTCGATGCACTCTTCGGGGCACGCCCATAAAATAGAACGAAAAAAAAAATGAAAATAAATGAAAAAAAAAATAAAAAAAACACGTTGAGGAATTTTTCGTACACTTCAGGCATAATCGTTTGCCCTTCAAAAAATTCATATTTACAATCACCGTCACATTTAGTTTACCCGTTTGGATTGATCTCGTTTTGGTCGAGTGTATTTTCACCCAGGAAGTTGAGTCCAACGTAAAAGGAATGATGGTTTTATTATTTTTACACTACTATTAACTTTACACCGGTAATATTTCCCTCCATTATCCTCGGTTCCTTAGGGCGTATCCGTTAACCTTGCTCGCGATGCAAGGTAATCAGGACATGGGCGACGATGCTTTTATAAATACGCTGGGCAGCGACACCGAACAGTACAGTTCTCGTTCACTAGTTGCCGAAGCACAAGACAATATTGAAGAAATCATGAGCCGATTTGTCGTAAGTACATGCTCGTTTACATTTTATACAGTGCAATGTTATCGTGTTCGACGTTTCTTAAGTCCGGACAACGCGTCCGAACCGATGTAGTTAGGATTTTCGTTCGGATTTCAAACTTGAATATTTTCCTAACACGGTCGCGTTTTGCCGTGCCGCAGTACAATAACACCGGCTAAGACACGCATGCGGGTATTGAACCGAACGAACGATTTCAGATTTTATCGATAATCTTTCGACACGTTTAATATAAAGTCGTGTTGTACACTTACGTTTTTCAACTTTGTTCTTCTTTCGTTCGAACGCTGCACGGTTTGTCGAGTCGAACGTTCCTTAAACGTTCGTTTTCGTTGTCAGTACTCTTTAACACGTATTTCGAAGAGAACTCGCGGTAACCAACATGCGTTTGCGAAACACCGTTCACTTTGGAAAGCGCCACAAACGATTCATAGACGATTTCCACGACCCCTGGACACCGCGTCATATTGCAAACGTTTGCGCCGTGTTGTGTCCGGACGATATCATGCAAAGCGCACTCGACCGATCGCGTTGTTCGCGCGACCGTCTTGAAACCGCGTCACACACGTCTTTTTTCGGTGCGAAGAGCAAGTCCCTTCGACTAACGCCTCTTGCCGCTCTCTCGCATCCAACCGCCGGAGCCGCGAAAAGATCGAAAAAAAAAACTCGACCGAAAAATAAAAATAAACGTGTTTCTCACGCACAGGTATTTGTCGTGTTGGCGTTGACGTCGTCGGTGGCGCTGGTCGCCGGTCAGCAGAACGCCGCCATCCTGACGGACGCCCGGTACCTGTCCAACAACGGTCAGTTCGGTTCCGCGTACACGCAGGGCGACGGTGTCGAGTTCAAGGAGGAGGCGGACACGGAAGGCAACCGACGCGGTTCGTACAGCTACGTGGACCCCAACGGCCAGAGGCGCACCGTCCACTACACCGCCGGCAAGGACGGTTTCAAGGCCACCGGCGATCACTTGCCGGTCGCCCCGACGCCCGTGCCCGTGCCCGCCGTGCCCGCCGTGCCCGCCGTCCCGTCCGCCAAGGCTTCGTGGCAAGACCAGTGGTGAGCATAACTCGGTGTACAGGCGGTGATCCGATCGTCTCCGATCCCCCTCCTCCCGTTCTCTCTCTCGATCTCGATCCCGCGACGCCCTTCGATGGTCACCAACGGACCGCTCCGGGCCGGTGTTTATCGTTCGTAAAAACTATCGACCGAATTAAATCTGTACACATCTGCGCTACGAAAACGTGCGTGTTCCGGAGCTTTTCGAGCTCTGAACTCTGAGACTTTCACCCCCCCCCCCCCCCGCTCGTATCCCGCAGTCATCTGCACTTTCCACCCGGTTTAATGTTATCGGATAACGATTGTACAACAAACATTTAACATTTATAAATACGTTTTCACCTGTTTTCCCTTTGTTGCGAAAACAATTTCACGTTACGAGGTCGCCGCGCCGTTAGACAATTATAAACGGCCGCACATCTACCGGACGCGGACCAATTAACGCGTTTGTGTTTCGATTGTTCACCGTCCGCTAATGTTTTCATTGGAACTACGCACACGAAAAGCGTTTTTAACGACATACGTCCGGTTCGAGCTGACGATTATTGTACGTTTTTTTTTTCTAATTTTAATCGGAAACCGATAACATTTTATGCCGCGGCCGGACTACGTGGCACACGTGAACGCGTACTCGCGTAGTCGAGTCTTAGCAGTCCGACCCTCCTCGGTACGCCCTTGGTCACCGTAACCGCTAACACGTCCACTCTGACCGAAGATTAGGGTTGTTTTTTAAATCGTTTGATCATTTTTTCGCAGGTCCCAAGCACCGGCCGTCCCGAACCAATGGAACCAATGGAACTCGGCGCCCGCTGCTAAGCACGACGACGGACAATGGAACCAATGGAGCGCAGATGCCACAGCTAAGTACGACGACGGTCAATGGAACCAATGGAGTTCGGAATCGTCCGACGACAGCCAATGGAACCAATGGAACTCCGTTCCGACGACCGCTCTGCCAAAACAAAGCCAATGGAACCAATGGAACTCGATCCCGACCACTGCCAAGTGGAACCAATGGAACTCCGCACCGACCCCACTACCACCGTCCTACAAAGTCAACCACGCTTCCGGCAAATTCAACTTGAACAGATCTCCAGACGGTTTCAGCTACACGTTCAGTCAAAACTGATGTGCGCACCTATTTAGCTAAGACCAAAACAAATCTAAAATGTAACATATTATGTTGTTTCCTTCTGTCGATTTGTTTTTATATTTAATTAAAGACTAGTCCACGAAACAAAAAAAAAAACAAAAGTCAAAAACCAACAAAAAATTAATAAAATATATTTAATAAAAAACAAACGTAAAAAAACAATAATCGTACACGGAGTTCTTCTTTTGATCGCCCGTCCAACCGAACGTTCCTCGTAGCTGCGGACAAGGTGACCGGGTTGGGGATAGCTGTCGACGAAACCGATCATCGCTACACCACTTGCGTGGTTGGTGCATTCGTAGTGGGTTCATTTGTGGTGGTGTACGCGTCGTCGACGTGCTCTTCCGGGGTTTGGTACTCAGCCTCGGGACGGCTGCTAGAGGTAACGGGCTCTTCGGTGGGGATTCGGGTGTGGTCCTGCGGTTTTTCGGAAACGAGCACAACTCCTCCGGCGTCCTCTGATTCGGTCCAAGGGTCTGGGTTGTAGTAACTATCGTAGTCATCGGGATCCGAATGGTTGTCGCTGTTTTCCAGGTCAAACGCCGGACGGTATTGGTCGACGGTACCCAATCTTCCAGGAGCGCAATGCGATATCGCGAGAACCAGCGAGAACGCGACGGACACCGCCTGTAAACGACGGACACGGGAAAATGTAGTGGAACGATGTGATATTACGATCACGCGATTATAATATAACAAACGAAAAAAAACAAAAAAGGTACATTTGCATTTGATGAATATCTGTTTAGGCGGTACTTACGGTTAAAGATTTCATGGTAACGGATTGCACGTACGAGAAGTATTTATGGTTTGTGCTCGAACGTGATGTTTGTCCCGAGGCTTTTATACGGAAGAATGACGTGAAAAAAAAACGAGAGCGCTCGTTCAATGCCAACAGGTCGGCGTGAATCAAATCGCATATAATTCTGTGCGTTTGGCGCATTCTTTATTGCCGATTCTGAATTCAAATTTTATTTAATGTTCACGGTATGATTACGCGAAGTGTCCTTCTTTTAAGCAGATGACAACTTACGCATTACCCCGTTCAATATATAAACTCACCCTTGCTGTTAACTCCGCCGTTGATAACATATAATCAATGCAATTTTATCGTTTACTGATTCTAAAAAAAAAAAAAAAATAACGTTCCGCCGTGACTGTAACAGATGAATTCATTTTTAAAACATAACGTTTGATTTCCCAGTATGTCTTAAAGAAGTTCCAAATTTAATGAAAATATACTTATATTATATACTTTAACATTATAAAGACGCATAAACTAATCATTCGAATTAATGCGTAATATATTTTTTTTTGCATTATTTTAATTATTATCTTAATAATATAATCATGAGACAACAAGGAAAAACAAATTTGAATTAATACGATGACGACATAATGTATTGAATGCAATCAGCAATTTATAAGAATTGCGTGATTAAAATCGACTTGAATAAATCTATGTTTAGTTAAAAACAAATTTAACTTTTTTTTTAATATTTAATTTAAAACTAAAAAACTAAAGTTAAAACTGTATGAATCGTTAAACGTATAAGCATGTGCCAACTGTTTTATACAAATCTAAAATTAAAAACACTAATATTTTATTTCCACTTTATTAAATCATAACGTACTTTTTATCGTTTGTTGTTAAAAAATTAAAATGTCATGTTAAATCAACTAATTATTATAAAAATACACAGTTGAGTACTAAAGTAGTAAGAAAAATACGTTAAAATATCAAATTTCAACTTATTTACTACGTTTAAAAAGATCATTGAATCCTACTTAGTTTTTTATGATGTGTGCAAATTGATTTTCAACTTCCTATTTTAAAAACTGACTTCCGTAATTTACTATGACATAAAGAAATTATAGGAGTATCGAATGATATATTTATTGCTCTAAAATATTTTTTAAAGAATAGGAAATATGAGCTTGTAAATTATTATGTTTAAATTTAATTTGTAATAACTTAAGCAAATTTCTACTAAATTCATTATTTTCTCAGAAAATATTGAATTAAATTTTCCGTCATGTTGTTGTATTATTATATAAAACCAAAACTGTTTAATTTTATGATTGGAATAGTTAACGCATCAATCGGTGCTGTAATAATTCCTTATAATTCATACAATAATAAGTTTCCATAGGTTTGTTTTATTTATTAGCTTCTAAAAATATATACAGCGTATGTCATCAAATCCAAAGAAAAAAAAAATTAAAAATTATATTACTCGTATTCATAGAAATTAATCAAAATTTAGTTTTTTAACCAGACTTACTTTTGTTGCAAATTGTATTAGTAATGGTATGTATATATAGAATATATAGATTGTACTCGTGCTACTTAAATTGGTTTCCTATGGTATATTATCAAAAGTCAAATGGATTGAATTCATATTTGTATAGTCAAACGGTTACAATATTTGCTTAGAATGCTTTTGAAAATACTTCGTTTGACAGCTTAAATGGATTCTAAGAAGTTCGGAAATTAGTTTTTACCATAAATATTTTATTACTATTATAAATTTGCTGAATATTATATTCGATCTTTCAAAAACCATAATAAAGTGAGTTTATATGATTTGTTCTTCATTCAAAATTGTTATTATGCAATTCTGTAAAAAAATATGTTTAGAAAAATATTTAGGAATACGATATTTATATAGGTCACTCGATAATCGAAATACCTTGTGTAGAGAGGTCATTCATTGATGGAACTCCGTGATACGTTCATTTGCCAACAGGTGTTTTGGCACTTCTAAACGATTTTTTAATACCTACCACATTTGAAAACGGTTTTACAACTGCATTATAATTTTAAGTCTACATTCATTCAGCTTTTGAAATATTTCCTAATATAAAAAATATAGTTATTACTATTTTAGTTTCAATAGTATTGTTTATGTCGATAAATTATTAAGGCGTAGATACTAATTATATTTATAAATACATATACATATATACATATGAATATATTATAATAATAAAGACCACCCTAATATATGTATAAATGGACTTGTAATATTTTAACTCATTATTGTTACACAGAATATTATTTGCACGTTTGCGCCTGTACACGCGTACACAATAAATGTTTCGAAAAACGTACTATTACTCGATCCAACTAGGATAAGAGGGCCTTTAATATATTAGGTTTGATTCTCGATACGTACATTGTACATGATCAATATCAAAACTGAGTGTTTGAAACAAACCAGTATGTTATTAGAATCATGATGAACAATCTGTAAAATGTCATCATCATTTTTAAATTAAATAAATGAGAGAGTCCTGTGTCTATGTAATTCAGAAATATATTCCGCTAAGATGTATTAATAAACTCAATATTACAATAACTATGAACATTTTACAACGCGCAGGACGATCAACTGGTGTATTGGCTTGGTTTCCTAAAGATTTAAAAAAAAATTCGATTTTATTATTTTACGAACGGCTCACATAACGCTGTCACTGGCCTCCGACCATCTTGTAAAGATTAAATAAATAGTAAACAGGATAAAAGTTATTCCAATATTTATTTTTTAATATTTATTAGTTTTCTTTTAAGTTTCATAAATATTCAAATACTTTATGGTTTTTTAATTTTTATGAACAAAGTGAAACGTTTGGGTTTGTTTTTATTAAAATGTACTTTAAAGGTTTTTTATTGTTATTGTTAAATTAACAAAAACTTAAATCTTGAGAGACAACGAATAAAATATTTGTAAATACAAGAGATACGGGAATTAGTAAATCATCACGATACACCAAGCCAATATGACGATGTGCGAATATTTAATCGACCCAGCTTTGAATTTGTAGTTGATACTTGAAATGTGTTCTCTAGATTTCGCAACCTAAATAATATACCAACTCGTTTATTAATCGAACTTTATTACTTTCATCAATTCTTAAATGTCGTATCGCAATCGCATTAAGTGAATTGAATTTATGTAAATGCATATGTATTAGGAAATGTATGTTCGTTAACAAAACTAGGATTGAGAAAAAAAAATAACAGTTCGCAATAAAACGTGTAAACCGCCCTTTGATAACTGTTAACAATCGGTTCGATACATGGTCGCACACAGGGTATTGACCTCTTTTTCACGCCTTACAGTCAGCCTCACAACTTTCCGGCATTTCTCGAAATGATATATAACTACGGTGTGATACACGCGCGGTATTGTCTCTAATGATATTGCCGTGCGATTGTTTCAAATGCTAAACATTCGCGTTCCAAGACCGCGCGTCGTTGTTATTCGACCGTCGATGAACTATAACGTGTAAAATAAAATCTATTTTTGAAATAGAACAGCGTGTGTATAGTAGCCACCACGTATCACAATAATACATAATAATGCGCACCCACAAGCCAGCGCGCGCCGTTGTGCAACAATAACTGCATTGCTGCTGAAGTGGCGAATCGAAAACGATACATTATTTTTTCCTGTTTATTACGTACTAACTGGGCTAGGCGTACCTACGTGCAAGTAAAACCGTTAGATGTGAAATGCAGATAAATCCGTGAAAATAATTTCAATAAAATCGTTTGGCGCTTTTCCCAGTCGGTTATACACAAATAAATCGGGGGCCGTAAAAACCGCCCGGGCGAGGACAATAATATCGTATTTACACGTACAGCATCGTAATACACATTTTATTCTCATAACGATTTATTTCGCGCCGTCACATGTATCACAACACGAATTATAATACACGTATCACAACATAATAATATAATATTATGTTTTTGTTGTGTCAGCATCGCAACTGTTATCTCGACGGTTCTCGTGTGTACGAGACGAGTATAAGTAAATAAAAAACTCAACAATAAATTTTAAACCAGTGAAGTAAAGCAGTTACAAGGTGCAACGTGATGCAAATAGGTTAAAACGAGGGCGCAAAAAACTTACTCGTCATGTCAGTACACGGACAAAACGATGTTATTTCATTATAAACCCACTTTATGGCGACGAAGACGTGTTAATCTATTAGACGACACCATATAGACGGATATGTATACGTAACACAATATAATGTTTCTTTTACGTTCCTATTGAGCAGGCGCGCACTCAGGGTTTTCGTTTTCCTTATATACAAGTGAACAGTTACCATTCATTTTTAAATAATACAGATAATATAATATATATAAAATAATAGTATATACTACATAGTAATCGCTAGTGCATAGAATACACTAGTATCCGTAAATCTAAAAATAATTTTCAACAAAATAATCGATTGACGATTTCCACAAACAAGTACTATTATGTACTATTGTACTGAACTTTAAATGTGTAGTTAATATAATAATCAAATTTGAAAAAAAAAAAATTCATCACAATAATAGTAATTAATTGTGACAAAATAATCTTCTTCTTTTGTTAGCAGCCCAAAGGCTAGTTGGCAGCAATTTTCCACTACCCCTGATATTTTTCTCAACTTTCCTTTTTAATTCGCAATAAGATCTGCAGTTCATACCTCTAACTACTTTACTAATATAGTCCAGTGGCGGTCACCCTCTGCTGTTATTCTCTTCAATGGCACCTTCTATTATTCTACTTAGTAGACTGTTATGACGCAGTACGTGTCCAATTAACTTGGCTCTTCTTGTTTTTAATGTCTAAAATGACAAAATAATAAGCTATAATATATAATCTAATATACAAAATATTTTTATGGAGCTTCAGTCCCAAAGCCCCCCTTGGATGCGCCACTGCTACTAAGGAAGATCAAAGGTTCCGAGTTTCTTATAATCAGTGATCTCTTTGCGAATTAAAACCTCCACACAGGTAGTTTTATTTAGGTTTAAACCTAAAGTTATTTTTAGTCACTATTTTAGTTATATTCTTTATGGTCTATAAATAATAAATAAATGCATTTTTTAAAACGATGTACAACCATGTATTCGTATATTTATTATTTCGAAATGAAAAAATAAGTCAGTCATAAGAGAAAAATATGTGAATAATATATACACCTACACGAATAAATCATTTTATGTAAATCTCAAAACAACTGTTATCTCTGAACAAAATATAAATATGTGTATATGTCTGTATATATATATATATATAGTTATGGTAAATATGTTACTTATGGTTTCTAGATTTAGTGCAAATATAAAAAAAATAAACCAAACATTTCCTAAAGGATGGACAGTATAATAAGAATAACTAAATACGTTTGTTAAAAATATAAACATTTGATCACAGAAACCGAAATAATTTAAATATATATTGGTAAATTTTATATAACAATAAAATAACTAAAATTATATTATTGACTACCATGGATAATAATATTCACATGTCAATTCTTCGTAGAACTGATTAGATACCAAAATTCATAATTTGTTTCTTGTTGTTATATTATTTATTATTTCAGTTGTACTCGTATCATTCCACTTTATTCACGTCCAAATTTAAATTTTTTAATCTTGATGGAAACATAAATTACAATTGCATCAATTCAACTAATATTTTGTGACTTTATTCGTGATATAAAAAATATAACAATTAATGATAAAAAAATATTTTTTAATTTTTAATGCATAGTTTTAGTTCAGTGAATCATACTTAAGATGGTAGACAAATAGCACCTATGCAACAGTAATACCAAAATGTAGTCAAAAGGAGGGTTTACATATTTTAATTTATTTTTCCATGACATATTCATACTAATACGTAAACAATTTTCTATTATCGCTAAAAAATAGAGTTGTGAAGGATTTTGCACTGTAAATATATTTATATGCTATATGCGTAACATATAATTTAAGCATTCACGTAATATGTGTTCCATACAATTACAGCAATATATTGACTTAACAGTTATAAAATACTAATAATTTATAATTAACAAAATCTAATTGAATTTTTAACAGATTTTTTTATATATTTAACTATGCCACTTATAGTATGCATTATAATTTTTGAAGTTAAAGTACATAAATATTATTATTACAAACACAAAGCTAACTGATTTTGATTTTGTTCGATCATAATTGATTTCATTTGATCACATATTTATCGTGTTTAAATTAATATGCTACAGTTACGTTACGATATTACGATTAAAAACCTACAAGTATAATAACAATAATTATCATAGACTTAATCGTAATAAACATTTAACTAAATAATAAATAAACACATAATCGATATGTTATACTTACGAAAAATGTACAGTTAGTTAAATAATACATACTCCGCATCATTAATAAATACCTTTAAGGAAAAATAAACGACGAAAGGAGCAAAGGTCAATACCCACAATGAGAAAGTACGTATAACTAATGTGTATACACAATATTCTACTTTATTAACGACAGAACATTAGTTGTTTATTTCGTTCTTAGTTGTCTCCTTTAGTATTTTTATACGATTTCGTAGGAAATACAATTTTTATATTTTTAGTGTGTCGCATTGCACGAGATAATTAAAAATAATTTATAAAAAAAAATTATATCCAAACACATACTGTGTATGCAGGCAGGCTATATCAATAACGTATCGATAGGAAACATTTATTTAAAACAAGATGAAAGATATACTTAGGTAAAAGTTTGAATTATTAGACCAGCTCAACATGGCATTTAACCTGATGTGATGTTACACGCGAAAGAATTACGTACCTACTTATTTATTCAATGTATTTACACTTCAGTGTTTATACGTATCACAGAATTCTGAAAATTACAGTAATTTATTCGAATAATGTATGTGTTGTGGTATTTATGTAGGTACACAGTCCGCGTAGGATAATGATCGAACCGTTCAAAATCACAATAAACAAACATTTTAACAGGACAACGATTGCACTTGAAAACCAGTAGTTGAAAACAAACCGATACTTATATTTTTCATGATATTTTGTGATTTTTAACTTCTATTTTTTTTTCGAGAACTGTTGCCATTAGGTATTACGATATTCAAAAAATGAACTTTAGTACAGCTTGGGTTTAATTGTTAAATATCCAAACGATTAAGCTTTACGAAACTATTTGCATGCTTTAAACTTCAACAATACATTAAAATAAAAAAAAAAAAACAATAATAATAAATGATAAGAAACATTAAACTCATCATTGCATTATAATAATGGGCTCTAATTTCGTTTAAAATTGATAGAAATATGCATATCTTATTAACGATGTATATAATGCACATCTATTATAATCTCTAAGTGCATAGCCTTTTGGTTATGATGTAGCAATTACTTACTCAAACCACAATACGCACTAACATAGAAATATATTTGCTAAGAACCTAATTTTTATGCAGTTTGCCGATAATTATTGACTAATATTTTAAATAAAATTATCACCTCAGGCTCTTCAAACAACCAAACATCGTTCGTAAATTCAAACAGTTCCATTTTTATGCTTAATCAATTTATATATTTATCTGGAAATATAATTTAATGTGAATTTGTGAATGTAAAAAATTACGTAGATCACGGTTAGGTTATATCCGATTATAAATTATTTATCATATAATCACAATTTTTTTTTATATGCCCATGCAATAATATTGATGAATGGCACAGACGCAAGAAACTATACAACAGTTATCGCTTTGTATCCATGAATAATTTTACGTGACAATCTACACATAGATGAATGGTCATTAAAAACTAATGTTAACTTAAAACTTAAACTTAAACTTAACTTTAACTAAAAACTTTTTTTATTAATTTTCGTATAATCCTAAGCCGTTTTATTTACAAACTTATAGCACTTTACAGGAACATCATATTAATCGCTAAAATATATTTGATAACTGATATTCAGTTCAAATAATTAAAAAAAAAAAAAAACAACAAGCATAAGTGATATCCCGATATTCAAATACCTAGTAAATTCTTAATTGTCAGTCACGTAAAAACGAAATTAAAAAGTTTAGTAATTTAAAATTTTTAATGTGAACCAAAACCATTTTCTAAAAATGTAATAATTTAGCTAAAGTGATATTTTTACATTTTTTGTTCAATTACATCTATATTTCAATTATTTTTTTAATACTTGATTACTTTTGAAATTGAATTTACTTATCTTTGCCAGACTCCACTAAAAATGTTTTTTTTTAAATGTATTCTTCAGAGTTCACATTGAACACTTAAAAACGAAATAATTTTAATTATAATTATCAATACCACTATCATAAATACTATATGAATTACATTTATTGGTTAAATACTTTAAATAGTTGTAGAACCTGTGATTTATCTAAGATAACCTTTAGAATGATATTTGAGTTTATATTATTTCCTATTAGTAAGTTTATATTTCACAAAATTAATTTTTCTTGAATTCTTGTATTACGTATAATGTTTGTACCAGTCATTTTAGATATATTTGTTAAATCAATATAAGATTCTACTTTAAATAAATTATGTAATTAAATGAATTCATGTGCTATTGAACTAAGGAAGCTACAACTTGATACAACTCTCAATAATACTAATTATATTATATAATACAGTAGTTGATGGTTTTAATTTCAAAACAGATTTACACTTACGTATACATAATATATTTCTTCTGTATTTTTTCTTATTATTTTAACCTTGCACTTTGCTCTAAGACATATGGCTCTACGAGTAACATTTTATAATATTACGAGACCGAACAAAAATGTAAATACATTAAATCTATTAATTTACCTAACCTTATGTTATTTTATGTCTGTTTGTTTTGTGACCTTAGGGTTAACGATCCACTACTACAGATATTAATTAATAATATGCAAACTTAATATCGACACATGTTTGATGTCATATTAAAATAAACGATATTGCACTATACAAACAGTTAACACTTTGTTATACTTCAGTGATAAATGGGAAGTAAAGGGTTCATTTTTACAAATAAAAATTCTTGAACGACACATTTTCGAATCGACCAAAATATTATTTGATTTTAATTTATGTAATTTCAATTCAATTTCTTCGGTGTACGGGAAGAAAGACGCCTAATATGTAAGTACGTATATGATCTTTACAATAGTCACAATCGTCATGCAATTGTTCGATAAATTTTTAAAAAATGATAACGAAAAAATTCGACAAGAACATCATTTTCATATTATTTTTATTATTTAAATGGTTGACGAATTAATTTTACAAACTAAATGAATTACTATTTCAATAAAACATTTTGTGAACATTAAATCTGTTGAATTACAATAACCATTATATTATGTTGTCATACTATAATTATTTATCAGACGTTAATTTTGTAATCAACTCGAGCATAAGCGGCACTTGGTAGAAACTCATGTGGGTGCAAACGTTTACGGTGATTCACAAACCGGTTGGTGGGGGGGGGGTGTTTTTCCACGTCACCTAATATTTAACTACTACTATTACAAAATTAATAAAAAAAATCTTTATGTAAAACTTTATTATATATTTCAATTAGTATAATATATAATTGTAAATATTAGTTATAACTTATAAATATGAAAGGAACCTATTTTTATCAACATAAATAATAATAAAAAACAATTACTGTTAGTAACATATATTATAATTAAAATTACAATATATTACTATTGTTAGCATTTGTAATTCAATAACTAAAATATAATATAATATTTTTGACTGTTGTCTGTGGGTGCAAAATGATACTTTTGCCCCCCTAGAAAAATTGTCGTGGGTGCAATTGCACCCTCATGCTCCCCCCAGATGCCGCCACTGAACTCGAGTGTGTATGCCTTTGTGGGAAACGAACCTTGTAGGACATTGAACCAATATTGACATTAAATAACTTATGCTTAAAACATCTGCAGTTAAACCTGTACAGTGGTTTACATTATCAAAGTCTTCCTACGGTGATTTAATAAAATTTTCGGTTCAATAAAACTATTGCAAGGCGGATAGTGGGTTCGATTCAGAAATCGATTTCTGCAAAACAAACCTTTTTTTTTTTGGATCACGATAAAACAATAAACGTATATTTCATAGGGAAAAAATCAACGCAAAACGAATGATTTAATAGTGAAACATCTCGTATCGTACTTTAACAAACAAAACGATTGTTTTAACAAATACATAAAGCAACATTATAATATATATTTATTTGCAACAATCTGATTTTAAAATTTTGTTTAATATATAAATTATAAATATTGCAATTTCCCTAAAAAGCTAAGCTTGTGCTGAGGGAGCAGTTCTTAAAAGGAAAAATAGATAAAAATAATTATACTTAAATAACGATGAAACTTTAAAAATAAAATTTTAAATACATTTTTTTTTTTTTTTTGAACAATATTAAAATACGTGAATTTTATTAGACATAGAGTATCTAATATTTATATAATCATATATATATATATATACATATATATCATAGTTACAATATTTAATTACGTGAAGAAGAAAAAATATTAAAAAGATAAAAATACCTTAAACATATAAAAACATATAGAATAGACAATAAGTGACATAATTCAGTAATAACCGAAAAAATTTAAATACAATCTAAATTCAAATTTTTTATATATTTTTTAAAGGAAGTTAAATTATTAAGAGATTTAAATTAATATTAAATGAAATGCATAAATATAAATGTATATAAAATGTACTTTTTTGACCAAAAACTTTATTGTAATAAGATAAACATATATTGGTATTTTTTTTTTTAAATCTAGTTTTTTGTTTATGATCAAATAATGGTATTAAATATTTATGTTTATATCAAAATAAAAGAAATTATAAATAAAATTGAAATTTTTTATATTAAATCATATAAAATCGCAGTACTAGTTGTAAATGGTAAATTAAATAAGTATTTTATAATACAATTAATAGTAACTTTTAATGTGGATAAATTAATATTATGAGTACCTTCCCAAATTTATAAGCCATAAGAATAAAAAGGCTGTACTAGGGATAAATAAATAATTCTTTTATAATAGTTATTAAATATAAATCTAGTTTCTTTTAATATGTAGGAAAATTTACATAAGCTATTATTTACCAATTTTATATGCTTGTCCCATTTTAGTCGATTATCAAGAACTAGTCCAATACATTGCTTATATTATGAGATTAACCAAAACTAAGCCTTCGCAGACTCATTTCCTTTTCGGGTTTGGCGGGCACAGTGATTCGATAAATAACATTATACAGTTGGTCGACTTGGTGGTTCGGTTGTTAATAATTAATTTTGTATATTTGTATTAATCGGACGTACGTTATCAACGACGTTTCCGTTCTAAAACGGAACTCAACAGATCGTGGGCTCTTATCACTAAGCGTACAAATATTATTATACACTATTAATTCATAAACATAACTATGTGTAACAAAACTATATAAAACATTTAGGGGGGGGGGATAGTGAAAATGAAATTATTTATCATGAGATAAAATGTACCATTTTAGTTACACGCAGTCCGTGCCGAAATCTTGACCGGAATCAAAACAAGGCAATAAGTCGCAATGTGGTCGAAAACTGTAAATTTTTCCGTTGCTTGCCTATGGCTGTTGACCATCGCGAATTTCCAGTCGGATTCCACCGCCCTGGAAGTCACGTGAGTAGTTTCATTTTTTAATTACGCAATGAACATTTAACGTTTAGTGTACAATCCCCACATAATTATTAGATATGGAATGGGATTAAGCTATATTTCATAATCGAATGTAATCATTCAACCTTCCCTTACCATTGTGCGGGTGAAATATCTACTCATAAAAATTGACTTCAGCTCAACTATTTGAAAGACTGGACTAAAACACTCTGGGTGCATGCCTATTCCTCCGGTTTCATTTAATCTGTTTTTGTAGAAATAATAATGTAATCATAATAATATGTTATTTTAGCAAAACTACTTATTGTGCTCTTTTGTACAGATTGTGTTTTATTATTAATAATAAAAAAAAAAAATCATAATAATAATAATAACGTGTACTGCAGACAAGAAGACATCAGAACGGTGTTATATTCGTTTGGTCACTCGTTACGTGAAAATGTGGATAAATTGGAACGACATGAACGCCGTGAGAAACAGTCTAGTGATCAAATACAAAATATGTTATTGACGATTGTGAACAAGCAGAGAGAGCAGTTTGCCGACAACAAGGTTTTGGAAACAACCTTAAAGGGCTTAGAGGAAAGCATACACATGTTGACAGATATCGAAACAAATGAGGTAGGTGCAAGGATTTTATTAACTATTTAAATTTTTAAACGGGTCATGTCCAATTACATACATTATACATAATAATGAGAATCGCTTACTAATAAAATTTAAAATTTAAATACAATATAATATTAATAAATAATAGCCATGAATTAATAAGTATAGAATTACAATACATTTAAAATAAATTGAAGTTTGGTGATACAAACAGATCGATATTTAATTAATTTATAGTTTTCGCAATTCTATTCTGAGGGGTGTTGCTTGCATGCAAACTTCGGTGTTTGGATAAAATATATTTTTAGATCGGGAGTTACGATTAGGGATATGGATAAAAATAAGGCTTAAAAACTCGGGACAGTTAAATTTTTCAACGAAAAGTAAATGTCTAATCGCAAGCGACGTTTGTTCAAGGGTTTCGTGGTTAAGATGCACTAGAAATGGGTTGTATGAAGAATGTGATACTCTGGCTATGGAACACTTAAAAGAGAGGAACTATAAAAACGTATGCAAAATGTTCTCAATTTTACATTTATAAAACGCCGTGTATTGAGACCAAATGTTGAACTATACTTACAAATAAAACGAACCAAACTGCAATATATGGATTTTAATGTTAATACATCATTAACATTTTAACGAATGAATAGAAATATCATAAAGCTATTTAAATATGTATTAAAATTAGGTCATTGATGTATGTATGTATTTAATTTAACATTTCTACACAGTATTCAAGGTCTAGAATATATTATTTTTTATGAAATTACAATCGAAAAATTAACTTTGGCCGTTTAAAAGATCTAATTTCTATTTTTCTCAAAAAAATAAATTATTTCAAAGAATTTTCAAAAGAAAATTTAAATCTTAAATATCAATTCTCTAGGATACGATGTCACTCGGGCGTATTATATTATTATCATTGTTTAGTTCAAATTTGAAAAAAATTTAACTTAAAGGATTTTCATAAAAATCAACAAGTGATAAGTCTAAATAATTGTTGTACTCGTATAACAAACATTGTTAAAATATACTTATTGCATTTAACCAATTCAAAAAAATAATAATAATATTTGTTGAAAAAATTAAAAAAAGCCCACTCGTATGCGCACAACTATAGTCACTATTGCGAAATAGTTGTATTATCGTATTTTTTCTTCTTCTCCCTCACCATTTTCACAACGATTTGGTGACGGCTTCCCTTTGTCCTACACCTCCACGTATCTCAGTTTTCTACATCCTCTACGCACTCACTAACAGCCCTTATATAATTCCAGTAATCGTATCTAACTATTTCTTTTTCTCTTATTCCATTTCAACTCCCTTCAACGTTCATTTTCATAACTACTTTTAACGTTTTTGTTTCCTCTCACTTCGTCACATGCTCAAACCATCTCAGTCTATTTTCTCTCATCTTGTTCACCATTGACCTCTCGTGTATTAGTTCCTTATTCTATCTTCCCTTCAGTTGTATTATTGTGTTTATTTCCTTAAAACGGACACGTAATACATTATGTGCAGCATTGGTAGTCAGACCGCATCGACGACTGGACTTGTGTTAAAAAATTACGATTTCCATGTTTAGGAGGCCGCCAGTAGATCGAGCACGAAATCGATGTTGGAGAGCTTGGAGCAGCACATGGCTGCCGACGGGGCAGATTTGAAATCGATTTTGAAGGCGGAGAAGCAGGCCACGAACCGGTTGTACGAGTCGTTGGGCAGCCAGCTGACCACTGTGTCGGAGCAAGTGAAAGCGTTGCAGTCGCGCCTCGACTCGCTGGAACGTGCGCCGAAGTCCCAGGTGTCGAACGACGCGATCTACGAACTACTGCAGAAGATGGCGGCGGAGCGGAGCGCGCCGCGACCCGTCGGCGGTGAGCAGGACCCGGCGGCCAACACCACGTGGCAGCTGGTGCAGGAGACCAAGCACGCGGTGGTCGAGGCGGTGCAGTCGCTGACGGGCCGGTTGGACGACAGCGACCGGAGACGGGAGGCTTGCGATGCCACGATCGCGGAGATGGCGAAGTCGACCCGCGCGTTCCAGGCGGACGCGCAGAAAAGCTTCCAGTCGGTGCTGGACGGCGTGAAGACGCTGTCGGACGTGGAAAAGGTGTTGGTGCAGACGGCCGACCACGTGCTGGACACGAAGCGCCGGATCGAGTACGGCACGCACCAGATACTGACGGACGTGACGGCCGCGGTGAACGACCGATCGAAGGAGCTGAACGAATCGGTGAACGCGGCCGTGGGGCTGGCGGTGGACACGGTGCTGAGCGCGCAATCCGCGGGCATGGCCAACCTGAGCGTCAAGATCGAGACGGAGATCAGCCAGGTGTGGAGGCAGATCGGCATCATGTACCAGACGCTGACGGACTCGGCGGCCACGCTGACCGCGCTACACAACCAGACGGACGCGTTCGTCAACAGCACGGCCGTCTCGGTGAACGGCATGAACAGCAAGGTGTCGGCCATCGGCGGCCGCATGACCGAGGTGGACGAGAACCTCAACTACCTGCTGGGCCGGCTGTCGCTGGTCACGCAGGAGTTCAAGGAGATCAAAATCGGGCTAGGTGACGCGCTGGAGAGCATCCGGGTGGGGCTGCAAACGGTGCAGGGCAACAAACCCACCGTGGACCTGGGACCTGGACCGAACCCCATCGACGATGAACCCCTGTCTGCCGAGAACATTAACCTGTCGAAAACCGTTTACACGGTATCCTGAAAAACGCCATCGCGGCAACGACAATAACGGTACTAGGTACTACGCTGTTATGCGATCACAAAACGAAAAAATTCGCATTCGCCCCATCTGGTAGGAATAGTACAAAACGTACAGATCGATTTACTCAGTGTTATTTATATTATATTACTATGATGATTATTATTATTTTATTATTATTATTATTATTATTATTATTATTATGATTATTTTATTATTATTATTATTATACTCGGTACAAATAATATCATCCAGCGATCTAACTAAATACGACGCACGAAATTCACTCTTATAATTCACACCTAATGCTGACAAATTATATCCCAAAGACACTTAATGTTTTACTGACAATGGTTCACAGTAAATATATAGGTGATTTTTCGTCGAGCTTGAATTAGAAATAAAAATCAAAACGAATCAACGATGCACGCAATTGTTCGATACATTTGTTCGCCCCACGTCACTACGTTATTGTTAACATGGCGTCACATTATTTCGAACGACTAGGTATCGCTAATTCTGCATTAATCGTACACTTAAGATTATGTATCTACCGTATCTTATATTACACTTGACTCGTAATTGAATATATTTGTGTGTCCATACGTGAAACTATTATTATTATTATTATTACTACTACAATATAGTTGGTTAAGTAAATCCGACAGTTCATGTCAGTGATCTGTACGCAAATGCAATGATTGGAATATATATTAATATTTTATAATATTTTTTTTACTATGTTCGCCTACTAATGATTAAATCTGGGACCCGGATTTTATAACCGTTGATTTATAATATTATAGTTAGACGTTTTATTGAATGTTATATTGTAAACACTTAGTGATTCGCTTAAACTCAGTTTAGCCTGTGCAAACTTCAACCCAAAAAAAAAAATCATCATTTAAAAACTATATATGTGCATCGTCATCAAAAAAAAAAAAAAACATTAATTTTAAGTAACATGAACACATTGTATTATAAACAATAACGAATAAATCAATATATTTTAGTACCCAATTTGTTTTGTAATGAAATTTCATTACATTTAAAAATAAAATCAACCACAAAAAGTTACACACATTTCTGTAACCAAACAAATAACTACACATTGTTTTGAATTAGTCAAACAGTTTGTTTTTTTTTAATAACTATAAGACTACTTACATAACAATTTGTAGATATAATTTGAGTATATCCCAGCATATGCTTAATGATCGTCGATGCATTAACTTTTTCTTTTCTATTTTTTTTTATTTTGTAATATTATATAGCTTAGCCATTATAATATTATGCACATTGCCTGTATTATGAATTTAATTGAAAATTATTGATTATGAAAAAATGAAATGATAAGGGATTTGGTAGAAGTAGAATGAATATTGATCGGAAGTGAATGAATAATTAATGGTTGGATTTATTAGACTTTGTGTTTTTATACATTTATATTATAACGACCGATTTATTACAACAGTTTAACATTATACACTATCATCGGTTACTTTTAAATTCATCTTTTAATAATAGTTTTTAATTTTATTACAATACAATTTTAATGGCATTATAATTCATTTTTAACGTATTATGTTCAATCGATAATAACAAAATGATTTAAAAATATTTGTAAGCCAAAGAAAAAGTTGCCGAAGGCCGATCGTTAACTAAAATAGTTTGGCCACTCTTGTCATGTATTTTCATCATCGATCACCATACTGCAATATGTGGTACCTATAGTTGTTGTTAAATTGCACATTTTTTTTTTTTTGTTTTATGTTAATAGAACATTGTGTTTATGACAATGTACTGCGGCATTTCTTGGTACTTAATAATTAATTGGCTTTATGAATTATGAGAGCTGTTGCAAAGACAACACGCTAACATTTGTCATATTTTTAACATTCCTCGTGAAAAAATAGGTACCTAACATAAGCGAAATTACTTGACTTACCTCTAAAACTAATATTGTGTATTATACACATTATAGTTTCAACAAACTATATCTGCTTTTGGTCTGAAAATATTGACCTACACTGAAAGTAATCCTAAATTACTTTGTTGAGTTAATGAGTTATGAGTATCATAATTGTTTTTTCTTTTCTTTTTGATTTCAAAATTATCTTAATCGATAAAGTTAGTGAGTTGTGTATTGAGTATTTAAGTCGTTTAAGACAAACGTCACGTCAGAAATGATTTCTGTTACATTTATACTAATCTGTAGTGTTATTTTGCGCACGCATATTCATCAATAAGAAAATTGACTCAAGAGCAGTTATTATATGATTCTCCTACGATTTCATTTTGTTAGTTTTGCTGTAATTTAAATCGTGATGCGTTAAATTGAACAAAGTTTGAGTAACTATAACAGTTGAACACATTATGAATCTTAAGCTAGACGAAATATATTTTTATTTTACTAATGATTTTTTCAGTCTCGGAAAAGTAATAAATGTGTTCATATGTCTTGTGATATTTGATATAGGATCCTAATGTTAGTTTGAGGTCATTTTTCCCAGTAGATAGTATTCATTATTTTTATTATGGTACATCTTTTAGATTTGTTTTTGAATTGTTAAAGTTTATTATTGCATTCAAACACTTACGGTCGGCACGATTAACACAAAAAATGCCAATCTCTCTCACCCAATACTTTTTTAATATGATAAACAATTTTAGAACTACATATATCTCTTATTAGTTGCTTATTTTATTTTTCCTAATAAGTCCTTCCAAAATAAGAACGTATACCTACCTCTCGAATAGTTGTTTTATTTAGAGAAATCGATTGGTATTTAAACGTAAATAAATGTTGAAATGTATAATAGTTTACATCGTGTTTGTGTAAAATATATATTAACGATTTTAGTACATATTTGATATTTATATCGCATCATAGCAATCATAACAATAAACATATTACACCTAACTTAATGCGTCCCAAATCATCATGAATTATGGACCAGTTGATACATATATTAATCTACCACTAATCTGCAAAATTATCAACATTATAAATATAAATCGTTTACATATATAGATAAATATTTCCATTTTAAATAGAATTAATTCTTTGATTTACATAAAATTTATTATTATTAAATTACTTGCAAACAACATTAATTGTTCGAAATTATAATTATCATAATCTGTATTAAACATTATGTAGTAATTTAAAGTAATGAAACATTCATAATTAAATATTATTCAATGCCTATTAGATCCTGAATAATTTATTAAGTAAATCATTGAAAACTTTTTTGAGTTGGAGTTCTTAAAAATAACTGGTTACTTTTGGGAACATATACTTGTGCGTAACATCATCGCATTTATAAAATAATTTCAACTATACTTTTTGGATTTCAAAAGAAGCATTCATTAAAATTAGATATTGTAATTTCAATGAATATGAATATGTAGATACAACTTTACAGATACCTATGCTTATTATTTAGCACGTTATACATTTACTGAATTCTGTATGTGAATGCGCAATTAGTGAAAAATACACATTAAATAATTTTATATTTACATTAAAATAATTTGTGAAAAGGTTGTATCAACATTTTTGGACGGAATCACATCAAAAACGTTACTAAATTCATTAATAATATATTTAGTAACAGATTTTTTACTGTCTATATTGGATAGGAAAAAAGTAAAACAAAGATGCTAAACAATGGCCTTCCTCAAGACTGTGTGTTGGCACCCCTTCTGTTTAACCTATATATTAAGGCCCTACCAACGACAATCGTAAGAAAATTCATATATGCTGAAGACCTAGCCCTAGCTTGCCAGAGTAAAGACTTTGAATACCTAAAAATCATCCTGTCTGAAAACATTGGCATATTAGACAAACTCTACAATCCATGAAGGCTCAAACTAAATCAATAAAAAATGAAAGTCACCCTATTCCACCTGAACAATATTGTGTAACTGTGGCTTATGCAAATACTAGGGATAAAATATTTTTCAGCATAAAATGTGTTTTTCTAAAAACTAATCTGACTTTGTAGCGTTCACAAATGTTGTCATGCAAACTGGTCACGAAAACTTGTCGAAAGCTCTTCACCTACTGGCTAATATAAATTATGTTAGAATACAATTCCCGTTAACATATAATCATTTTATGATATAAGAAACAGACGATGTTTTTATCAACGTTTTATTTTTAAAAATTAATAAAATGTTTTATTTAAATTAAATAAACATAGTTTTGCTCATATAAATTAAAATATCAGTTTTATTTTAATAAAAAATTATACCTACTTATAAGTTAATTTATTCATAAACTTCAAATTGAAGTGCACTTATTTGTATCTAAAATCAATAGGAACTCAGAATCATATCTTCTTAATAATATTAATTTATTCAAGTAGGAATTCTGTTCGGTAATAAAATAACTTTCTATAGTTTTTTTCATGGTTCAACCATTAAATTAATTTGAGAGATAAATGTTAAACTAAATTTAAATAATGTAGAAAATCTTTCCATTAAAAAAGGTTATATTTAAGTTTGAATCAATACCTTAGTAATTATTTATTATTAATAATCATAAATATATGTATAATATATATATATATATATATTTATGTGTGTGTGTGTGTGTGTATGTATGTATGATAATTATTGAGCCTTTTATAATAGGTTAATAGGTAATTTTTTATTAATAAAGTTAATTTATTTTATGAAAGTTAAAATAAAATAAAATTTTGAATTAATTTATAGAATATCATACAATGTGCTTAAAAAAATAGATTTTAATACATAAGATTACATGTGAATTGTAATCGATAAAAATTAATTTTTAAATTTATAAGAAAATATTTAAAAATTATCATTAACTACGTGAACATATTAATCAGATAAATAGTTATTATTTTTGTATAATAGTAAAAATACTTATTTTTATACAAATAATCTAAGTATTTACCTAAGTGCATTTCAGGCATTGCCTAAAATTTAAAATATAGAACTGGAATTTGTATTTGATTTAAATAGTGACAACAGAATACTGAGTAAGGACAGCTCTGATAATTTAAATATGAACACAGTAAATAATTTTTTAAATACCATATACAATTTCATAAAAAGTTAAAATCCTAATTTAATTAAAATATTGTTTATTTTAATGGTATTTAATATCCATTTAATGTAACACGATGGTAAATATGTACAATTGCATTGTATTATTTATTAAATTAATTACTATACAGGCAGTTTATGAATAATTATCTTCAAATTATTCATCACTAGTTTCAATTAGAGCACTCTAACTACTACATATATTGTACTTTTATATTCACACTTAAAAATGCATAACCCTATGTTTGCTTTATACCCTTTCAGCTTTCAGGTTTTAACAACAGTTAATATTTCTAATAATTTTTTAGAAGACCAAATAATAGAAAATTTAATTATAAATTTGAATACTTGTAAATGATGCCTAACATACAGAATTTAGAGCTAGAATATCAATTGTGTAAAGGGATCATATATGAAAAAAGAATAGGTAAAAATTAAATAATTGATGTATTTGCAGATTGTGCATTCATCTATTTGGTTTCTAACTGATCATTGTAAATAGACGCTCTGAAAATGCATTAAAAAATAATTTTATCGGTTAAAACTGTTATTAATAAAAACTAAGTAAGCAACAAATACTAAATATCAATACAAAAAAATGCGAGAGCTTTAGAAATCATTTGAAACTAAAAGGTGAGTCACCTAGGAGTGCTATTTGAAACCAGGCTCTTATCTGAAGTAGTTTATTGATTTCAATTCCATGCAAATGATATTTTATTGACGTGCAAAATTACAGTATCAAATCCTATATACATATGCGTGGATGATTAACATTAACACTAATATTGTCATTTTAAATTAGATGTTACAAATTATTCAGGACAGTGGCATAAATTAATACAAAATAACATAACGACAGTATAACTTTGTACTAATTTCCTCGTGATGTTCCCCGACATTTTGATGACAGTTCGCTTAACGCATAAACCTTACGTACTAATATATTTAAGTAGGTAATAAGTATGATTTTAAACATAATGATATAATATATTGTATGTACAAAGTTATAAAAAAATAATCATATTAAAAATAATCTGTACATTATACAATAATTAATTTAGTAATCGAATTGTGTGTTTCGTTTTCGTGCGGACGAAAACTCGTCCATGATCGTTAAGGTTCAATTAAGAAGACTGTTCGATTTTCAACGGTTTCAACGTTTCCGACTCGTTGATTGAAAAACCGTTCGCGCCTTCTTTTTTCGTGGTGGAGTTCCACGGCAACGTTTTCGCCGTTCCGAAGATTAAAAACATTGAAGCGCCGACCATGTACGTCCCGGCCAAAATCCAAAACACGATGCGCCATTGTTCGAACGTTTGCTGCAATACAGTTGATTCGGAAAATAGTAATAATAATAATAATAATAATAATAAACAGTGTGATGTGTATATATTTGAATTGAACACTTTTTCTCGTGCATACTCACGTTGTTGTTTGTAAGTCTGCCCACTATGTACGACGATAAGTAGCCGCCGAACGAGGACAGAGTGTTGGCCATCCCGAATATCGTGCCTAAATTATTAAATTGTTACACAAATTATAATTTCATTTACACTTCGTGCAATATTTAACGTGAATACCGGAGAAATTCGGTGCTATGTCCAAACCGTTTCCCAGATAGCCACCGGTCACCGCTCCGTTCAGCGTAAGCGCAGCGGTGAATATCAGCACCGACCACACATGGTTGTTTCCGAAGTACACTTGTATGATCATCAGTATACCCGGTGTGAAAACCCCTGTAAGCACGGACCGTTCGTAAATTACGCGCGGTCTAAAATACGAATACCGACAACGGTTGGTATCGTATGCAGTGGCCGCACACCTCATGGGTCAAGGGGGTCAGTCGACTCCTCCCCAAAAAAAATTGGGTGGTTAAAAATATTTTCCATTTTCTAAATTTTATTTCAATTTTGAATATGTGAAACTTGAATAGACCTAGGCTCATGCCTTAAGTGCTAAGTCCCACTACCTCCAAAATTACCTTTATTAGAGTTGCTTTGAAAATTTGTATGGGCAATAATGGGTGGGTGGTCGGTATTAATATAATACGTTCGACTCATGTCGGTAAGAATAGGTGTGCGCCACTCATTGTATGTACGATATACGCGATAACATTAAGTTGTGATTTACCGATAGCGGTGAATATTTTTCTGGTATTCGTTTTGGATATTTTTTCGGAATTCAAAAGACGGTCGGCAACTATTCCGGCGAACAGCGCCATCAGATACTTGCCCAGGTACGGGAGACTGGACAGAAAACCATTCTGAAATTGCAAAAAAAATAATGGTTAAATATATTATACTCGAAAACCTATTAAGGGTATACGAATGGGGAATTAACAATTCATACTGCTTTGATGTTGTAATGTAGTAAATATTTCATGTATGTGGGTAACTGGTTGACAATTGTAAAGTAACCGAAGACACTAGCTCCGTGTGTGATAATAATCGCCCACACGGGCAACGAAGTAAGTATTTTTACCCACGGCAAACTGTTAGGCTGAAAAAATAATTTAAAAAATAGTAAACACACAACATTATTATTGGTACAGCAATCATTTCAGACCTAATCATAGACCCGCTAATTTCATTAACAAATCTGATAATTTAAAAAATAATTGATAATTTCACTGCAGAACAGATCAGTAGTAATTTATATTTTTTATATATTAACGTAACCCTGGGACATGAAAATTGAATGAGCGAAATAAACTACTTTTTATGAGTTTTTAAGAGTTAACTATAACATGACACCTCACGCTTATTTGAAAAATTTGAACGCATAAAATGTACAATAATATTAGTTTTGATGTAAATAATTAATTTATCTGGTTAACGTATAGAGCAGTGCTTCCCAAACTTTTTCGATTTATGGTGCCCTTTTTGATCTAAGTTCTTTTCAGGGCGCCCTTTTCTAAGTCATAGCATAACTAATCACAAGGAAAATATTAGACCCGATAGTATTTCATGACGGCGCGACGCCTCTATACAGACATCTCGGCGCACACTTTGGGAACCTATGGCATAGGATATTATTTAAACGTCTATTGCTGTTTGAGCGAAATATTATTTTTTTAGTTTCTCCGTTGGACTTGAACACATTTTGGATATTTTTCAAATCTATTCTTTTATCATTTTGAATTTGTGGTACTGCCAAACTTTTTATTTTTAATGAACTTCAATTAACAATATAGGTTAAGTCAAATATCTTGGATTGCATAACGATATGTTTGCATTACTAGTCAAAGTATCAAAATATTTGTATTTCGTACAAATATATATCATTGTAATATGATATTACTAACACTCGAAAGCAGTTGTCTTGAAGGCATTACGCTGCTAAGAGTATAAAAGTATTCACCTAAACTAAAAACATGTTCATCATTCATCATTCATTGAAAAATATGAACTCTATTTTTCTTACTTCTTAAATAATTATTTATATATAAAAATGATAAATGTCCGTGTATATGTTGTGTATATATTGTCACCAACCGAATTGCTATATTCGGTACTTATTATTCTTAAATAATAATTTATAAATATAAATGATACATTTCAAAGTGTACTTCATGGTATGTATTGTCATCAACAGAATCGCTATGTGCGCTAACGATTTGTCAGTTGTCTGCGATAATGGTATACAAATATACCGAATTGTTTGTATAGTTGAATATTTACTTTTATGCGTTATAAATTTATTTTTATATAAAAAAAAATATGAATTAAATGTATATTTTTACGAGCAACACTTAACAAAGTACAATGTATAAATGAACTTCGATTAAAAAAATTAATCATATATAAAAATATTGTTTTTTTATTATCAGATTATCAGTTATTTCCTCATAGTCAAAAATGTTTTACCTACACAAAATTTGACATAGTTGTGAAAAATTTCCGAGAATCTTTAGTAATCTTTAGTAAATAAATAAATTAATTCAACTTTAAAAATAAAGCAAATAAATTCCAACTCCAACACGTTATTTAGGTCGAAACTTATCGTCGAGCATTATTTCATTATATTATTATATTATATTATTATTCTTCGAAAATTGACGTTCCCTCATTCAATTTTTTTTTTATAGGTATTTTCGTTACGATTTCAATCGGTAAATCACGATAAAAAAATTAATACCGTTACAATTTTAATCAACCACGTTATGCATTTTTCATTCAATAATTATACTTAAAAATGTATGATTTGAGGTAAAATCTTACCTTAGTTCCAGGACTGCTTTGCTTGGCTATTTGTGTTTCAATGTAATTTCTTTCGTATTCGGATATTCTCGGATGTTCAGCTGGAGTCTCGAAAACTAAATTAAACCACATGACACACCATGCGATGCCTACTATGCCAGTTATATAGAACACTGATTCCCATCCCCAAGCAGATATTAGTATACCACAAATGGGTAGAGTAATTGCTGCCCCTAAAGTAGATGCTAAAAAAAAACACAAAATGAATTAACTACTAAATTAATTTCAAATCTAAAGATAAGAACATAATCGATTTGAATGAAAAATTCGTTTGTATTATACAAATTATAAAAGTACTTAATGATTATGTTATTATTATTATGATTATTGAAATACTTAATGTTGTAATTATATAAGTACTTTTTGGCACAGGCATAATAATATATAAGTTACATAATTATAACTGATAAATAACATTTTTAACTAAATTTCATTTGTATGCTTTTCTCGACATAATTAATAAAACAAATTTAATACCGTGATTAAATTATTGTTGATATAAACATCAAATTTTTGCAATACGATTACAATAATTAAGCAAAATAAATGAATCGAAAAATAAAATGTTTACTTAATACCAATACGCATGATTCTTACTATTTATACAGTACACACACTAACTTATAATTAAAATAAAAAGTAAATTACTACAATTTTATTTTTTTTATTTGATGCTAACATGGTTATTAATATAGTTATTTAAATTTAGTCATCTTTATAAGTAACAAACAATTTTTAATTAGCAGAAAAACAAGACAATAAGATAATTGATTAATATATTTTATTGTTGGTACGTAGAATTAAATTTTTCTACATATTCTATAGAACGTTTAAAAGAGCTAACAGTTAACTGTCCATAATTCAATTTATTAATGGTATAAATTAAAAAACTGTTAAGGCATTTCTCCTCGTACGAAATAGTCTGTTGATAACTTTCAAACGATAAGTACCTTAAGTTATACTTACAACGAAATAATTATGACCTAAGGTTGCATGTACCTATTGAATTTTATCATTAATAAAAATACTATGCAATAAATTATGTCATTTACCCATCATGTTAGCCATGAACTTGCTGCGCTCGTTCGGTGGAATCCAATTGGCAGCGATAGGTAGTATAGCCGGCCACGTTACTCCCTGAGGAAAGTGAAAGCAAATAAGGGTTAGACATTAACAATTTATACTGTTCAAACTCCTTTGTCATCAATGGGGAGGGAGAATTTTAAATTGATTATTACTGAACAGGAACCATCTAAATCATATATTATGTGAAAAAAAATACTCGAATAGTTTACGGTATTTCCAAAAGAGTCAGTTTTATTAAATTTTATTAAATCAGTTTTATTATTATAAAAAAGTATACAACTTCGTACAATATCCGAACTTATCTACGTTTTTATTAAATATATGTATAATATTATCCTACATGCATTGTCGTTGTTATTTTATTTTTTCGTATTTTCAAAGTATTCGTGATAAAATTTTGACCTACATACCTGATTACATTATAAGATTAAAAAATAATTGATTAACTATAAAAGTCTGTTTCTGTATCTGGTATGATACTAAATAATTATATGTGCTTGTAATTTATGAATACATCTAAAATATAAATATAATATAAGATATTGGAAATTAATGTTGAACAGAGAAGCATTAATTAATGTCCAATCAATAAATTGTAATATAATGATCAACAAAAATAAATCGAATATATTAGGATTATTAATAGTGGTAAAATCTAATAAAAAAAATATTTTAGTTTTTTAATGAAACACTAAAACCCAATACTCACCAAAGTAAAACCCAAAAATACTCTGCAAAATATGATGCAATAGTAGCCAATTTTTGCTGCCATAGGGGTCAATAAGGTAACCATAGACGCCAATAGCATGGAGTAGCCGAATACCGGTCGAGCGCCGATCATTTCGGCCATACGACCGCCTGGCAATTCCGTAAGGACGTAACCCCAAAAGAAGCTGCCCAGTATTATATTCTGTTCGTATTCAGACCAATTAAATTTAATTTCACCAGGTGACTTTGAAAGAGTCAAATTCAAGGAGCTCTGAAAAAAACATTTTTATTAAATATTTCAAAGTACAAATAATGATTCATACAGATAATACACAACATTATTGATTTATAAAAATAGTTATATCTTAATCAGAATATCCATTAAAATATTATGTTCTTTCATTCTAAATTAGTTTACACTAATTACTCTGTAATTAAGCTATTAAATTAATATTATTTCAATAGTTTTAAAAACGTATTAGTATATGAAATAGAAATGTTCTTATATATTGGGTATTACAGAAAACTAACTATTGATATATCATTTTGAATTAGGATTTCGTTTTTTTTAATTTTTTTTTTTTTTTATTATTTATTTGTAGCTTGATGGACGATGAGACGATGAGATATGACAATGAAACGTAATAACAATGAATGTCACTCATCTTATTACGCAAAAATTAGATACCGTTCATTGCACGTTTATAATTATCTACAGTTAAAACCATTAATCGAAATAACTGTCAAATCATTCTTTAATATTTTAATGATATGTTTACATGTCCTAATCGTAAAAATATGCAAATTATTTTATTTATTCAAACTAAAAATTTACTCTATCATATCTTTGATTTTATGCATAATTTATCAGTAAAATATCTAATAAAATCACTATTATTTAAACAACAATATTACTTAATCAATCAGCAATTACTAAATAATATAATTATATTAAATCATTATACTAAATTTTATTAGCATTTACGTGAAAAAAAAAGGTGATAATTGGCTACAAGTCTACTGTCAGCAAAATATTTTAAATGTACCCTCAAAAATAACGAAAATTTAATTATAATTTTTTTATTAATTATTAAATGTAAATGTTAATAAAATGATTTATTTATTCTCAAAAACTTATATTTTTCTACGTGCTTATTTTTACTAATACAATTTCAAGCCTTATTTTACGCGATAAGTACTCAAATTTCGGAGATAAAATATTTTCATCATACTTTTCGTCTTTTTCCGTATGTAAAAATATAACGAATAAAATAAACAATAAGTATACTATTAATTCTAATTTTCTGTATTATAATTTTCTGGATTTCACATATTCATTCGCCTAAAAAAGAACACTCATATTTAGATACTCATTTCAAGATTTTACATATGTCAGTGTGTATTCCAGCCTATACGAGAATAGTGAAAAATAATAGTACCTATAGACATAGTATAAACTGAATTTAACTTTACAATAATTATATCATTAATTATTATTAAAAAACTTCATCTGCGAGATAATTTGCTATTCGATATATTCAGACTACACTAAAAATATGTAAAAAAAATAATAAATAATGAAATTATTCGTCATCGGCTTATCATCTAAATGTAAATTGTGACATATATGTTCCTAGAGTCATATTTTTCTCTTTTTGGTCAAAAATAAATCAAAGTTGACGATACGGTTGATCTCAAATTAAATTTGCTATTTTCATTACATTGTCTTTTTTATTAATTAACTTGTTAAAGATATACCAGTTCATTTTCATTGCTACCAAAGTAAATCGTACACGACTATAAAAAATAATACACTAAAAACAAACAAATAAATCATCTTAAACCAAAAATCATGGTCGTATAAAATAGCATAGATAACCATAATATTATTTATCAATGGTATAAAAGTCATAATAATCAATCAAATAAAATAAAAATGTTAAAGTTAGTTGCTATAATATGAGCGTATTGCAGAAATTAATAATTATTCAATGGAATGAAAACAATATACTTGTCGCGATTACTTCACTCTATTAAATTATTTTAAAAATAGGTGTTTAAAACTTACTTTACTTACAAATAGGTTATGTCGTAACTAGAGGTAAGCAAAATGAAAGGTTGTCAAGGACGCTGTGAAGGAAGGAGGCACATTTGAGTTAAATTGAAATTGTTTTTTATCTCGTATAAAATAAGTGCCAAAAAAAATTCTACAAGAGCATTAAGGAGGGTAGTTACGGCAGTATAAATAGGTAATGAAAATAAATATAAGTTACTTGAATTGATATTTTAATTTCAACAAGCATATTTTTAAATAAATTACACGTTAAAGGATAAACTATTAAAAAAAATAGAAACATCAGGTTTTTTTAATTATTATTAAAAATCAAAAATGTAATTATATCACTAAAGGAAGTAAGAAAGCAATACAAAGTAGAACTAGATTTCTCGAAAATATATGCTACCTAATGAATATAATATATATATATATATATTAAATACCAATATATAAAATATAAATTGTGTATACGTTTAAATAAACCGTGATAATTTCATAAACTAATTTTGAATTAGAATATTTATTAGAATAACACAAAAATATAATATCTAAATGGTTTAGAGTATACGTATAGTATAGATCTACTTTAAATTTGAAAATATGCTAAATCTTATAAAATTAAAATTGTACCAATGCTAATTTTTCTTCGTTGACTTAATATTTAATTGAAACTTCTGCTGTATAAAGAAAAATTAATAATCCTATTACGAACAATTTAGTAAAACATTGTATAATGATTTCAAAACGCACGTACATTTAACCCAGAATTATTATATAAGCAAAATTATTTTCCACTTTTATCAAATAATATAATTCTAATATGCATGTGTAAGCTGAAAAATTAATTTCATATTGTTTAGAATTCAACAGATTAAATAGAACATAATTAATGATTATTCAATTTTTGTATATGATATATACAATCATTACATCGAAAATATTAAAAAATACAACTATATAATTCAAATGATAAATGTTAAACAGCAGCTGGTTGAGTTCCAAAAACTTCAAAACGGACGATCATGAAAAATTACTGATATATCAGTAGTGTTGTTTTGTGATGCCATATAACATTTTTGAATAATACTGTTTTAACAGTACTCTGAAAACCGACCGAAAAGAGACACTACTGCTATAGCAGTGTTTTTTTCAATAATACCATATGAATGACCAAGTTGTACTATCTACATCAGTATAAGGCGACATTGGGCACAGATAAAATAAGGCAGATATAATTCATCTATAATATTTATATTATAAATATATATTAATTTCCAAATGTTAAATATGGTATATTTTTTAATAATTATTAATTATAACTCACATATAAGGAACGAATATGTGAGAGGTTGTATTGATGTAGCGTTTATAGTGGACATGATGAGATAAAATAGACTGAGATGGTTTGGACATGATATGAGACAAGAGGAAACAAATACAGTAAGGCTTGTTATGAAAATGAACGTTGAAGGGAAAAGAGGAAAAGAGGAAGACTAAAAAATAAATGGTCAGATACGATTGAGAATGATATGAGGACCGTTAGTGTGCATCGGAGATGTAGAAAATCGAGACGAGCGGAGGTTTAAGACAAGGGTGGCCGAACCCATATAGTTGGATATAGTCGGGAAAAAGCGAACGAGAAGAAGAAGAATAATAATTATTAATTATTTATTTATTTTTCATTGTTTGCACAAAAAATCTATTAGGTTAGAAATATAAATATAGTATCTCTGCAATAACAGTATAACATTTTTGTCATATGTACATCAAATATTTGATGTAATGGGATACTACTGCTATAGCAGTACTAAAAAAACTTCTGCTATGGCTAGTAGCGTGATGAAAGGGATTTTAAGACGCCCAGCGTCATAGTGAAAATGTTATGGGCGGGTGGGGTTGTGTGATTAGTTTAGATGTGTAAGGATTTTGGACGAATACACACTTAGCGAATTTTCAAGTTTAAATATACCACTAACACAAAAGACGAATGCAGCGGAATACACTATAGTCGATAAAAATATAACACATGACAATTACATCAAAAACTCTGTATTGTTTAAATTAATTTTAGTTGATTTCAACATAAAAGAGGAAAAAGTCTATTAGAATTTGCTAATCTGAAATTTGAATTGGCAAAATATAAATACGTACGTAATTCAACCGTTAATAATTTTTAGTCTTCTTCAATTTATATTTTTAAAAAAATATCAAGGATGGTGTGCTTGGGAAAGAAGTGGGTGGATAGGTATTGAAATACATGTTGTACATCATGGTTTTTAAATGTTCACCGTGCCAATAACTATGGCAGTACTAAAACATTGATTTATTTAGGTATGTTTTATATAATCATTGATAATCCTCACTGTCTGTCAATGTGTATGTTATATGATAATGCAAGTCGAAATGTTAAATATAAATTCTCAGTTTTTCAATATATTACTGATTTTGAAGATCTATTGGAAGAATTAAATTATGTTAAATCTATTGCCATTATTGGTGATGGTGTTATGTGTATGTACGCTGATCGGCCGTTGACCGTAAAATTACCTATTAAACACGTAAGAGGGTACGGGCGCGAACAAGTCTATAAATTGTTGATGTTGTATAATTTAAAATCTAAAACATTAAAATTATAGAAAATTGTATCTTTGAGGGATTTTTTTAAATATATCATTTATCGTACACTTGTTCTGATAAATATTTATATATATGTATGTATATAAGTAATATTTTTTTACCGTATAACATTATACCCGATGTTACACTTATCCAATCATAACTTATAGCTTAACATTATTTATTAGGTAATAAATAATTATGATATATTTGCATGATTATAAGGAAAAATTGATGGTGGGAATTATCATGTATCGATATCAAAATATCGAAGGACATGCAACAGCAAAAATAAATCAAATAAAAATAGGGCAAATTTAAATATAACGTGTTCCAATGACCTAAATTATTACTGATAACTAATAAGTGATAAACTGCGTTTTCTTCTCCCCTCGAGTTCGGTGAAACTCTACATTATTTAGGATACAATATTAATTGTAAATAATTATTTATTAAGAATAGTATTAATCCCCCATAAATCGTTTAGTTTTAATGAAATACATTTAATACATTACTACTACACCCTAAGGTTTATTAGATTGATGGACAAAATATAACCTGTAATTACACGGTGTCCTTTACAATTGTAAACATTCGTGCTTCATTTGATCTGCATTTAAGTATGCTTTATCAAGTAGCATTCACTTATTAATCATAATAATTATTATATAATGAGTAATTGATTTCTACCATAGCATATCGACAATAGTAGTAGAGGTTATACTATTGCATAAGTGAAAACGCAGTACTACATGATTGAGTGCAGTGTTATACGTTATCAATACAATTTACTTCAAAAAACGATATTGCATTAAACATTATACGCACAGTGCCTGTTCTTCAAAATGTTTACGTGTTTATGATTAGCAGTTCATTTTAAAAACATTATTATTATTGTTATTATTTTTAATATGCAATCATTAGTAATACTCATTCTACATTATTGTTATTGGGAACACTATAATGCTGTAGGTGATTTAAATGCAGATAATAAAATATTTTTTCCGTTCACTGACGTAACTTATGGTTCATTTAATTTAAAATTATTCGCGTGGAACACATTAATTGAAATGTGATACTTCGTAGAATAGACCGCTGCATACTGGCATGAGTTGATAACTTAGGTACCTACTATAAATCACCTATCAAGAAATAAAATAAATAATAATAATTCACAATTAGTACACTTATAAACCAAAGCGTACTTTGATCACAATTATACTATGTTAATCTTTGGTTTATCATCATTACGTTTCCAAAATAATACAACATGAAATAAAACTAATTCAAAAATGTGGCAATAAGTTCCGTTTTAAACGTCTATTCATATTCTTAAATTTTTTAAATACGTGATTTATTTGCAAATATTTTTTCAGAGTCAATAATATTAAAAATATCCAGTTATGTTTACGTCAAAATTCAAGATTAACAGAAACAAAATTCTTAATCTTTAATTTTTTTTTTTTGTTTTCTTTTTAAAAAAAAACCATCTACGTTTTCTTTTATAAATACTATAATACCTACTAATGCTCATTAAAACGATAACTTAGAATATTAATTGATATACCTACAATCGTTAAAAATTAAATTCATTCTAATGACTTTAAAAGAAATTGGAAAATTTTCTTCTATAAAACTTCAGACTAAAATTTGAACTTTATAAGGAACTAACTGAGTATTTACTGTGCTTACTGTATGATTAATGAAGTCAGATAAAATAAAAATATCACTGAGTTATGTATAAGGCAAATAAAATGAAACCACGCATTAAGTACGAAAAAAATGATTAATTTGATGGTTCCAAAGGTCCATTAAAGTTACAGTTTTTCTTTTAACGTAGTAGTAAATGAATAACATGTATTATAAGTTACATCACCGCGAAGAAAATTATCCAGTAGTTACACCCTTGACAGTAGCTTGCAGAGTATAGAAACGTATTCTGGTATAAAATCGTTAAATAATAATGGCATTTAATTATTTAAAAATCTGTTGTTAATATCGGTTATCTGTTTTCGAAATGTTTAAATATACTGATTACACTTTTTATGTATTACTCAGTTGAGGAAATTCAACAATGAACCTTGTAAACCTAACCTAGGGTCAATATTAGTATGGTTTGATTACAATTAAAGAAAATGAAGCTTACAGTTTCGACGTTTGTTGTAACGCTGAGACAAACAAAACAAAATCAAGGTAACGATGAATGAACAAGGAAAATTTATGTTTAATGTAAAGCGATGGAATTCCGACGGTTAATAATTATTATAATATTATCAAAATGTTAAAATTCCATTATAAAACATACTTGTTTTTGTTATTATTTCATCGTGCATATTAAATAATTTATACATTTTCACTACAGTATTTATATATGTACTCAAAACGATAATCTATGGTAAAATCTATGGTATAATTCAAATATTATTATTTAATAATAACAACCGACACTCAAAAATGGTACTTAAGTCAAATCGATATAATCATTCGGGACCAAGATTAATCAATTTTTACATAATATTACGATACGAATGATATAGTAATTTAATTAAATAAACTGGAAAATGTTTTCAATAGACTAACAAAAATAGAATAAGATTATAAGAATATCGTCATAAAAAAAAAACCAATGTTTTTGATTTGATACGCGTCCAAAAACTTTCAAATTTCGTGCCAATGATATAAACGCATAAGCATCAACAATATGGTGTTTTCGTAAAATGAAATGAAATTCAAGGTCAGTGTTAATGCATGTCAGAATCAATTATGGTTTAAAATTTTATTGATAAAAATTAGTAAAAACAGAATTAATAACACGGAATAAATTTGAATTGCATTGGTAGTATCGACGAAATTCTACCACTGGAACTTTACTTGAATTCTACCGTTGCTGTGATTAAGCTAAATATCACAACTATTTACACAGTTCAAAGTTGTGTATAATATTGCGAAATGAAACCATCTAGAATCTAACTATTACCATAGTCTAACAATGGTATAGTTTTATTACGACGTATAAAATCGTATAATAATTGTATACCCATAATACGTTAAATGAAATGTACTTACATTGGTGTTATTTAAAGCAGGTATTGAAAAATTGGTGTTTTGTTGTTCTATTGAAACATTTTGTTTCTGAGGTACCATATCTACGATAGCAATAGTGAAGTTGACTCGTAACATATAATTGACCATAAATCCAAATAGAACCATGGTATTTAATATCCGTGAACAGCTCATCGACGCTTTATAGAATAATTCATTTTTAACATAAGTTATAGAGATTCATACATAATAGGTATATCATATTTAAACCTTTATAAACAGTATACTTACGAGTTTTTTTGTTCACCAAACCAGTATCGACGGTGACAGTTTCTTCTTTTTTCATTTTTTTTTTTTTTTTTTTAATTGATCAGCTTATTGTATAAAAAAAGAAATCGATCACTTCAATCCTAAAAACATTACACAAAGTTAGTTGTTATGAAATTAATTCATCAATAAATATTAAATCATTTTACATATTTTGTATAATATTAATGATAATCAAATAAAAATTGTTTAAAGATTAAAGTAATGATAGCTTAAAATGTATTTATGCTGTATTTTTGTTCAATAATAATATTCTTATGTATCTCCGAAAATTTTTTTAGCTTGAATTAAATTATCTTTAAAAATTAACTTCAAATAAATTTTTATAATTTGCCAAATTTAAAACGTCAAGATTTATCTATTTGAAATATTCTAAAATTAATCAATTAATTTTTGTGTTGAAAGTTGATAAACAAATTTAACACTAATCCTACTTCTTGATCTAGTAAAATTATAAAATTTCCTGCAGTCGTTTTGATATCAATAAATAACACAATTCATTAATAATTGAACATAGATTCATAACTTTTTAAATACTCATTAGTATTATTAGAATTATTAGTATTAGTAAGTTTTATAAATATTTATGCTACTATATAACAGTGTTTATTTAAAAAAAATTAGTAACATAAAAGCCTTTTACAGGTAAAATACGACATTGCAGTAAATTTTATTTAATTAAAGTAATTTATGGCAAAAATGTAAGAAAATCAATAATTTAAAAACTAAAAAATTGATTAAATATTCAAATGTTGTTCAATTTTTTTAAGAATTTTATTTTATTTTCCCGTACATATGACAACTAAAATTTTACTTCATTGTTATTATTTATTATTTACTAAAAGAAAATTTTCTATATACGATATAAAATTTACAAAATAAAAATAATTGGTTTTACTTTTAACGTAAAGTAGCAATAACACACTGTTGCGATAAGCCCATTACTTAATGATTTGTACTATGGACCACACCGACAGAAGAATCGACCAAAGAAGTACATAGATTAGGAACATAATATTTTTAGAAGAATATAATAATAATACAAAAACAGTATTCATCGTTTCAAGTTCAATGTAGAAAGTCGATTTGTTATATTTACACGAAAAAGCTAGGTCAACTTCCACAACACTAATTCTTTCCGTCAGTGTGTCACAAAGAAAATCAATACAAATTAAATTCAATGTTATTTGAAATAATAACGCAAACAAATGTAAAATTTATATTGTTTATATTTATTCAATGTTCGAGTGCAATTTACGTTTTTTATATTGTTTTTGCAAAAAATGAATTATCCTCTTTATACAATTTTTGCAATGTTATTTTCTTGTGTCTACTCTATACGAGTTTTCTATATTTTATTTACATTTTAATTTGTCGAAGCCATACAACAAAATACACACTGTTTCTAAAATACGAAAGCAATTATTATTGTTCGATATCGTTTAAAGTTTTTAAACAAAATCGGTACAAATTACAAATTAATTTACCATTTATAGACAACATTAATGAGTTAAAATGCATTACATTTTGAACTATTGACACTTAATTTTTATAGAAAATCCATTACTAAGTGTAAACATTCTATCAAGAAATTTTAATAATGTTGATTGAAATAAAATTGACCACCATAGCTATAATTTAAATGATTTTACAGTTATAGATTACGAATAGATCGAGGGAATTATACGAGTATAATAGATTTACAACGATTTGTTCAGCAATCAATTTTTTTCATCTTTAGTAATTTTTAAAGTTGTCACGAAAGAAAAACATTTTCAACAGCTCATAGATCTAATTTTTACGCCTAAATAATACGAAAATTGTTATTAAAATTGTACACATATTTCAGATAAGGTAACTGTCATAAAATTGCAGAAAATTTTATATTATAAAACTTCTATTTTAGTCTAAAGTTAGTGAAATGAGACGCGATTCCTAAAGATTAGAACCAGACAACTTTTCGTATTTAATTCGATACAAAAATTAACATTTTCAAACTACACAATGACAAGTGTACGTTTATATAAATTAACATTAAGCTGTTGAAATGTTTTCATGTGTAATAGGTGTAACATTAATGTACTTACGTGTTATTTTAGAACTATTACATATTATTTTATTTATGTTATTACGTAATTATTTTACCATGCAATTTTTTTTCTATTAAATTAATATTATAAAATGTATAGTATAAATTATGATTTAAAAATTTAACCAGAAGAAGAAGAAGAAGATAAATTATGATTATATAAAAGATTTTTAATACTTATTGGATAACTAATAAATTCCTTTAAGATCAATAAAACTTACTTTTGTAGTTACTTACAAAATATAAGATCAATAAAACTTATATTTTGTAAGTAACTACAAATGACAAACATATGTCGTATTTCAAACTATTCTAGTTTCAAAAATAAAAAATTAAAACAAATGAAAATGTATTGATTAAATATTTAATACCTATATATAAACAACTACGTATTTTGTAAAAGCAAAAAGTAGCATTTTTTTTTTATAGATAGACAAATATTTTATTATTACAACCGGAATCAATTTATACTATACTATATACTTAATATACTTATTGTATTAGTAATTAATTCCATTTGTACAACTAAGAAATAATTACTAGTTAAAAACTAAAAAAATGATTTGTAGATATGCAACGGTATTAATATACCAAATAAGAAGAATAAATTATTAAAGCAATACGTTATTCTGTGAAAAATTAATTAAAATGTTTCATGTGACATTTTCTGTACATGAAATTTTCCAAATATATTTCATATTAATTTCAATGTATGTCTGAAGATCTGAAGTATCTTTGAGTAGTTCGATTAGATATGAAATATTCATAAAATAAAATCCCAATAAATTATATAATGCAATTTATAAAATGGATTAATACTAAAATTTAGAGTGAATGATTTTAATCAAAAAATATTCTTAAGTATTTGTACGCAAAAAGAAAAAAATGTATGATTTTTAAAAACACGATTCAGACCGCAGATCTGCTTGATAGTAATTTAATATATACAAAATATGAATTATTGACAATTAGATATACTCGTTAAATTTATCATTAAACCAGCTATATTCTATCAAATCTTAATTACGATGATATCATAAGTAAAATATATACCATACAACAATATAAAGTGCTATAAAAAGTCTCATACATTTTATAAAGTTAAAAAAACTTTGTAAAGTTGAAACCCCGAATAGATTTTAAACAATTGTTGTAAAGCATTTATATTTTAATTATGTTATATATTTCACGTAAACGGTTTATTTTTCGTTTTATGTTTTTATAATTTCGATTATAAGTCAGAGTTGGACAAGATACTGAGGCTGGTGACATTAGAATTAGTAAATTTATTATAATGATCAATAGTGGTGCAAGAGAAACTTGCCTAGAGGCGTACGTCTTAACCGGATTTTAATGTAATTTGAATATTAAAAAACATATATAGTTATTAAAATTAAGAAATATTCGTTTATTCAAACATAAATGAAAATATTTTATGTTGTTCATCAAAATTTGTATTAAATTATTATTATTAGCACTCAAAATTGAAATATGTACTGTCCCACGAAACTTATTAATTTAAAATGGTGAGTTAATGGCTACAAAAATGCATCATTTTTATTTTAGGTGGAATAAGACCAGTGGAAAAAATTGCCGGCGACTAAAATTCAAATAATAAAACACGATCATGATGAATGAATAATGATGGTGTAGTAATGAAGATAATCCTATTTTCGTTAGTACATATAGTTGAGCTCTTTAATTAAAATTAATATGTCCAACAAAAATTGTTACCAATTATTAAAATTAAATGTTCTTTAAGCCCCAATTCAACTAAATTGTTTTATATCCAAGCCCACTTAAATTAAATTATTTGCTGTATAGAAAATATTTTTAAAATAAAATATTATTTTAATAAAATAAATAATAAGGTCACATTTTTACATTAATTGATTTCTTTAAATATGATTTAGATGATCAGCAGAAAAATAATACTTAGATATATCAAACGTTGTATGTAATCAAAAATAACTACTTACATTTTTTTATCAAATTAATTTTTTCTTAATATTCATTTTTTATTATTAAATAAAGCAACAAACGGTATGTGTTATACTTATTATAGTTTATAAATTGAGAAAATAAAATATTTAAAATAATTAGGTATTCATTTTAGAACGATGTTTATTGTTTATTTCATATATTAATCATTAATGAATTGTGTTATGATAAGTTTTTCTAGATTTTTAGGTCAATGTTATTCTAAATAGATTTTATTTGATAACAAGTACAAGTTTGAATATATACAATGTAAATCGAACGCGCATATTTTGGTAGAATAAATCAAAAATCATACTGTGAATATTATTTAATATAGATTTTTTTTATAAACTGTTATTAGTTTAAAGATGTTCCGCTTAGTGTTAAATAAAAAGTAAACCGACTGTTACCGAATATATAAACACCTGTATGTACTCGGTAACAATCGGTTTTCACATCCAAAAGAAAAAGAAAAAGAACAAAGCCATTAAATGACTACAAAATAAATACAAAAAATATAAAATAAATAAGTAGGTACTTGAAAAAATAACCTTTCGTCGATATGTTATCTACAACATTATTGTTTGCAACAGTTAATCTCGTTTGTATTTGCATAATTATATTTTACAGACAAATATGAAATTTTATAAAATGTTTTATTTATATATTAATTATTATAATATGTAACGTGTAAATCATATGTTACTTTGTGAGATGTAATCGTAAACAGCTAATCAAACGTACTATTACCACAAGATTTTCAAGCATTGGAACTTACCAGTTTGAAAACTTGCCGTTAATCTAAATTTTTAAAGTACTTCCAACGATTAACATATTCAAAACGATAATGTGTACGCTACAGTGCCGTAAAAACCGGGTGTGCAGCAGATGCATTGCACTATATTCATTATGGGGCCTCAAAAAATCAAATGCTCAAAAACGTTTGATGATTAGGGACTTCATGGTTTTGATTCGCTCACGGGCCACGCGAGTGGTCTAGCTACGGCACTGGTACTCTAAGAACATTAATAATATAAAATATTATACGGGATCGTAGGATATACAGTTGTGATCGTGATCAATTATTTTCAAAATAAATTAAGACTCGACGATTAAAATTAAAAATAATTAATCGAAAAACATTCAAACAAAAAGATCTAGTGTGGTATGTACCACACTAGATGTGTGTCTGTAATATGTACCAAGTAGCTGCGTGAATGTCAGCAGTTGGGTTTTTCTGATTTAAACGTATTAGCGTGTATTTATTTCGAATTTACAGATCTGACTAAAAGCAGCGTGCGAATCGGCATGCAAATGGTCGTGCAAAAACGCTATTATTACGCGTGTGACCATGAAAAATGAGGAGTAGAAAAATTATCGGACCCAAGACGCCTACACACTCACACAAGCAATTTCAGCCCGAGTATTAAACACACATGGCCGATCGTAAAAAAGAAAAAAATTGTTTAAAATATTTCAGGACGTTAACAAAATTCGCAATACAATAACTAACTAGTATAAAAAAGTATACACGAACGGTCGAACTTGTTAAACGTAACGTTTCTCTGGGAAATCTCTTTTCGCGTACGGTTCAAATCGAATCTTGAGCGATTCTAATTAGAAACCGATGATGTTCAATTCAATCGTTCACCGTTGCCTTCAGGTTCGATTTGTGCTATGCGCACGATCAGTGATACAGCGGTTATTTCTTGTAAACTATCCACTAATCGCACGGGCGAGATAAATTTCGACACAGATTTTCTATTGCGTGCCGAAAAAAAACAATAAAATGAAAAAATACGTTACGTACTTCGAACGTGCAGCGGTGTTTGTGCACTCCCCGACCGTCGCGGAGCGGAGACGTGTCCGACCGCGGTTCTGTGAAAGGGATGGGGAAAAAAACTGATCGGCAGTCCTTTGGCGATTTCGTGCGCCCGTGATCTCCAACTCTCCAACCGTGCGGATCGGTCGACGGCCGGGCGGTGGTCGTGGGTACACGCGCGAGAGACGACGACGACGAGCGGTGGTGCCGCGAAAAAAACCAAAACTAAAACTGAGAAGATCTTCGACACGAGTACGAAATAACGAGCGGGGGGTGGGGAGCGAGAAAGGAGTATGGAAAAAAAAAAAATCGAAAAAAAAAAAAAAACCGATTTATCACGAGACAACGGACCGCGTTCGGGTGCGCGCGCACGACAACCAGCACACGTGTGTTGCGCCCGGTCATATATGACCAGTGGACGGCGGACGACGCGCGCCACGGGATTCGCGCGCGCAACGAAGACGGTGACGCACGACGTCGTCCGGCGACCGGCACGGGAACGACCGACGACGGCGACGGGTCGGCGACTGAAACGCGTCGTCGCCCCGCGGCGACCGCGAACAGGTGCGCTCGTCGTCGCCGCCGCCAGTAGCTCATGAGACGTTAGCCAGTTGTCGACGACGTACCGTTCGCGTGCGCGCGCGCGTTTACCGGTTCCCGTCGAAAACCATGCGTGCGTCTGGATTTCCTAACCGCCGCGTGCGCGCGGTAAATTTTAAACGATCGTGACTTGGACAATCGTTCCTCCTATTATTATCTATGAAAAGAAAATTAATTCTGATCACAGTATACCTATTAATAATTTAATATTTAAAATACTAAAATGGTCGAAATAATCGTTTTAAAAATGTTGGATCGCAACGATTGCCGTGCGCGTATGCCATAAGTGACGATATCCACCGCCCGCCGTTTTCGGACACGAAAATCGTCGTCGCCCACCCGCTTCTTTATATAATATTGTATATATTATGGTATCCTGCAACCGTATGGACACACCGCGTCGTACGAACGTATAAATATTTATACATACTTTTTTCCAAACTAATCTGCTATTGTATACCAGCAATTGGATAATAATGAAATAATAATATCAAAAATTAATGGTACAGGAATAGACCAACAGTTTTTCATATTGTCGCCCAAAAGTCGCCTCTAACCGAGATCATCGTGACGCACCGCGGGGTTCGATTTCAAATGTTGCAGAAACTGTACGCATTCGGCACAAGCCAATCGGTATTCGTTCACGCGACTCCCAATGTTTTTTTTTTATTGCACACAAACATTTCGTAGAACACCGTGTGTGTGCGTGTGTGTGCGTGTGTGTGTGCCCATGTGAAAAAGGGGGGAAAAACGGTTATAAAAGTGCCACGTGGAGCTGCACCGCTATTCCGCTATATTTGAATTATTCTGCGTATATTCTATAAATATAAGTTGAACGCCTCGCGGACGAAACGAACGCTGCCGACGGGACACCGGTCGCTGACACTGGTCGTGGCTTACGACCGCGGTGGTACTGCTTGACACGGGACGATTAAACGGTGAAAAAAAAAATAAAAGAATAAAACCTGTTATATTTAGTTATACCGTGCCGAGTACAAAAAACCCGTGGTCGCCGACGAGTTCATTTCACATCGATTTTTTCGCGCATATCTGTACCGATGTGGCTATCGCTGCGATATCGTTTTCGGCAAGTCTCTCGGGAAATTTCGAAACGAAATCGTTTCGTAAACACTGACCGCGTTTCGTTGGACGTGGCTTTATTTTTTTTTTAAATAAAACGTTTCTGACTGAACGCGATAACTCGTCGAAACGTAGGAATAATCCACATCGAACCGCATGTAAAATTTAAACCTCTACGACGTATTTCGAGAACGAACTTGTCATGGGGGGGGTAATCCGTTCCTCCCCCTCCACCCGTCACGTGTTCTCATATAAATAATCATTAGTTGTAGAACTCCAATGCGAATCAAACAATAATGTATGTACGCTTTGCCGTCAACAACGGCTACGATAACCAGGGTAACGCACGAGCTATAAAATGTTACGACGACCTGGTCTTATCGTCCGAGAACACGGAACACGAGTTTCTTAGTGTTTTTTTTTTTTTTTTTTTGTTTTCTCGTAGAGTATACGATTTCTTCTCCGACAGCGGTTTGTTTTCTAATTTCGAACACGATTCAGATGAAAAATAAACACGTGACGTCTGTGTTTTTGCGCACGCGCGACCGCGTTATCAAACGATTCACACGTATAACAAAACATTTATTTATTTTTTATAATTTTTATTATAATTATTATTACAATTTCTTACGCTCTACGCGTAAACTTGACGATTTTTTTTGTTGTTAATATTCATATTTGTACGTGTATAACGCATAGTATATGTTCCACGAGGATTTACTAACTGGAATTCTTTAACGGCAATTCAAATATTTAAATTGTGTTTTTTTTATTTTTTTTATAATACATCATATTGCGCCCAATCACATGGGTCTTCGTCCTTTTTTTTTATACGGAAGACCGCTCCGAATTACATTGTACGTCTTAATGAAAATCAAATCACGTAAAAAACCCATGAATGTGACTCGCGTTTCGTTTAATGAGAAGTGAATGTGTACAACATAATATTATTATAATTATATATAATTTTAGAAATTGATAGTCTGCAGACGTTTTAAGTGCATAGCCTGTATATTACCGTAAATAATTGTTGTACAATCGAAATGAGGGAAAACGCATGCCGTTCAGCTGTGGGATTATTATCAAATATGGCTTAGGAATCATTTTGATTTGAATAAATAATAAATGAAAATAAATATTTTAACAAATAATGTCTGTTGTAATAATTTATATATTTTTTCCTCTTTGGACACTCTGTATAGTTCAGGTATTACGAACACAATGTACGGATGTACAGTAAAAATACCAACGCAGCTGCGGCATTTCGGTTGAAAAACACCTCGTGTTTATTATGTATGTATACGCGTCACACTCAATTGGTAGAGCAGCGGGGCACGGATGAACGAAGGTTAGGATGTTATGTAGTAAATACGTCTTTTTTGCCGTGAACGTTTCCACGTGAAACAATAACGTTCAACTACTGTACACTGTGTACCCGTGTGCGTATGTTTGTTACAATACTGTTTCCCACCCACTGTTCTTTAATATACATATAGTGTTCAAGTCTTGTCCCCACGAGGCCCCATATGGTAGTAAAGTGGCGTGTCGATTCTAGAAAAAGTAAAATAAACTACGTATTTTTTTTTCATTTTAATTTTTGCCAAAATAATTTACATAATAATATACATTTGATTTTTTTTCTACTCCGAATCGCTTACAACAAATACTATCATAAATGTGCACGGTACATGTTTGGAAAAAACAATTCTTATTCCTTACATTTTTTAACGGTTTATAGTTATTTATCTTAAATAAAAGTAGGAGAAGGATTATAAAGTAAGTAATATATAATATATTTACGGCATTATATAATAATATATATATATATTATGTGTTCAGAATAAGTCTGAAGTAATAATTACATGTATATTTTACCAATCGACTGGGAGGTAAAGGTATTATAATGCATTTTGAACAAGAAGACGGTCGAGGTCTGTGGTAAGGAGAGATAATAAAGGGGTAATTAACTGTCTAAATTCGTTTAGAAAATTGACATATAAGAATTGACATTTGAATTGGTATCAGGATTTTGACCGGATGCTACCTGGGAATAGGCCCGAACGGGTGGGTTTGAATCAGGAGGATGCTGCTGGGTGACTGTATAATTATTAATATTATTAGTACAACCTATATTATAGTTGGTTTGGATGAGATGATTGCGGTTGGCTTGCGGAATCGTTGGAGGTCGTTGTAGATGCGGCACCTCTTATAGTTTGCTGGATGTTCTCCTCCACAGAGAGCGCATTTGGCAGGTAATTCGCTTGATTTGCCCCAGTTGGAGAGGTCTGTCTATACGCAGTCGATTAGACCAACTCTGTCGTTATCATTTTGTTATTATCAAAAATAAAATTGTTGTCATAAATATAATTCTATCATCAATTATAAATTTATAATAAATTAATTACATTATTTTATTTGTTACAATGTAATATTAAGATATAAATTACACAGATCTTTAGATTTGTGATGAAGTCCATTTACACATTCAAAATAAATGTGCTGTTTAATTTATCATGATAAAATGGACAGTCCATACATTTAATTGGCAACTCTCCACGCTCAAGCGAAAATCTGTACTTAGATTTTTCTCCTGTCACGCAACACATTTTAATATTACTGATTCATATTTTAAAAATTCAATAAATAACTATCTAAACATTCATACTTAATTTAATAAATTACCTTCATATTTCACCAACTTTGCCATAACATAACCAAAACCTAATTCTGATAAACGTGTAGTAAATAAATTTAAACCATTAGTTTCTCCTTGAAGAGAAATATTATTCACTATACAATAATTATTAAATCAACTCGAATAATCAAAAATAGTTTTAAAAGCGTTAGAAGTTTTTAAAAATGTTTTAATTAAAGAGTTAACTACTACATAATAAGTTTACTTAAATGGAGATCTAATTGTCTATTATTTGACTATTTAGGTAAGATAAACGGTTAATTAGTAAATGAATTTTAATGTATAGTTTAGGCACCTATATTACATTTTTAAATTCTTTATAGTACTATTGTTACATAACTATAAATTTTAATTGCAGGTCACATCTATGTTCTTATACCTACCTATTCTTATATTAAAAAATTAAGCACGTATAAATTATAAATAAATAAATACAGGAAAAACAATTAATATTGAGAACAACTTGGCTGCCTACATTATTTAACAATACAATTTTGAATTTATATCTTAATATTACATTGTAACAAATAAAATAATGTAATTAATTTATTATAAATAGATTTATAATTGATGATAAAATTATATTTATAACAATTTTATTTTTGATAACAACAAAACGGCGTTGTTCTAATCAACTGCGTATATATAGACAGACCCAATTGGGGGAAGGATGATTACTTCCACAGCAGACACATCTGGGAGGGTATGAGTAATATTTCTTAGAGTAGCCATAGTCTTGGTAGTTATGGCACTGGATAACGTTCCTATGTTTATGAGGTTCCTCGATTTTAATTTTTGTATGCAGGAGTAACGTTATTTCAAAGATATCATTATTGATTTCGGCTGGTTCGAGGTCAACAAAGAAAATTGGAAGTTTATTCTTAGTCGTTTTTTTGAAGAACGTTTGTACCTGTCGGACTGAGAATCCAATTTCTTCGATTGCTACTCCAATTTCGATAGTTGGAGTGGAAGGGTGGAGATTGCGAATTACTACTCGAAAGGCTTTATCCTCACGAGATTGATAAATATGATACTGAACTTCATTATCTCTTAGAAAGTGAATTATATTACGATACGATTCGGA